TCACGGTGAAGAAGTCCGACGGATCGGCGACGGTGATGACGGTCGCCGGCGCGACCGGGAACACGGTTATCAGCGGGACGCTGACCGCGGGTGCATCGACGCTCGCGAGCGCGAGCGTGACCGGGGCGCTTTCTGCGGGCGCGACGACCATCACGGGCGCGACTGGCATCACGGGCGCGACGACCATCACGGGCGACGTCAAGGTGAAAGCGTCCGACGCAACGGACAAGGTGACCATAGCGTCGAGCACGGGCAACACGGTAATCGCTGGGACGCTGAACGCGGGCGCATCGACGCTCGCGAGTGCAGTGGTGAGTGGAACACTGTCATCCGGCGCGACGACTCTCGCGAGCGCGACGCTTAACGGTGACTTGTCATCCTCGGGCGACATCGCAATGTCGAAGACCGCTTCCGCGATCACGCACACCGCCGCGGCGGGCGCGACGAGCGGGCTGACGATCTCGAGCGACAACGGGTTCGTGGAGGTGGAGAGCGTGCGGATCACGGGCGGCGCGTCGAAATCCGACATCGGGTTCGGTGCGACGAACATCATTGCGCTATCCGCTACAGGCGTGGGCGTGACTGGGACGCTGACATCGAGCGGACTGGCGACGCTCGCGAGTGCTACTGTGTCCGGGGCGCTTTCTGCGGGTGCGACGACCATCACGGGCGCGACTGGCATCACGGGCGCGACGACCATCACGGGCGACGTCAAGGTGAAAGCGTCCGACGCAACGGACAAGGTGACCATAGCGTCGAGCACGGGCAACACGGTAATCGCTGGGACGCTGAACGCGGGCGCATCGACGCTCGCGAGTGCAGTGGTGAGTGGAACACTGTCATCCGGCGCGACGACTCTCGCGAGCGCGACGCTTAACGGTGACTTGTCATCCTCGGGCGACATCGCAATGTCGAAGACCGCTTCCGCGATCACGCACACCGCCGCGGCGGGCGCGACGAGCGGGCTGACGATCTCGAGCGACAACGGGTTCGTGGAGGTGGAGAGCGTGCGGATCACGGGCGGCGCGTCGAAATCCGACATCGGGTTCGGTGCGACGAACATCATTGCGCTATCCGCTACAGGCGTAGGCGTGACTGGGACGCTGACATCGAGCGGACTGGCGACGCTCGCGAGTGCTACTGTGTCCGGGGCGCTTTCTGCGGGTGCGACAACCATCACGGGCGCGACTGGCATCACGGGCGCGACGACCATCACGGGCGACGTCAAGGTGAAAGCGTCCGACGCAACGGACAAGTTGACCATAGCGTCGAGCACGGGCAACACGGTAATCGCTGGGACGCTGAACGCGGGCGCATCGACGCTCGCGAGTGCAGTGGTGAGTGGAACACTGTCATCCGGCGCGACGACTCTCGCGAGCGCGACGCTTAACGGTGACTTGTCATCCTCAGGCGACATCGCAATGTCGAAGACCGCTTCCGCGATCACGCACACCGCCGCGACGGGCGCGACGAGCGGGCTGACGATCTCGAGCGACAACGGGTTCGTTGTCGTCAAGAGCACGGCGTTGTACGTGGACGTGGAGGACGTGCGGTTCACAAGCAAGACTATCGGCATCGCGGGCACCACGAATCTGCTTTCGCTGGCGTCAACGGGCGTGAGCATCACTGGGTCCCTCGCAGTTAACGGTGCACTCACCATGACAGATCTCTCGCTGTCCGGGGATATAGTCTTATCGAAAACGGCGGCGACGTTTACGCACACCGCCGCGGCGGGCGCGACGAGCGGGCTGACGATCACTAGCGACAACGGGTTCGTGGAGGTGGAGAGCGTGCGGATCACGGGCGGCGCGTCAAAGTCTGACATCGGTTTCGGTTCGACGGCTATCATCGCGCTGTCCGCGACGGGCGTGGGCGTGACCGGGACGGTGTCGTCGACGGGTGACTTGACTGTTGGGTCGTCGAAGTTCGTAGTGACCGCGACCAGTGGCGACTTGGCTCAAGCGGGGGACACGACCTTGTCGAAGACCGCCGCTGCAATCACACACACAGCCGCGGCGGGCGCGACGAGCGGGCTGACGATCTCGAGCGACAACGGGTTCGTGGAGGTAGAGAGCGTGCGGATCACGGGCGGCGCGTCGAAATCCGACATCGGGTTCGGTGCGACGAACATCATCGCGCTATCCGCTACAGGCGTAGGCGTGACTGGGACGCTGACATCGAGCGGACTGGCGACGCTCGCGAGTGCTACTGTGTCCGGGGCGCTTTCTGCGGGCGCGACGACCATCACGGGCGCGACTGGCATCACGGGGGCGACGACCATCACGGGCGCGACAGTCATGAAGGGTGACGTCACGGTAAAGAAGTCCGACGGATCAGCGACGGTGCTGACGGTCGCCGGCGCGACCGGGAACACGGTTATCAGCGGGACGCTGACCGCGGGTGCATCGACGCTCGCGAGCGCGAGCGTGACCGGGGCGCTGTCATCAGGTGCAGCAACGTTGGCAAGCGCGACGCTTAACGGTGACTTGTCAACCTCGGGCGACATCGCAATGTCGAAGACCGCTTCCGCGATCACGCACACCGCCGCGGCGGGCGCGACGAGCGGATTGACGATCTCGAGCAGCAACGGGTTCGTGGAGGTGGAGAGCGTGCGGATCACGGGCGGCGCGTCGAAATCCGACATCGGGTTCGGTGCGACGAACATCATCGCGCTATCCGCTACAGGCGTAGGCGTGACTGGGACGCTGACATCGAGCGGACTGGCGACGCTCGCGAGTGCTACTGTGTCCGGGGCGCTTTCTGCGGGCGCGACGACCATCACGGGCGCGACTGGCATCACGGGGGCGACGACCATCACGGGCGCGACAGTCATGAAGGGCGACGTCACGGTGAAGAAGTCCGACGGATCGGCGACGGTGCTGACGGTCGCCGGCGCGACCGGGAACACGGTTATCAGCGGGACGCTGACCGCGGGTGCATCGACGCTCGCGAGCGCGAGCGTGACCGGGGCGCTTTCTGCGGGCGCGACGACCATCACGGGCGCGACTGGCATCACGGGCGCGACGACCATCACGGGCGACGTCAAGGTGAAAGCGTCCGACGCAACGGACAAGGTGACCATAGCGTCGAGCACGGGCAACACGGTAATCGCTGGGACGCTGAACGCGGGCGCATCGACGCTCGCGAGCGCGAGCGTAACCGGGGCGCTGTCATCCGGCGCGGCAACATTGGCGAGCGCGAGCGTGACAGGGGCGCTTTCCGCGGGCGCGACGACCATCACGGGCGCGACTGGCATCACGGGCGCGGTGACAGTCACCGGAGCGACGTCCATAACTGGCGACGTCACCGTGAAGGCGTCTGGCGGCGCGTCCACGTTTCTCGTCGCCGCCGCCACGGGAAACACCGCCATCGCGGGCGCGCACGGAGACGCATCGAAGGAACTCTACGTCAACGGCGACGTGTACGCGACCGGCCTGGTATCTTCCGCGTCGGACGGGAGGTACAAGCGCGACGTTCAAAACATCACCGGCGCGTTAGAGACGACGCGCGCGCTTCGAGCGGTGTCCTTCGCGTTTCAGACGGAGGCGTACCCGGAGAAAAATTTCCCGACGGAACGCCAAGTCGGCTTCATCGCGCAAGAGCTCGAGGCTGCGCTTCCGGACGTCGTCACGACGGATTCGGACGGATACAAGGGCATCGCGTACGAGCGACTCGGGGTGTACGCGCTCGCGGGCGTGAAAGACGTGGACGAGCTCGTGCAGACGCAACGGCGGGCGATTTTGGCGTTGGAGGAGAGGGTGGCGACGCTGGCGCGCGCGGTGGAGGCGCTGTCGAACGGCCGTTCCGCGGACGTTACGCGTGTCGCGTGACGACGAACGACGATGAAATGAACACAACACGATGATGAAGAGTACGATGAGACCATCCCGCGAGGCGAGCGCGACGGGGTGACGAACGGAGGACACGGGGAAAGAAACGAAACGAGGAGGGGGCGAGAAGAAGTGAAAAGAGAGCGAGGAGGAGGAGAACTTCAGGAACTGAAGTTAGCTCAGGATCGCGAGAGTGATTATGCTGATAGAGTAGACCGCGCCGCGGACGTGTAACGTGCCGCGACGACTTAGAACGACGACACGTCGCACCGCGCGCGACCGCGACCGCGCCTCGAGCCAAACCCGGGCGCGGGGACGACGACGACGTCGCGTCGCCGCGCGAGCGGCGGCGGAACGATCGACGCGCGGACGCGAGGAAAACCCGACTGGAAGCACCACCGCACTCGGCACCCCGCCGCCGTGCCGTGAAGAATCCGACGGAACGGCGATGGCCTCGACGCTGTACGAAATCGCGCGGCTCTGGATCACGTTCATCGCGCTCGCGTGCGGCGGTAAGCTCGGCGAGCTCGTCCACGCCCCGCTCGTCGGCGAGATCGTCGTCGGCCTCCTCCTCGGCCCCTCCGGCGCGAATTTCATCCCCGAGCCCGACGGGGTCGTCCTCCTCGGAAACCTCGGCCTGTGCGTCCTCGTGATGACCGGCGGGCTCTCCATCGACGTCGACGCCCTCGCGCACGTCGGCCCGGTCGCGATCGCCATCGCGGTCACCGGGACGCTCCTCCCGATCGCGCTCGGGTGCGCGTTCATGACCGCCGCGGGGTACTCCCCCGCCGTCGGCGTCGCCGCGGGCACGGCGCTGTCGTCGACGTCCATCGGGATGGCGACGAACACGATGGCCGCGGCGAACGCGTTGCACACGCGCATCGGCTCCCTCGTGTGCGTCGCCGCGATGATCGACGACGTGCTGTCCCTCGTGATCCTCGCGGTGTTGGGGAACGTCGGAGGGTCGAGCGACGACGCGGGAGCGTTGACGTGGGCGATCGGCCGCCCGGTTATGGTTTCCGTCGCGTTCGTCGTCGTCGGCGCCGGCGCCGCGCGCGTCGTCCCGCGCGTCTTCGCGCGAGAGTGGGGGTGGGCGACGCGAGCTGGAGAGACTTTGACGAAGATGAAGCGAGACGACGTCGTCGTCGCGTCGATGCTGACGCTGACGCTCGGTCTCGTCGTCGCGTGCGGCGCCGCGGGGTCGACGTATTTATTAGGCGCGTTTGTCGGAGGGTACGCGTTCGCCGCCGCGCCAAACGCGAAGGACGCGTGGGCGAAGTACGACCTCCTCAGCGCGCGGCTCGCGTCGATCTTCTTCCTCTCCGTCGGGATGCAGATCCCGCTCGCGGACCTGTTCGACGGCGCGGGCGCGGGGCTCGGAATCGGGTACGCGGTCCCCGCGGTGCTCGGGAAGCTCGCGACGGGGGCGTTCGTCCGCGACGTCGGCGACGCCGCCGTCGTCGGCTGGGCCATGGTCGGCCGCGGCGAGCTCGGGTTCGTCATGGCGAGAGAGGCGTTGGACGAGGGGTTGTTCGGGGATACGCCGTACGTCGCGTGCGTGTGGGCACTGCTCATCGCGACGCTGGTGTCCCCGGTGTTCATGCGACGCGCGCTGGAGCGGAGGAAGGCGGCGGGGGGATGGGCGGCGGGGGACGTCGGCGCCGCCGAGGACGGAGCGGACGCGGTCGAGATAGGTAGGCACGACGTAGCGTAGCGCGCGTTGGTGATCGATCGCGCGTTTTAGAGTGAGATACTAGGATATATATAACACCACGTACATACATTGTACACGTAAACGCCTCGTCGAGGTCCGTTACAACCCGTGCTGCATCGCGCGTCGTCCCGACGGGTCGTTCTTCGCCAAGTCGATCTCGCTCGACGACAGCTTCGCCGCCGCCGCCGCCGCCGGCGCGTCCGCCGCCCTCAACCACGCCCTCAGCGTGTCGAACTCGCCCTTAAACGACACCTGCGGGTGCTTAGACAGCACCTTCATGATGAGCGCGGGCGCGTCCAGAGACGCGAGCTTATCCTGCCACGCCTGAGATTTGGTCGCCAGCGCCAGACACGCGCCGACGAGGCCCTTCGCGACGGCTTCGTGCTCCTCCCCCCACTTCTTGAGCGCCTCCACGAGGAGCTCCCCGGCGTCGCCCTTATCCTTCCCGTCGTCGTTGCCTCTGTCCGGGAGGTCCAAGCCGAGCGCGTGTCGCTTCGCAGCGGCGCTGTTCTTCACGAGCGCCCACAGCGTCATGCTCCCCCACTGGATGATCGTCTTGCTGTTTTTATGCGTCTGCATCGCGAGTAAAACCACCCGCAGCGTCCGCCCCGTCGTCACCTCCGCGTCCGCCTTGATCAGCTTCGCGGTCTTCGCGTTGAACGCGAGCATCGAGACGAGCGCGAGCGAGCCGGCGACGAACGCCTTGTCCGTGCCGTCGCGCTCCATCGCGACGGTGACCGCGCCGACGCCGCCGCGCGCGCTGACTTCCTTCGGCTCCGTCGTCATGATCTCCGCGAGCGCGTCTAGCGCGGGCGCGCACGACGACGCCAACGGCGCGCGCTCGTCGCGTAAAACCTTCACGCAGGCTTTGATCGCCTCCTTGACGGTCTTCTTACTCGGCGCCGCCTTCCACGTCTCCACCTTCTTCGTCATGTCCGCCGCGAGCTCCCCCGCGAGTTCCGAGGAGTTCTCCTTGGACGCGTCCTCCCCGGGTTCCTTCTTCGCGGCGGTCTCCGTCTCCGTCTTCGCCTTCGCCGCGAGATCCGCCGCCGCGTCCTCCCCCGCAGACGCCGCGAGCGCTCTCTTCGCCTTCGGCGGCGGCGTCTCCTCCTCCCCCGCAGACGCCGCGAGCACCCGCTCCGCGTGGTCGCGCTCCGGGGTTTTCGCCTCCTCCCGTTCCCGCGCCGCCGCGCGCTCCTTAGGGCCGTTCCATACGAAGCGAACGTCGGGGTGGAGTTGAAAGGCGTCAGTTGGAGTTGAAAGGCGTCGAGGGCGGGTATTGAAAGGGAGGAGTGGGTGGAGAGACGCGACGGGCAAAGTCCTTAAGGAACGGCGTTCACCACACCGACGCGGTCGTATGGGAACCAGTGTATAGAACGCGCCTTCGTCGCCGCCTCGTCGTCGCTCTCGCTCTCGTCGCCGATCGGCGTTCGCTTCCGCCCGGCGCCGGCGGCTCCCTTCTCTCTCGGCGTCTTCGGCTCCGCGCTCCTCGAGCTGGTGCGATCGCCTCGGATCCAGTCGCGCAGCGGCGTGAACTCGCCGTCGAACGACACCGTCGGGTACTTCAACAGAAGCGCCCTCACCTTGGCCCGCGCGCCGTCGCGCACCAACACGTCTTGTATCGTCTCGTTCCCCTTCGCGATCGACAGCGCGCATCCCACGAGCGACCGCGCGTCGTCCGCGGTGAACGTCCCAAGCTCCGCGCCCTCGCCCTCGAGCGCGTCGGTCATCGCGCCGAGGAGGACGGGGATGAACCCGGACGCGACGACGGCGACTTGCGCGGGCGTCTCGCCGAGATTGGCGTACGCCCACAACGCCGACGCGGTCGCGACGGTCACCTTAAACGCGTCCGCGCGCCCCGCAGCCACGGACAGCGCGTTGGCGACGTTCCGGAACCGCACCTGGCGCTTGAACCTCGCCCTCGTCGAATCGTTCCGAAGCAGCGCGTCCAGGACGCCGACGCACGCGACGGCGACGGCTTCCTTCTTATCGTACAGCTTGAGCGCGTCGATCGCCGCGCGAGGACCGCCGTTGACGAGGACGAGGTACGCCTTGGGCCCGCGCGCGAGGCGTCCGAGCGCGTCGATCGCGCGCTTCGCCATGTCGACGTCGTGCTCTTCCCCGAACCGCCCGAGCGCGCCCGGGGCGTTCGTCGCCGTCGTCGCGAGTAACGTCACCGCTCTGCGCCGCGCGGTGTAGATTTGCTCCTCCGTGAAGACGGCTTTGCGCCACTTTTTTCGCGACAGATACGCCGTCACGGAGTCGATGCGTCCCCGCGTGGCGTCGTCGTACGTCGCCGCGTCCAGCTCCTCCTCGTCCTCGGTGCCGCTGTCTTCGTCTTCTATCGCGCCCGCGCCCGAAAACTTCGCCTCAGCAGCGCCTTCGCGCCCTTTCGGCGGCGAGTCTTCAACCTCTCGCCCCGCCGCCGCAACCTCCGCGAGCTTCGCGTTGGCGAGAGAGAGCATCTCCAACGCGTTGTCCAGCTCGTCCTCCACGCGCTCGCACTCCATCCTCCACGCCTCGCTCTCCATCTCCAGCTTGCGCGTCGTCCCCTCGTCCACGACGAGCCGCGGCGCGATCGCCGCGCCCGTCGCCGGGTCCACGCCGCCGAGGTCCCACACGATCTTCTGGACGCCTCTGAGGGTCGAGGGTCCATACGAGCGAATATCGGGGTGGAGTTCAAAGGCGTCAGATGGAGTTGAAAGGCGCCGAGGTCGGGGATTGAAAGCGAGGGGTGGGCGGAGAGATGCGCCAGGCAAAGTCCTTAAGGATCGGCGTTCACCACGCCAACGCGGTCGTATGGGGACTAGTGTGTAGAACGCGCCTGGCTTCGAGGAGCGCGAGCGCCGGGCCGGCGTCGTTGACGCCGCCGCACTCGTCGATCGCGTCCTCGGCGTCGTCGTAGTCGTAGCCGAGCATGACGAGCTGCGCGACGACGACGGCTCGAGACGCGAGGAGCGGGTCGATGCGCACGGGGAATTTCGACGCCACGGGCATGCGGACGCGCTCGCCGGCAGCCTTCTCGCGCTCGTACTGCGCGTGGGCGATCTCCGATTGCAAATTTCGAAAGCTCGAGCTGAGCTCGTCGATGCGCCGCTGCGCGGCGCGCAACGCCGCGCGCTCGGACTTGAGCCGCGCGCCCTCCTGCCCCGGGACCTCGCGCTCGGTGAGCTCCTTCACCGTGACGCGCAAGTTCGCCACCTCTTGTTCGGACAGCGACAGCGCGGTGACCGCGTTTCGCATCGCGGACGACGCCTCCTGGAGCATCGTCTGCGACGCCGCGTTCTTCGCGCGGAGCGCCTCCTGCGCGGATAGAATCGCAGCCTCGAAGTCCGCCTTGCTCACCTGTCGCGGAGGAGACGAGAGGATCGAGGTGGGGGGGGGGGGAGGACGCGTCGGCGCGAGGAAGATGCGGAGGGCGGGGGGGGGGAGGACCCCCCCCGAGGAGGAGGATCTGGAATTGGGGCCTTATCGACCGTCGACGTGCGAAAAGGCGCGCTCGATCAGATCGGGAATTGAGGATTCCGCGGGGACGACGACGCGCGCGCGGGCGAGACGAGGGCGCACCATCCCGTCCGCGGTGACCGATACCCCCGCGGCGAGGTGATCGAAGTTGTCCACGTCCATCATGGCGACGTACCGTCCGCGACCCGCGCGCGGAGGAGCTTTGAGCGACTCGCGACGGAAGGTGTTACGATATTTCGTCAGCACGAAGAGGCGACTCGACTCGATGAAACCTCTCGACGCACGCAGGTCGACGCGTCGCTCGTCACCTGCGAAATCGAAAGCGCCTGGAAAGCGCGCGCTTCAAACGGCGTCGTCGTCAGAGCCCATGTCGCGATCGAGGAGCGCTTCCCCCCCCGGGCGGGGCGATGATCGCGACCGCGACCGCCCGCGACGATCCTCCGGGCGCCACGCCGGCGCGTACAGAGAGCCCGCGATCTTCCTGGGCGGCCTCCCGTTCGACACGGACGAGCGCACGCTGCGGGATCTGTGCGAGCGCTACGGCGACGTCGAGAGCGTGAAGATCTCCTACGACGTGGAGACGCGGAAGTCGCGAGGGTTCGCGTTCATCACGTTCGCGAGGCTCGACGACGCCCTGGACGCGGCGGAGAGGATCAACGGGACGGACGTCGAGGGGAGAATCGTGCGGTGCAACATGGCGGAGGACAAGCCAGAGCGCGCGAACGGCGGCGGATCCGCGGGGAAACATCATCATCAGGCGCGTTCTAGTATCACACTGGTCCCCATACGACCGCGTCGGCGTGGTGAACGCCGTTCCTTAAGGACTTTGCCCGGCGCATCTCTCCGCCCAGGGTCCCCCGCTTTCAATCCCCGCCCTCGATGCCTTTCAACTTCAACTGACGCCTTTCAACTCCACCCCGACGTTCGCTCGTATAGAACGGCCCTCGTCATCGCCCGCGATCGCCGCCCCGCGGCGGGCGTTCAGAGGGACGTCATCGAACGACCCGAGGCGACGACAGGCGCGGTCGTCGCCGCGACGACGACGACGACGACGACGACCGCGGGCGCGGGCGTGGATCGCGACGCCGCGGGAGCCGCTCGCGCGACCGCGACCGCGACGACGACCGTCGCGGTCGCGGTCGCTCCGCGAAGCGCGCGCGACGCGACGCGAGTCGCAGCGACGGCGGCGACGACGCCGCGGAGGCGTCGTCGCTCGCGCGCGACCTCCGCGACGCGAGGACGCGCGGCGAGAACCTCGAGCGGCGGCTGCGAGCGCTCGAGGAGACCGCCGCGAAGACGGCCGGGAGAGGGAGAGGCGGCGGAGGGGGGGACGCGTCGAGGGCGGCGCGCGCCGACGCTTTGGAGCGCGCGCTCGAGGTGCGTTCTGGTCGCACCGGTCCCCGTACGACGGCGTTCGCGTGGAGAACGCCGATCCTTAAGGACTTTCTCTCCCGGCGCATCTCTCCGCCCAGGCTCCCTCGCTTTCAATCCCCGACCGCGTTGCCTTTCAACTCCAACTGACGCCTTTGAACTCCACCCCGATATCATCGCTCGTACGGAACGACCCCGAGGCGACGACGCGCGGGCGGGAAGAGCGGAAGCTAGCGGTGCGGCGCGCGAGCAAGGCGGGGGCGGCGGTGTTGAAGTGCCGCGAGGCGTTGGCGGAGGCGGAGGACGCGCTGGGGAAGACGCTGCGCGCGGCGAAGGAGATGTTCGACGCGGGCGGAGGCGGCGGCGGAGGAGGAGGCGGCGTTGGGGGCGGGGCGGCGTGACTGATGACTCGTGACTGCGTGGTGACACATCGAGACACGAAGCGCAAGCTGGCAAGCGGCCACTTCCGAGAAGGAATAATAAATATTTCGAGGGGCCGGCACGCGCCTACACTCCACCATGGGGCGTCCCCCCCTCCTCCTCCTCCTTCTCCTCCTCCTCCTCGTCGTCGTCTCCGCGCTCTCGTCGCCCGCGGACGCGATATGGGACCGACGTCCCCCCGAGTGCGACGACACGTGCGTGGAGGACGACAACGCGCCGTCGCACGCGCGTTGCGCGGTGACCGTCCTCGACGACGTCGTCTCCGTCGCCGACGCGGACGCGCTCGTCGCCGCCGCGGAAGCGCACGCGGCGAAGCACGGATGGACGAGGACGCGGCACGCCAACTACCCGACGACGGACCTCCCCTGGGGCGCGCTCCCGGGGACGTGGGCGGTGTTGAACGAGACGTGGACGAGGATGGAGGCGGACGTCCGCGCGAGGTGCGGCATCAAATCCAACGATGTGCTCACGCCGAACGACATCTTTCTCGTGAAGTACGACGCGTCCGAGGGCGGGCAGAAAGGCCTGAGGCGCCACCGCGACGGGAGCACGTTCTCGTTCAACATGATGCTGTCGAACCCGGGGGACTACGGCGGCGGCGGGACGAGGGTGTGGAACGCGACGGACACGGAATCGCGCGAGGGACGCGAGCGATTTTGGCGAGCGGAGGTGACGAAGGACCCGGGGAGGTTTCCCGGCGTGAACCTCACGCGCGGGGACCGAATGCCGCGAAACTTCGTCCCCAACATCCACATGTACCCGGAGGACGAGTCCACGCTGCACGTCCTGGAGAAAGGGCAGATGCTCGTCGGCGGCGGCGCGAACGTGCACCAGGGCGTGCCGGTGACGACGGGGACACGGTACATCGTCGCCGGGTTCGTGGGGTGGAATCGGCACTGCTGCTCGATCAAGTACTGCGGCCTCCGAGGCGTGATCGGGTTTCTTCGCGTGTGGATGCTCACGGGGCGCTCAGGGATGGGGGGGCGCGCGGATCTGTCACGGGAACTCCCGCAGCACGACTGGATCCTGTACAGGGAAGGGATGGCGTCGCTGCGGAAGTGGTGTCGGCGTATTTTGTTTTCGCTCGTCGCGTACTGCGTCGTCGGCAACGTCGCCCCGAGCGCGCACGAGGCGGTAAAGAACCCGAGGAGAGCGCTCAGGGAGCTGAGGATATGGTACAGGAAGCGGCAGAAGACGTACTCGTGCTTGCCCACGCGGACGGATTAACGGATCATAGACTGTAGGTAGAAGAGAAGGCTAATAAGTTGGTTGGTAAAATAATAGTAGTCAAACGCCGCTAGTCGAAGACGAAGGGGAGCGTTATCCGGGTCTCCCCGTCGCTCGCCGGGAACGTCGTCTCCATCAGCGTCCCCGCGATCTCCAGCATGATCGCGTCGCGTATATCCGTCGCGCTCAGCTCCCCGCCGACGCCCTCGGGCGACGGCACGAGCGAGTCCGCGGTGAATTGGACGCGTTCCACGCCGCCGTCGCGTTTCACGAAAACCTTCGCCGCGACGACGCCGCGCGCCCTCGGGAGCGTCCCCAACGTCTCGTACAGCGGCGGTAACACGTCCAATAACGTCTCCTCCGCGTCCGTTTCACTCAACGCGCCATCGAAAAACGGCTCCGGGTCGTTGAACCACCCGTGAAGGACCAACCGTCCGAGTTTCGGATCCCTGACTCCCTCGACGACGGGCACGCCGTGCGGCACCCTCGGATCGAACACCGTCAGTCGATTGAACAGCGGCTCGATCGTCGTCGTCAGGCTCGCCCTCTCCACGACGTCGTCGCTACGAAACGTCCGCCAGTACTCCAACGTCTCCGGGTTCAAAACCAGCGTCTCCCCGCCCGTGAAGAGTCGCGCGTCCCAGCGCGTGAGAGATAACACGAACGCCCACGGCCCGTGCGGGACGTCGGCGTGGAGCTCCTGACGGCATCCGTCGACGTAGCAGCTCAGCCACACCGGCGTCAGCCCGCCGCACCCGAGCTCCGTCCTCGCGTACGACCGCAGCGCGTCCTCGAGCCGAGCGTACTGGTCGTCGTCCTCGAAGTAATCCGCCGCGGGCGTGCGCAGGAGCGTGTACTGCTGCGGCACGTGCCAGTAGTCCCACACGAATCGATGCGCGTGCACGCGGCGCGGGTCGTCGTGCCGCGCGTCGTAGACGCCGCGCAGGACGGACGCGAGGTCCGCGGGGAGGAAGTCGTCCACGACGGTGACGTGCTTCGCCTCGGCGGGGATCTCGATCTCGCCCGCGAGCTCCTCGGCGTCGGCGTCGGCGTCGGCGTCGACGTCTTCCGCGGCGTCGACGTCCGCCGTGGCGCGCGCGATGTCAGCGCGCTTTTCGCCCCGAGAGCGCTTCATCAGCGACGCGCGCTTCGTCGCGACGACGGGGGAGGACGACGCGCGTCGTCCGCGGGCGGCGTCCGCGCGGTGACGACGACGGGAGAGACATCCCGTCGGCGGTTGGGACGACGTCGTCCATCGCGTCAGCGACGCCGGGCGCGCCATCGCGCGGTGTGCCGCGGCGTTCGGCCCTGCGCGCGCTTTTATCGACGACGAGTAGAAGACGACGAGCGAGAGGACTGGAAGTTCAAGCGACCGCACGACCGGCGAGCGGAGAGTTTGAGTTCGCGGCGGTCGCGGGCGCGCGACGGACAGAAGCGGGCGCGCGTCGATCGCTCGGCACGCGCGCGCGCGGTGAACGCGCGTCGCGTCGGATCGATCGGCGTTTAGGGAACGAACGCCGTCGCGGGCGCGGGCGATCGCGCGCGCGAGGGTCCCTCGGGCGCGGGCGCTCGACCGAATTCTTCGCGCGCGGGGGCGAGATCTGGAGGATTTCGTCGGCGAGCGGACAGCGGAGGACGGCGACCATGAAGAAGGTCCTCGCCGCGATAGGCATGGCCCCCGGGGCGGACGGCAAAGGCCCGAAGAAGACGATACGCGCGAACCTCGGGGACGACAACTCGTTCTACTACGACGAGACCCTCAAGACGTGGGTCGATCGAAACGGGTCGTCCGACGCCATCGCGAGCGACGCCGCCGCGCGCGGGCCTCCGCCGACGTCCATGCCGCCGTCGAGCCTCGGCCCCGGCCCCGGCCCCGACGCGGGCGGTGGCGTCAGCGGCGGCGCGCCGCCGCCGGGCGCGGGGCACCAGAGGACCGCGAGCGAGGTGAGCGCGAGCGGCAGCGCCGACGGGACCGGGCGTCTCAGGTGCGTTCTATACACTGGTCCCCATACGACCGCGTTGGCGTGGTGAACGCCGATCCTTAAGGACTTTTGCCGCCGTCTCTCCACGCCCAACCCTCGCTTTCAATCCCCGCCCTCGATGCCTTTCAACTCCAACTGACGCCTTTCAACTCCACCCCGACATTCGCTTGTATGGAACGACCCTCAGCCGCACCGCCTCGCTGTCGCACGTCAGGAGTCGGTACGTGGACACGTTCAATCCGGCGGGCGGCGGCGGCGGCGGCGGCGGCGGCGCGGACTCGAACGACGGCGGAGACGGCGGCGGCGGCGGCGGCGGCGGCGTGAGCTCGCTGCTCGCGCCCGTGCTCCCCGGGAACGTCCCGGGCGGCGGCGGGGGCGGGTTCCTCCCGCGGCCCCCGGGGGCTGCGGGGGCGGCGCGAACGGCGGCGCCAAAGTTTTTCACCCCCGCGGCGCGACAGCAGCCGACGCACGCGGACAGCAGCGGCGGCGAGACGGACGGGGACGACGGCGCGCCGGGTTTGCTGGGCGGAGACGGCGGCGGGGGGTTGTTATCCGGCGAGAGCGCGACCGCGGGCGCGTCGCCGAAGGGGTCGCGCTCTCGCCGGCGGGGCTCGCGACTCGGCGGCGACGCCGCGACGGCGACGGCGACGGCGAGCGCGACCGGAGGCGACGGCGATTCCGATTCGCTGATGACGCGCCGCCCAGGGCGCGTGAGCACGACCGCCGCGGCGAGCGACGGCGGCGGCGGCGGCGGCGACGCGTCGTCGAACCCGAGCTCGGCGGCGCCGACGCCGGGGAGCGCGGACGGCGGCGGCGGCGGCGGCGGCGGCGCGTTGGCGGACTGGGCGCGCGTCGCGGGGCAAGCCTCCGAGGCGGCGTCGCCGCACGCCGACGCGGCGGCGGCGACGGAGCTCCCGGACGTCCCGGACGCGGCGCACGGGGGTGTCGGGGGCGGGGGCGGAGCTGGTCAGGTCGACGCGGGCGCGGCGGCGGCGACGGCGACGGCGACGGCGACGGCGGAGGGCGACCCCGGCGGCGAGTGGAGACAAAACGACGCCGGCGCGTGGCTGTGGTACCCGTCCGACGGCGGCGAGCCGATACCGTACGACGGCGGCGGCGGCGGCGGGACCGAAGGCGGCGGCACCGTCGCGGGGATCGACGCCGAGCGCGAGGAGCAGTGGAACGCCGCGCTGCGCGCCGCGAACGAGGCGACGACGGCGGCGGAGAGCGCGGCGGCGGAGGCGAGAGAGGAGCGCGCGCGCCTCGCGGAAGAGGCGGAAGCGCTGCGATTGGACGCCGCGCGCGTCGCGGAGGCGCACGCCGCGGAGATCGCCGCGCTCATGGAACGCCTGAACGCCGCGGAGACGGCGGCGAAGGAGGCTAAGGCGACCGCGGACGCGGAGATCGCGGCGGCGAGGGCGAAGGCGATCGCCGCGTCTGGCGACGACGGCATGCCCGGCGGCGACGCCGGCGACGCCGCCGGGGACTCCGTGCAAGCCGCGCGCGCGGCGGGATACCGCGCTGGGCACGCGGACGGGCACCGCGAAGGCCACGGCGACGGGTACAGGGAAGGCCACGCCGCCGCCACCGCGGACGGCGAGGACGACATGGCGGATCTCCTCGTGTGCTTGGGCCAGGAGGATCGCAAGATCGAGCGCCTGAAACAGCTTCTCGAGGAGAAGGGCGTGGACGCGGACGCGGTCATGGACGAGCTCGCCGCGGAGGAGGAAGCGCAGCTCGCCGAGCTCGTCAAGGGCGACGGCGGCGAGCGCGACGGCGAGCGCGACGACGACGACGACGACGACGCGGGCGCGGAGGAATCGTCCTTCGCGTCGTCCGTGCACTTCATGGCGGACGCGTCCGCGGCGCCCGGCGGCCACGGCCTCGGCGGCGGCCACGGCGGCGGGAGCGTGCCCGTCGGCGGTCACCACCACGGCCAGATGCCCCCGGAGTCCCCCGACGCGCGGATGCTCCAGGACATCTCGTTGCCCTCGATCCCGCCGTCGCCGGCGATGACGGCGGCCGGGGTCGCCGTCGCGTCCGCCGTCCCCGCGCGTTTGCAGCGCCGCGCCGCGCACCAGGCAGCCGCGGACGGCGGCGCGATGGACGACGAGTGGAACATGTCCGGGGAGATCGCGCGCGACGGCGAGGCGGATCAGGGGATATCCCCCGCGGATTGGGACCTCACGTCGCCGCCGCCGGCGCCGAGGACGTCGACGAACGACGACGACGACGCGGCGCCCGCGCCCGCGCCCGCGCCCGCTCCGGAGATGGAGGCGCCGTCCTCTCCCGAGCCCGAGGCCGCCGCCGGGTTGTCCGCCTCTGCCGCGCCGTTTAGCTCCCCGATCGGGGCGGGACCGGGCGGGACCGGGAAGGACGACGACGTCGCGTTCTTCGATACCCTGAACAGCGGCGCGGCGGCTCAGGCGGCTCAGGCGGCGGTTCCCGTCGCGCCTCCGCAACCGACGCAGCAGTGGAACGAGGTCGCGCTCGACGGAAACGCGCCCGCGCCCGCGACGACGCTCCAAGGGGGCTGGCAGCAGCAGGACGCGTACGCCGCGTTCGTGCCGCAGCCCGCGACGGCGACGGCGACGGCGCAGCAGTGGCCGGCGCAGACGCAACCGCAACAGGCTGGGTACGGGTACGGATACGACGCGTCGCAGCAGCAGTCGCAGCAGTACGGCCAGTACGCGTACGATCCGTCGCAGCAACAGCAGCCGCACGGAGGTCAGTACGCGCAGCCGCCGCCGCAGCATCAGCAGCAGTGGAACGGCGCGTTAGAGGACTCCGCGGCGCAGTGGGGGTACGGAAACTCAGGAGCGTGGACCCCGGGGGCGAACCAAGGGAAGTATTGACGACGACGACGGAGACGAGACGATGTTTGATGACCGTGGACGCGAGGGATTCGAGCTTTTTCCGCGCGGCATCGAGCTTTTGTTGCTTTAGTACCGTAACAATGTCATCAACTCTGTTGAAAATCCGCGTACGTCGTACCGAAATAATACCGTAATGAAATAATACTCGCGCGCTCGTCGCGTCGCGTCGCGTCGCGCTCGCTCACGTGTCACGTGCTGATGATCGCGGACACGTGCATGTACACGTTCACGAGCTGCATCGCGTTCATGTCCTTGCTCCCGCCCCCGATCCACACCAGTCGCACCACCGGCGTCGCCGTCGCGTCCCGCCGCAGCCGCGCCTCCTCCGCCTTCCTCGCCGCCGCCATCGGGTCCGGCTCCTCCGCGACGATCGACTTCGTCGGGTTCTTGTGCAGCAAACCCTCGACCGGGGTCAAGATGGCGCGTATCCGCATCTCGCCCAAGACCGCCGTCGCGGTCAACCGCTCGCGATCCACGTGGATCTCCACCCGTCGATCGTCGCGCCCGCCGCCGCTCGGCCACTGGAGCGTCTCCAACGCGCCGAGGAGCGCGACGAAGGCGACGTCCGTCTCCTTCAACCGCGGCGCGCACGTCACCGTCATCGAGTTGTGCGCCTCCTCCGTGACCGGATTCCTGCGCTCGAACGCCGCCATGACCTCCGCCTCCGTCACCGTGTCCGCGGTTTGCATCCAGTCGCACTCGAGCACCTCCTTCGCCGTCGGTCGATGCATCGGGTCCTTGTGCACCATCGCGCGAAACACCTGATCGAGCTCCGCGGAGACCTCCCACCCAGGGCCGACGAGCCTGTACAGGCGGTCGATCGGCTGCTCGTCGACGCTCAGCGGCGCGAACTTCTCCCCGCGCCCGCGCAGCGCGTCCGCGATGTTGTGCTTGATCTTGCTCATCCGTCCGACGCCGGTGAGAAGCAACAGGATCAACCCGCTCGCCCACACGTCGCTCTGCGGCAGCCTGTACATGCCGTCCTCCGCGGCGACGACCTCGTCGCCGATCCTCCCTCCTCGGACCGCCTCCGCGGGGAAGATGGCGTTGTCGTACACGAACTGCTCGTGGTCGTTCGTCGGACCCTCCCCGGTCTCGGACGGCTGCGGCGGCACAAACACCGTCCTGCCAAAGTCGGCGACTTTCAGCGAATACATCCCGCCCTCCCTGGACACCAGCACGTTCTCCGTCTTTAAATCCCTATGAAACAAGTTCCGGCCGTGAAGGAAATCGATCGCCTCCATGAGCTGTCGGAATATATGCGCGACGACCGGCTCGCGCATCGGCTCTAACGGCTGCGCGGACACGTACGAGAACAGGTCGCCGCCTTCGCACAAGTCGCACGCGAAATAATGAATCGGCGCGGAGACGCCAGACGGCAACGCGCACGGCTTGGGCGCGTGCGGTGGCGTCACCTCGATCACGTTCACGAGCCTTGGGTGCTTCGGGATCGAGGTCAAGATCCGCCGCATCGTCCCGAGCTCGCGCGCGAGCTCGGCCATCATCGTGGACGGCATGTAATCGTGCGACGCGCGCGGCGTCTTCAGAAACACCGCCTTCTTACTCTGCAAGTCCAGCGCCTTCCAGCCGTGCCCGTAGCTCCCGCTCGCGACGTAGTTTTCGATGACGAACCGGCTGTTCACGATGCCGCCGTTCAGCGGTTCCGTGCCCTTCGGCCACGTCCACAGTCCCCCCGGCTCGTGCGCGGCTCTGGACCACAGCGGCGCGAGCATGATGGGCGGCCCGCCCTCTCTCGCGCGGACGAATTGCGCGGGGACGTTGGGCACGATGAAGAGATGCATCGGCGGCCGCACGTCCTCGACGACGTGCTCCGCGGGCTTGTAGTCGATGTCCAAGTTGACGTCCTCGGGCCGCTCGACGCCGAGCTCGTCGTCGTCGTTCGCGGCGTCGACGGACACGTCCGGGGCGACCTCCGTCGTCGGGTCGATGGCGTGGAGGTACGTCGCGACTTCGCCCACCATGACTCTCGTGACGGCGTCGACGAGGAACCCCGCGTCGCCGGTGACGGGGCCGCAGCCTTTCTCGAACGACCTCCGGAGGAGCAACATCGACGTGATGACCTCCTCGTGCCCGAACCCTTGTCTGCGGCGCTTCGCGACGATGTACGAGATGGTCTGTCGAAGTTTCGCCTGCGACGCGGTCACGAGGTAATTCACGATGGCCTTGACGATTCGAAGCGTGTTTTGCTTCGTCTGCTCCACGCGCGATTGCGTCGTCGCCCACTCCGCGTACCGCATCCCGGTCTGCGCGAGCAGCAGCGCGGCCCACGCGCCGGCGACGTCCTCCGCCCGCGCGTCGATCCTCGCCGCGAGCTCGAGGCGCTTCTCCTGGGGAAACTTCCGCGAGATCCCAGCCAGGTCGACGTCGTCGAAGTCCTCCACGTTGACGCCGTCGACGTTGTGGTTGTTGTTCCAGCTGTCGCGCTTCCCTCGCTTCACCGGCCTCGCGCTTCCGCTCGGGATATCCAGCGACGACCGTCCGCTGGCGCCGGACGCGTTCGAGTTCAAGCGCGACAGCGACGGCTTCCTGTCGTTGTTTCCCAGCGACGACGGCGTCTCCTCGAGATTCGACGGCGCGTCGAGGCGCGCACGAAACGCTGCATTAGAGGCGGCGGCCACCGTCGCCGTCGTCGTCGCCTCGCCGCCGCTCGGGTACGGGCTCAGGCCTAACGACGGGAGCGTGCGGATGTCCCCCATGGAGTCGTTCGAGCGCTTCAGCGCCGCGCCCCGCGAGTCCGGCGTCGGCGTCGACATGGCGTGATGAACGCAGTCTGCAGCAGAGAGACGAGAGACGAGCAGCCGAAAATCGCCGCGACCGCCCGCGAACGCCTCCGTTTCGCGGACGCGCCGAGCGACCGCGCGCCGCGGAAGACCGCGGAGCGGAGCGCGACGCGAGAGGCTCGAGTCGCCGCGCGCGAAGACCTCGGGCGCGCGACGCGCGACCGCGTTGTGCCGCCGCAGCGCGTCACCGGGGAACTCCCGTCAGCTGGTGCAGGTTTTCTTTTGTCGACTCGGCACCCCAATCCGTCGAAAAGTTCAGACTGATTGCCCATACGAGACGGCCACGCGCTCGGTCGGTCGAAGATCTGTAAAGACCGAAAGGCACCGAACGAAGGCACCGAACGAAGGCACCCGACGCGGGTTTTTTTGTGCTCGATCGACGATCGGCCTCCTTCCGCGCGAGACGAAGCGTCGCCCGTCGCGTCCGCGCGTCCACCGCGAGTGTCGTCGTGACGTTCTCGTCGTACTACAGTTCTATCGTCGTCTACGTGTGCTATGCGCGAGCGTGTCTCGCTTCGTGTCGTGTACTCTTCTGCTTCTTCTCACGCGTCGAATCGGTGCCATGTCGATGTCATGTTTCTCTCCTTCCTCCTCCTCCTCCTCCTCTCGCGCCGCGCCGCCTCACCGTCGGTGTCGTCGCGAGCCGCCAATCTTCGTCTCCTTGCCCGCTGGACGCGGCGCGGGAATCCTCTTCCCGCCGCCGCCGCCGGCCACCGTGAAGTCATCCGGCCCCGCGCCGACTGACGGATCAAACGTCCGCGCGTTCCGCCTTCGACCATTCTCTCATCGTGTCTCCGAAACTCCAATTCCGTCGCGAGCCGCGACATAATTCCCCGCGCCGCGCCGCACCGCCGCGGGAGCGACCCGTCCCTCGTCGTCCTCCTCGTCCCCGAACGCGATGGCGGCGCCCCCCCCGCGCGCCGTCGCCGTCCACCTCGGCCCCGGGAACGCGCACCTCGCGACGCGCGCGGACGTCCTCCACACGCCCGGCGTCAGCGTCCTCGCGACGAATGATGCATCTCTTGAATCGTCGGCACCGACGCGCGACGGCGAGAAGAACGACGCTCATCATCGGGCGCCGCCGCGCCGACAACAGACCGTCCGCGGCGTCCTCCTCGCGAAGGATCACTTCGAGGTGTTGGGGTTCGACTTCTTCGGCGGCGGCGACGACGTGAAGACGGACGCGGAGGTGTTCACGGCGTACGTGCGCGCCGGGATGGCGACGCATCCGGCGTCGTGCCACGACGCGGTGAACGCGCCCGCCGCGTTCGTTCGCGTCGGCAAGGCGTTCGCGGCGCTTCGAACAGAGAAGGACAGGAGGGCGTACGTCAACGCGCTCGCGACAGGGCGCAGACGCGAGCTCCCGTCGAGCGACGTCGACGACCCGTTCCCGCCGGGGACGCCGTCCAGCGACGCCGCGTCGAGCGCGTCTTTGTCGTCGTCGATGGTGGAAGAGGAACTGCTCGCGTTGGAGCTCGAGACTGAACTCGCGCGCTGGGACGCGGAGTTTGGGAACCCGCGCATGGACGCGCGGCGGTTCGGGCGGTGGGCGTCGGTTCGCGAGGAGGGCGAACTCGCCACGCGGAGCCTGTGGAGGAGCGACTTCGAGGATAGGAAAGAGCCGGTGTTCAAGCCGCGGCGTCGGAATCGCGCGATTTGGGAAGCACGACCGGGGACGACGCGCGACGATTTTCTCAACGCGGTGTTCAACGCGGAGACCGAGGCGAGGGACGAGTACAAGCGCCGGTGGTGCCCGGAGCTGTATCACAAGGGCAGACATCTCGCGGACGTCACGGCGAAGGCGGTCGCGAAAGCGCCGCCGGTGTCCACGAAGACGAACCCGTTTTAGGAATAGCGAGCGTAATACGTCTCCGGCTTCGACTCCAATCCTAGGCGAGACACTGACGAGGAGGACGCGTCGGGGCGATGAGTGTGTACGTGTACAGCTGTGAACTGTGAACTGAACGCGAACTTGACAGCTTTTTTTTCGTCGCCCGAACCGCCGCTCCGCGCGGTCCGTCACTGTTCGCTCCCCGCGGCACGCGCACCCTCAGTTGCGCGCGCTCGACTCCTTCCCCGCGTCGAATCCAAGCGCGCGCGCGCGCGGCGCCGTCGGGCGCGCGACCGACGCGCGCGACCGCGGCCGACGCGCGCGCGGCTTCCCCTCGCCGCGCCTCGATCGCTTTTCCGCGAATCTCGCCATCGCCGTTTTTTTCGCGCGTCACCATCCGTCCGTCCTCCGCCGCTCGTCCACAGGCGCGCTTCGGCCACCATGGTCGCTAGTAGGAAGAGAGCGCAAGGCAGGACGCGCGTCGTTGAACCGAGCGCGAAGCAAAAGAAGTTCAATGCCACGGTCCAGGCCATCCGCGACAACTTCAAAGCGCGCGCGGATCCGTCGTGCGAGCTCTCTCCGAAGGAAAAGTTCGACGCCGCGCAGCGCGACTTGGAGAAACTCGTCGACGCCATCGGCGAGTTCCTCGGCCGCAAGCTGCACTTAAGGCGGATTCTTCTTCCCGAGGACGCGGAGTGGACCGAGAGCGGCCTCAAGGAGAAGTTCAACGTCATCATCGGGCACTTCGAGACCGACGGGATCGGACTCCGCGGGAACTTGCGAAAGCTCCGCGGCGACGGGAAGCGGCTCGTTTCCGACGTCTGGGATTGGTTTTTTGCTCACATCGATGAGACGCCCGCGGCCGGTCGCGCTCGCGCGCCTTCGTTTGTCATGGGCAACATGATTCCCTGGCCTGGGCGTCACGACGCCGGCAAGATCATCTTGAAAGGCGTCGGGACGCGCGAGAGGAAGTTGATCGAGGACTTGATCGTCGAGGCGTTGAACGCCTGCGGGACGCCCGAACGCGCGGGGGGCTTCGGTCGGCCGGTGAGTTCCTTCTTTCCCACGCCCCTCGACTTTTTCGACGACGCTGCGCTGCAACGCCCCGATCTTGTTTTCTGACTGACGCGCGCGCCCCTTCCTCCCCCGACCGTTCACAGGCACGCGAATGGATGGCGAAGCACTGCCCTGCGGATATGCCCGCGGAGCGCGCCCTGTGGCCCGAGCTGGACGGTGATGTCCACACCAAGTCCGTTCACATGTGCTTGGCGACGTCCATCGGGTCGACGCGGTGGCTCACGGAGCGCTTCATCCGAGGCATGGCGGACTTGTTCGTGCACTTCGGCGGGCCGGCGGGCACCTTCGACACGCTCTTGGCGAAGTTCAAGGAGGACGGCCGCCTGCTCGAGATCACGCCGGAGATGGCGGCGTGGTTCTCCGAGAGGATCAAGGAGGGGCAGCAGTACTGGAAGGTGACGGGCCAGTCGAAGAACGCGCCCGGGGTGGGGACGCGCGGGCTGAAGAAGAGAAAGAAGGCGGCGAGGGCGAAGAAGGTGATGGAGAGGACCGCGCCGGAGAAGGCGGCGACGCGGGAGAAGATGCTCGCGACGCTGAGCAAGAAGACCGACGCGGAGAAGGCGGCGTCGGAGAAGAAGAGGCTCGCGTCGCGGAGCAAGACGCTGAGCAAGAAGACCGACGCGGAGAAGGCGGCGTCGAAGAAGAAGATGCTCGCGACGCGGAGCAAGACGCTGAGCAAGAAGACCGCGGCGGAGAAGGCGGCGACGGAGAAGAAGAGGCTCGCGTCGCTGAGCAAGACGCTGAGCAAGAAGACCGTGGCGGAGAAGGCGGAGACGAAGAAGAAGATGCTCGCGACGCTGAGCAAGACGCTGAGCAAGAAGACCGTGGCGGAGAAGGCGGAGACGCAGAAGAAGAGGTCCGAGACGCTGAGCAAGAAGAAGAAGACGCCGTAGGAGAAGGCGGAGACGACGAAGAGGAGGCGCGCGGGGTCCGAGAAGAGGAAGTAGTCCCCCAACAACCGCATCATGCGCTTAGGGGAGGGGGAGATGAATGCCGTATTATTACATTTAAACGCGCTCGTTCGATCAGTCGCAGTCGCGTTACGAATCTTACTTCGGATAAGAAGGATTATGCCCCATCGACTTAATATTGTCTAACTAACTTATCGCCGGGTCTTTGTACTTCTTATACACCGCGTCGATGTCGTCCAAACACTCCTGCGTCATCTCCACGTTAAACGCGTCGATGTTCTCCCCCAGTTGCTCCATCGACGTCGCGCCGATGATCGTCGACGTGACGAACCACCGCGACCGCACGAACGCCAGCGCGAGCGCCGCGGGAGAGAGCCCGTACTCCCCCGCCACCCTCGCGTACTCCGCCGTCGCCTCCCTCGTCGCGCTCTTGTTGAACCGCTCCATGTACCCCGGAAACATCGTGAAACGCGCGCCCTCGGGCGGGCTCTCCCCGAGGTATTTACCCGTCAGCGCGCCGCCCGCGAGCGGGGAGTACGCCAGCAGACCGACGTTGGCGTTTGACGGCGAGCACACCTCCGCGAGATCCGTTTCAAACGCGCCGCGCGTGAGCAAGCTGTAACTGTTTTGAATCGACACGAGCTTCGGCATGCCGCTCGTCGCCGCGATCCGCGCGAACTCGCACACGCCCCAGCTCGTCTCGTTGCTCACGCCCAGGTGCCGGACCTTCCCTTGGCGAATCAAGTCGTCGAACGCGCGGAGTTGCTCCTCGAACGGGACGTCGTCGTCGTTGACGTTGGCGACGTCGTAGGGCGACGCGCCGAACAGCGAGACGTAGCGATCCGGCCAGTGAATCTGCAGTAAATCTATGTGATCCACCTGGAGGCGCGACAGCGAGTGCTCCACGGACTCCATGATGTGCTTGCGCTTCACGCGCGGCGTCTCGTTGTCGCCGCGGGGGAGCCACGTGATGCGATCGCTGCGGCCGCTCACCTTGGTCGCGAGGACGACGTCCTCGCGGCGGCGGGATCGCAACCACGTGCCGATGTACTCGTCCGTCTTTCCCTGCCTCGCCGCCTCGGTCGGGACGGGGTACATCTCCGCGGTGTCGATGAAGTTGACGCCCGCGTCGACCGCGTACGACAGCTGCGCGTGCGCGTCGCGCTCGGTGTTTTGCTTCCCGAACGTCATCGTGCCGAGGCAGATCTCGGAGATCATCAGGTCGGAGTCGCCGAGGAGCCTGAGCTCGCCGGGGTTGCCCTTCCTCGCGGGGGGCGGGGGCGGGGAGGCATCGTCGGAGGAGGACGCGCGGGCGGGGGTGCGGGGGCGGCGCGACGCGCGGGGGAACGCGACGCGCGCGGCGGCGCCGAGGGCGAACGCGTGCGCCGCCGGCATCGAGAAGTGCGACGTCAGCGTCGACGTGGCAGCGCTTTACGTACGCTTTTCAGGAGATCGGTTTCACAGTTTCGAGCGACGCTTTCACTACGAAGGCACCGCTCGTCTACGCCGCGACGCCGCCATCCCATCGCTTCCCGCCGCCTCTTTATCACTTCCTCCGCGCCTCCAACTCTTTCAGGTACCGCTTGGACAGCTTCAGGACGATCCCACCGCCGGCGCCGCGCGGGACGTTCGAGCCCGCGCACTTGGTCAGGGCTTCGTCCTTCGCGTCGTCGTCCTCCTTCTCCACGCCCGCCGCCTCCCACGCCTTCTCCGCAGCCTCTCGCGTCGCCATCACGGCCGCGTTCTCCGGGCCGAGCTTGAGCTTCGCGCCGTACTCCCTCGCGGCGCCCTCGAGAATCGCCGCGGCGTCGAGCCAATCGCCAGCGGCGCCCGCCTGCTCCGCGGCGTTGCGGACGGCTTTCAACACCTGCCCTCTGACCCCCGAGAGCTCGGCTTTCCACGACGCCTCGCCGGCGAAGCACTCTTCCAGGGCGAGGAGCTCCGGGAGGGTCTCAGGCGCGACGCTCGGCGGGCCGAGCGCGGCCGTGACCTCGGAGAGCTTTTCGGTGAGCTTTGGCGGCGAGCCTTTCGCCGTAGCCGCCTTCTCTCGCGCTTTTTTAACCGACTCCACGCGCAGCTTGTACGCTTCCTCGAGCATCGTCCTCGCCTGCGCGCGCGCGCCGGACTGGGACAGCTGCGCGGCGCTGTTGCGCATCGCCCACAGTTTCTCCGCGAGCGGGATCGCTTCTTGGTCCGCTCGGAACCGCGCCTTGCGCGATTCCTCGCGCTCCGGGTAATTTTCCTCGTCCGTCGTCGGCACGCCCGCGAGCTTCTTCCTCGCCTCCTCCTCCGCCTTGTCGAGGATAGCCCGCACCGGGTCGCCGTCGGGGAGGAGCTCGCGCGTCATCGCCGCGGCCTGGGACAGAGTGTCCCCGCTGAAGCCGTCGAGGTACATCGCCTTCCACGAAGATCCCTCCGCGTTGGCGACTTTGCCTAAAATTTGCGCCGCGAGCGTCTCGCAGTTGGCGAGAAGCGACGCGTCGCCGCCGTCCGCGGCGACGCTCGCGCGCCTCAGCCAGTGCGACAGCGTCAAAATCGTCGCGATCAAAACCCCTTTTAGCGGGTTCGCGCGCCTCTGATCCATATCCTTCTCGGTCACCGCCGGAAACACGAGCCCGCCTTCCAACCCGTGGAGCTGCGACAGCTCGTACCGCGACACGTACTCCAGATCCTCCGTCGCCACCGCAAAGGCGTTGTCCCCCGCCGCGCTCGCGGCGGCGATCAAACGATTCGACACGTTATCAAAATCCGACATCGGTAACGCCGCGCGCGTGACCGTCACCTCCTCCTCCCTCGACTCCGCGCGGTTCGAGCTCGTCCCGTTCGGCTGTCGAAGCGCGAGCTCCAACCCGGCGCCGACGCGCATCGTCAGCGTCCGCAGCTCTGCGTCCGTCCTCGCCTGCGCGACGCGCATCCAGTGATCGAACTCGACCTCGTCGAACCCGCCGCTCTCCACGCCGATCGCGCACGGCTCAACCAGCATCTGCTTCACGCGCGCGTCCGAGGCGTAGTTCGTCAGCGCGGCGCGCGCGACGGAGGAACACATGCGAAGCGCGCCCTGACGCGCGAGCTCCGAGCTCGGAAACGTCGCCGTCTCCGCGCCCGGCGACGACGCCCCGGCGCGCGCGCGGACGGTCGCCTCGACGTCCCCGCGCGCGGCGCGGAAGTTGAGCTCGACGTACGCGGTCACGTCGAACGACTTGCTCGTCTCGCCGCGCCGCGAGCGCTCCGCGGCGCGGCGAGCCTCCTCCGCGGCTCGAGCCTCCGCCTCCTCGACCCGCCGCCGCTCCTGCTCCTCGCGCGCCTCCCTCTCTCGCCTCTCGCGCTCGACGCGCTCCTTCTCCTCCTTCTCCTCTCGAAGCGCGCGCTCGATCTCCGCGCGCTCCGCGAGCTCCGCGCGCACTTTCGCGCGCCGCGCCTCCTCCGCTCTCTCCGCCTCGGCGCGAGCCTCAGCCTCCTTCGCCAGGCGGATCTTCTCGCTCGCGACAAACTTCGCCTCGTCCTCGTCGCGCTTCTTCTTTCGCGCCTCCTCCGCCGCCTTGGCGTCCGCGATGCTCTTTGCGCGGCGCTTCTCATCCTCGACGCGGTCCTCCTCGGTGAAGACTTTCAACCCGCCGCCGCCGCCGCCGCCGCCGCCGCGCGCGACGAGATCCGCGAGCGCGCCCGCGGCCGCCGCCGCGCGGCGCTCGGACGCCTTCCTCCCGAACAGCGCGCCGACGACGAACGCGATCGTCACGGCCATCCCGGCGGCGGGGGCCATGCCGAGCTGGCCCCCGGGCGCGGACGAGATGTGGTTCGTCGCGCTCGCCGCGAAAGAGGACGAGGATTTGGACGACGACGACGACGACGAATCGTCCTCCGCCGATTTCCCCCATCGCGCGACGTCTTCCCACGTCCCCAAGGACTCGACGAAGTCCTTCGCGTGATCGAGCGGGGTGTAGTCCACCTCGACTTCCTCGTACTCCTCGATCTCTTCGTACTCGTCCTCGTCCTCGTCCTCGCACTCCTCGACCGCGGCGGCGTCGGTCGCGGTGACGAATTCTCCATCCTCCGTCGCGGAGGGTTCTAGGGATTCGGTGCGACGCGTCGCGCGGTCGTCATCGCGCGCGTCGTCGTCGTCGTCGTCCGTCGCGCGGACGGAGACGACGCGACGGCCGCGCGGCCGCGTCGCCGCGCGATTCGCGAGCGCCCTCGACGACGACGACGACGACGACGACCCCGGGGCGGGGACGAGGGCGCGCGCGGGAACGGCGACGGCGCGCCGCCGCCGCGACGACGACGACGACGACGACGACGACGACGCGCTCGACGCGCTCGACGCGACGCATCGCGCGCGCGCTCTCGGGCGTCCACCGACGACGCGACGCGGCGCGCTCCATCGCCGCGACGCTAGCGCCGGAATCGATCCCGCCGCGGCCATCACGGCGCCGCCGTGACCGTGCGCGTGCATCACGACTATGGTTCGACGTGGTTGGATGCCCACTCTTCGTCAGGACGTCTGCTAAAAATTCTACTTTCGTAACAACTTACCTTCGTAATCTCAACGAAAAGTATGTACCTCAGGAGTCGCCGAACGCCCTCTCCTCCGCCGCTATCGTCGCCTTCAACACGATCACCGCCGCTTTCTTATCCAAAATCGCGTTGTACTGATCGCACGAGAGGTAGTGCACGCATCCGGGGCATCCCGTACGGTCGGTCTCCTCGCACGCGCCGCACGTCGCGGTCGCGTCGGCGCTCCCGCCGCCGCCGCCGCCGCCGCCGCACCCGCACCCGCACCCCTCGACCAACTCGAGCGCGGCGACGAGCAACTCCCGAAACAACCCCGCCGCCTGCCGCGCGATCCCGACCCCGCCCGGGTGCCGGTCGTAAATCAACAGCCGACTCGCCCGGTAATGCCCGTCGTGGTGCGGATTATCGCACTCCGCGCCGACGTCGCTCGCGTCCGCCATGACGTAAAGCGGCAACGCGTTTATCACTGAGGGTCATTCCATACAAAAACAGTTCTCCGGTCAGTTGAAAGGGGACGCGATCAAATGTTGAAACCGAAGGATGGGTGAAAAACTTTTGTATAGAACGCACCCGCGTGCGTCGCCGCGTGGACGCCCGCGCGAAATTCCACCCCCGCGTCCGCGCACATCCTCCGCGCGACGTCCGGGACGCGCACCCACGCCGCGATCGTCGTGTACGACACGTCCGGGAGGGTCTCCCTCAGCGGCACGGTGTCGAAACACGTCCCGGACGCGTGCCATATCTTGCGGTAGCCGAAAAACGTGACGGCGACCTCCGCCCGCGCCGACTGCGCGCTGCTCTCTCGATTCGCCGGGCGGCTCGCCGCGCCCGTGACGGACGTCGCGCGGTCTGGGTACGCCACCGTCGTGGACGCGTTCGCGAGCGTCGTGACCGTGGTCTTGTCCACCATCTTCGTGAAGTACTTCACGTCCGCTAAACGCACGACCGCGGTCAGTTTCTTCACGTCGAGGGACACGCACAGAAACGTCCGCGCCTGATTCATGTACACCGCGCCCGGGTACACCTCCCAAAACGCCTTGGATCGCTCCACCTCTTCGACGCACTCGCCGGTTCGCTCGTCGACGATTCGGTACCGCTCCTCCTCGATCGCGCGGACGCTGACGCCGTTCGCGGGCGGAGACGCGCCGCACCAGCGCAGCCGCACGTCGAGCGACGCCTTCCACTCGCCGAGGAGCGAAGCGTCCGGGACGACGAGTCGCCTCTCGCGGAGCCGATCGCACACCACCTCCAGCGCGCTTCCGAAATAGAGCCGCGCGTCCCTTCCGCCGCCGTCCGTGATGGCCGACTTCGGCAACACGCGCGGGTCTAACGGCATCTCGTGCGACGCGCACGCGACGTGCGCTTCCATCACGCTCGGATTACACGGGTCGATCGCCGCGCGCTCGATCGGTCGGCCGAACAACTTCGCCGGCGACCGCATGAAGTGTTGATCGAGCGGCCCGTCGAACGCGACGTACACGCTGAGCGCGCGTTTCCCTCTGCGACCCGCCCTCCCGGCTTGTTGTATCAGCGACGCGACGGTCCCGGGAAAACCCAGGTGCAGCGTGACGTCCAGCGCGCCGACGTCGACGCCGAGCTCGAGCGCGTTGGTCGCGGCGACGCCGCGGACGGAGCCGGAGAAGAGCGCCTTTTCGATCGCTCTTCGATCGACGCTCGAGTAGCCGCCTCGGTACGCGAGCACGGAGCCGCACAGGGACGGCGCGCCCGTGGACGCCAACGCCTCGCGCGTGTACTTGAGCACGAGCTCGCAGAGTTTCTTCGTCTTGCAGAACGCGATGCACTTCAGGTCGTGGCGGACGCATTCCGCGAGCAGCGCGGAGATTTCGACGACGGGCGACGTCCGACGAGGACCGGAGCCGTAGACGCCGAGAGTGCCCTTCCCCAACGCCGCCGCGGCGTCGGACGTGAGCGAGAGGCCGTGCGTTTTCGCCCGCCGCGCGGTCTCGCGGGCCTTCCACACCGGCGTGAACGCATCCCCGGCGGCCGTTTCCGTTTCCGTTTCCGTTTCGGCGGCGGCGTCGGCGTCGGCGGCGTCGGCGGCGTCCCCGCCCCGCAGACGTTTGGCCACCGCCGCCTTTCCCCTCGGCGCCGCGTCCTCCGGCTTCTTCCCCGGCTTCCCCGGCGGCGGCGGATCCTTCACCGGCGGGTTCCACATCAGGAACGTCTTCTCGCCGCACGGGGACCCGTCATCGTCGACGACGACCCACCCGTGCGGTTCGTCGTCGTCGTCATCGTCGCCGCCGCCGCCGTCGCCGCCGCCGCCGCCGCCGCCGCCGGCGGCGATCGGAAACGCGCCGACTAAATCCCGCGCGTGGTTCCCCGGCGCCGCGATCGTCGCGCTCGTGACGATAAACGTCGGCTCGCCGCCGTACAGCTCCCGGCACAGCCGTCGGAGCCTTCGAATCACGAGCGCGACGTGCGATCCGAACACGCCGCGGTACGCGTGCGCTTCGTCTATCACGACGTACCTGAGACCGGTCAACATCGCGCGCCACTTTCTGTGGTTCGGCAACACGTTGACGTGCAACATGTCCGGGTTGGTGATCACGAGCCGGTCCTCGCGCTCGATCCTCGCGCGCTCCGCGTCGCTCGTGTCGCCGTCGTACACGCCCGCGCTCGGCACGAACACGGGGACGCGCGCGTCGTCCCCGCGCGCCGCCGCCGCGGCCGCCGACGCCGCCGCGGCGCGAAGCATCACGCGCAACGCGCGCAGTTGGTCCTGCGCGAGCGCCTTGGTCGGGAACAGATACAACGCGGTGGCGGCGGCGTCCGACGTCAACGCCTGTAACACCGGGGCGTTGTAGCACACGGACTTCCCGGACGCGGTGCCGGTCGCGACGACGACGTTGCGTCGCGCGAGCGCGGCGGCGACGCCGAAGTGCTGATGCGAGAAGAGCGACAGACGACGCGGCGGTCGATCGACGGCGGCGTCGCGATCGCCCTCGCCCTCGCCCTCGCCCGCGAACGCGAACGGCACGCCGGCGGCGTGAAGCGCGTCCGCGACCGCGGGGGATAACCCCGGCGCGCGCGCGTCGCATGTCGGCCCGATCTTGAGCTCTCGCGCGGGGACGTCGATCCTGTGCGCGCACTGGCCGCGCGCGCCGAGCGCGTCTTCGTCCGACGTGAGGTGCGCGATGAACTCGTCCACGGACAACGCGTCCGCGCGGCGACACCGACACCGCGTCTTCGTCTTCGTCGTCGTCGTCGAACGCGGCGGCGCGAGCGGCGCGAGCGGTTCGAGCGCGTCGTCGCGCGCCGCGCCGCGCGATCGAGCCGATCGCGCGTCGCGTCGCTCCGCCTCCGCGCGGCGCGCGAACGCGGCCGTGTCCAGGGCGTCGACGATTTCCCGAAGCGCTTTTTCGTCGTCGTCGCCGGCGGCGGCGCCGGCGGCTCGCGTCGCGTCCATCTCCGCGGCGAGCGCGAGCGCGACGCCGCGACGGAACGCGTCGACGCGCTTCTTCACGGCGGCCGCCCCGGGGGCGGTCCTCGCGCTTCGTCTCCGTCTGCGTTTCTTCGCGCCGGTTCCGTCGTCGTCGTCGTCGTCGTCGCCGTCGTCGTCGTCGCGAGCGATGCGACCGGACGTCCTCTGCCCGTGAATCACGACCTCGATCTCGTCGGTCATCGCCCGCTCCCGCTCGCGCGCGTCCTCCTCCTCGCGTATCGGGACGTCGCGCGCGGAGCGACCGGGCGTCGGCGCGGTCACACGCAGCAGCACGTCGATCTCGTCGTCCGCCGTCGCCGCGCCGCCGCCGCCGCCGCCGCCGCCGCCGCCGCCCTCCTCTTCGTTCGCGTCGACGCGGCGGTGCGCGCACGGCGTCAAACGCAGCGACCCCGGACATAACGCCGCCATGACGTGGAGATCGTCCAACGTCACGTCCACGTCCACGTCGCCGTCGCTCGTCGCCGCGCGCGTCATGTGCGTCAGCGCGGAGGATATGAACCGCCACGCCGGATGTATTTTTTGTCGCGCGACAAACGCCGCCGCCGTCGCGACGCGCGCGTACGCGACGCACAGGCGCTCGAGCGACGGCGGGAGCGACGCCGGCGGCGGGGGCGTCGGCGGGGGAGGGTCTGCTTTTTGTTTCCGTCGCGCGCGAGGGGCTCGCGGCCGCTTCGCCGGGGGAGGGGGGGCGTCGGGCGTCTCGATCGCCGCCGCCGCCGCCTCCGCCGCCGCCGCCGCCGCCGCCGCCTCCGCCGCCTCGCCCGCGAGCTCCGCCCACAGCCCCTCCCCCGCGGCGACGACCGCGGCGGCGCGCTCGCGCGACGACGCGTCGCCGCCGCTCGTGGACGCGCGCGCTCCTCCGTCGCGCGGCGCGCGGCCGCCGACGGGGACGGCGAGCGGGTCGTCGTCTCCGCCGCCGCCGCCGCCGCCGCCGTCGCCGCCGCCGCCGTCGCCGTCGTCGCCGTCGTTCTCGCGGATGTAGTTTCTCGCGCGGTATCCCGGCGACGCCGGCGCGGTCGGCGGCGGCAGCGGCGGCGGCGTCCGCTCCCTCTCCGCGACGCGCTCCCTCTTGACCTTCTTGCTCACCCTGGAGTACCCCTTCACGATCACGACCTCCCCCGGTGGGTGCCCCGCGGCGTTGAACGGCGCGTCCCCGGCGAGCTCGCCGACGACGTTCGAGTGGATCCGCGCGCGCGTGCCCGCGTGTCCGAACGCGTCCGCGATGGTGGCTCTGACGACGTCCACGGTGGCGTCCGCGGGGACGGCAATCTCGACGGTCTTGCCTGCGGCGCGAACGGAGAGGAGCGAACGTCAGCGCGAGCGCGAACGAGGGAGATCTCGCGCGGGAGACGAGGCGCGGCGTGGAGTCCGGAAAAAACCGATTGACATCGATCGATCGATCGATAGCGACTCGGGCGCGGCGCGGGCGCGCACCCGAGAGCGCCTTCGCGCGCACGACGACGTCATCGTCGCCCATCTATGCCGTGACTATGCGCGTATCGTTCGCCTCATGGTAGCCATCCACTCCGCGCGCTCGACTATGACGACAGCGTGATGACACTCGCTCATCGTGTGATAACCTTATTATTTTCCGATGAACTGCAGAAGAGTGCTACAGGAAGCGAGCGAACGAACGACCATCGACCACGGAGACGCGCGCACTTCTCCGCGCGCGGGCCGCACCCTCGCCGGGTGGCCGCACATGTCGTGTCGTCTCGCGCGCTCACCCTCCGCGCCGCCTTCGCACTCTCCCTCCTCTCGCGCGCGCGCTCGTCGCGTCGCCGCCACGCTCGGCGTTCGAGCGACCGCGTCGTCGTCCGGGGCTGAGAAGCAGCGAACGATGGCGCCCCGGCCGTCGCCGTCGTCGAACGACCGCGACGACTCGGGCGCGTGGTGGACGCAGCGCGTCGTCACGCTGCGCCCCAAGTCGAACGGCATCTTCATATGGACGAACAAGCTCCGCGACGAGGTCCCGGAGATCCGCGACGCGAAGACCGGGGTGGTCAACCTCTTCGTTCGCTCCCATTCCGCCGCGCTGACGATCAACGAGGTGCGTTCTATACACTGGTCCCCATACGACCGCGTTGGCGTGGTGAACGCCGATCCTCAAGGACTTTTGCCGTCGTCTCTCTCCGCCCACACCTCGGTTTCAATCCCGACACACCTCGACGCCTTTCAACTCCATCTGACGCCTTTGAACTCCACCCCGATATTCGCTCGTATGGAACGACCCCGAGAACGCGGACCCGGACGTCCGCGACGACCTTCGACGCGCGCTGGACGCCATCGTCCCAGGCGACGCGGACGCGGACGTCGCCGCGCGCGTCAGCTTCGTCGGGGTGTCGATCGACGTCCCCGTGCACGACGGCCGGCTCGCGTTCGGGACGTGGCAGGGGCTGTACCTCGCGGAGTGGGGCGGCGGCGGCAGGGACGTTGAGGTGGTCGTCACGATGCGTCGCGTCGACGACGCGAAGACGACGCGCGTCGCGACGGTCACCGCGCCGTCGCGCGGGTGCCACCTCGTCCAGGACCAGATCGACGCCGCGATCGCGCCGGCGCTGAATCACGCGTCAGAAGAAGAAGCGAAGCGGTCAAAACGGTCGATGACGGACGGTTACGGTCACGACGCGGCGTCGCCCCCCGCGCTCGTGAACCTTCTCGTGCGGCACACGTCGGCGTCGCTCACCGTCAACGAAAACGCGGACCCGTCCGTCCGCGTCGACATGGAGGGCGCGCTGAACCGGATCGTCCCGGAGTCGTGGAACGACGCGATGTTTAAGCACGTGGACGAGGGCCCGGACGACATGCCCGCGCACGTGAAGAGCACGCTGTTCGGCGCGTCCGTCACGGTGCCCGCGTCGGGACATCGGCTGCGATTGGGGACGTGGCAGGGCGTGTACCTCGCGGAGCATCGAAACGTGGGCGGGTTCGGTGGCGGGCACGCGCGGGAGATCGCGTGCTCGGTGACCGGCGGCGGCGCGCAGAGCGTCGTGACGCTGACCGCGCCGGGGAGAGGCGCGCACGACGTCACGGAGGCGATCGCCGCGGGGTTGAAGGCGTTGCGGGCGGCGGGCGGGGTCGGGGGCGGGGTCGCCGCCGGGTGGTTGAACCTGTTCATTCAGCACACGTCCGCGTCGTTGACGGTGTCGTCGCGCGCGACGGCGACGGCGCCGCGCGCGGCGGAGGCCGAGACCGAGGCCGCGGCGCGGCTCGAGAGCGCGCTGAGCGCGACGGTGCCGGAGCGATGGAACGACGAGTTCTTCACGCACACGTACGAGGGCCCGGACGACATGCCCGCGCACGTCAAGAGCAGCCTGATGGGCGCGTCGCTGACCGTTCCGGTCGTGAACGGCGAGTTGGGTTTGGGGGTGTTACAGGGGGTGTTTCTGTGCGAGCACAGGGACGGCGGCGGGTTCGGGTGTAACTTGAATCGCAGCGTCGTCCTCACGCTTCAGGGCGTCGACGATCGATGACGCCGATTAGGTTGAAATAAAATAAGCGCACGGCGGAGGCGCTCGTCGCTCACTTCGCGCCGTAGCTCTCGTACATGTCCTTCTTCCACACCTTCGGGCGCGGCGCGAAGTTCTTCACGTTCGGCTCGTACGTGCTGTCCGCGTCGTCGAGGCGGACTTCGTAGTTACTGCGAGACGAGACGACGACGGGCGCGGGGGTCGGTCGGTCGGTCGGTCGGGACGACGGGGAGGCGGAGCGTTTCCGTTTCGTTCGCGCGGGCGAGAGGTCGGTCGCTATCGCGCGCGGGAGACGCGCGGGAGGGCGCGCACTCTTCCGTTCGCAAGTTGATGCTGTTCCAGTTATGGCTCGTCTTCGTCGCTTTGCACTGCGATGCCGCGGCGGGGGAGGGGAAAGGGACGTCAGCGATCGCTCGCGGAAGGCGAATCGATCGATCGAACGAACGTTCGATCGCGGGTTTTCGCACGCACTCGCTGCTCGTAGATTTGGTCGTTGTACGACTTAAAGTTCTGATCCCCTCGCGGCCCCCAGGCCATCACGCTGGAGGGCTCGTACGGAACATCGGGCGTGTGCGTGCCGTAAGTGGGCATCTAGGCGCGCGGCTCAGTCTGCGCGTGCGGTCGCGAGTGCGCGCGAATCGCTCGCGAACCTTGTCATTTGGATGTGCACCTGGAAAAAAAACGCTCTTCTCCTTCCTGTCTTTTTCGGGAGGCGACGAGTTTTACGATTCTTGAACTACGCATGATACTACCGACTACCCGCTACGGCGCGTACGCCTGGGCTAACGTCTCGTCGTCTAAGCTATCGCCCTCGGCGTAGTGCACCCGAAGTTGCTTCGGCGGCACGAGCGCGTCCTTAATCGCGTCCTCCACCCCGCGCGCGTCGGCGCCCCACCCCCGGAGCCGATCCCGCGTGGCGCGCCGCGCGTCATCCGCCGCCCTTGCGCCGCCGCCGCCGTCTCCGGCCCAAAGCTCGCAGAACCTCGCGTCCTCCTCGCGCGGCCAGTCCGGAGGACACCTCTTCACGCCCACGACGACGGCGTTGCTCTCCTGCCCTTCCACGCTCACGAGCTGGACGTCGACGCGCGCGTCCTCGTCGCCGTCCTCATCGCTCGAGCGCCGGCTGAGGTTTGCGTAGAAACGCTTCAGCGCCTCCGCCGCGGGGGACCCCGGCGGGCCGTTCCACGCGTTCGCGACGACGCACCCGCCGCGCCGCGTGATCGCGCGCGTTGACTCGAGGAACGCGCGCGTCGTGAGATGCGCGGGGACGTCGCCGTTGCCGTCGTACGCGTCGAGGAAAACGCAATCGAAGTGGCGGTTTTTTTCCGCGCATCGTCGCGCGTACGCCGCCGCGTCCGCGTGGACGACGCGAAACGTGGACGCGCTCTGCGCGCGGGTCCACTCGTCGTCGTCCTCGCCGCTGCCGTCCTCACCAGCGACCTCGAAGTTTAACCCCAAGACGTCCTTCGCGGCGGCGACGACGTCCTCGTCCACCTCCACCGCGATCACGCGCGCTCGACCTGACGACGCTCTCTTCGCGAACGCCGCGAGCGTCCCCGCGCCCAAGCCGACGCACAGAACGCTACAACACTCGTCGTCGTCCGCGTCTACTTCGAGGCGGGTCAACCTGTCGCCGATGACCGCGACCGCCGCGGTCGCCATCGCGCGGACGTACTCGAACCCGATCACGGTCGGATCGTGGACAAAGTTTTCGTCTTTATCCTCGGCGTCGCAGTACGCCAAGCCCTGCTCGACGCCGTCCAAGTACAACGCGCGCCACGGGCCGTGCTGCTTCACGGTCACGACGCCGACGCCGGCGGCGTCGCGCGTCGACGCGAACACCGTCTTCGGCGGCGTGTGCGCGAGGTGGTAGTAATACCCCGCCTCCGTGCGAGGGTCGACGCGCCAGCCCCCGACGTAATCCGGCGGCTGCGTCACCTCCGCGCCCGCGGGAAGGTCTCGCTCCGCGACGAGCGCGAAACACGCGCCGAAGGTTGGGTGCTCGAACGGCTCCCTCCGGCAGCTCCACCGCTCGCGAACGACGACGCGAGCGCGGAAGCCTCGCGTCTCGAACCCCGGGATTCGCTTGTCGTTCTCGCGCAGAAACAAGCCGCGGACCGGCTCGCCCCTCTCGGGGTCCCGCCCGACCGCCGCGGTCGTTCGCTTCTCCGGGTCGTCGCGCAGGAACAGAAGCTTCTCGCCGTCGATTCGGCCGTTCGGACGCCACCGCTCGCGCTCGCGCGGCTCGGCGTATTCGCGCGCGCGATCGCGCCCGTCGGGGTCGACGACGAAGCCGACGATCTCGTTCTCGACGACGTCGCCCGTCGTCCACGCGCCGTCGTCGTCCACGCGCATGATCCCGCGGTCGGGGTCGTAACGACGTACGCCGGAGCGTTTTTCTTCTTCTTCTTCATCACGGTCTTCATCACGGCGTGTTTCACGACTCCTCGACAGACCCGCGACGCCGTACACCTCGGGCCAGACGTACTCGAAGACGTCTCCGATCGCGCCGCCGGGCGCGTCGCCCTCGCGCCACGTCCCGCGGAGCACGCCGCCGTCCGCTCTCCACTCGACCCCGTCGCCGTGTCGGACGCCGCCCTCGTACGCGCCTCGGAACCGCACCGCGCCGCCGGGGTGGTACTCCGTGACCTCGCCGCCGTCGAGAAGGACGCCGCGGGCGTACCGTCCCTCGAGCCAGGAGCCGTCGACGTCGTGGTACGTCGCGCGTCCTTCCACGGCGTCGTCTCTGAACGTGCCCTTTATGTACGCGCGCGATCGCGGGAAGAGAAGGCGGTCGTCCCCGTCCCCGTCGTCGTCGTCGTCGTCGTCCGAGTCCGGGGGAAAGTGCAGCGTCCCTCTCCCGTGCTTCGCGCCGTGCTCGAACCGGCCTTGGTACCAGGCGCCGTCCTCGTCGAGGCGCAGCCGCCCGCGCCCGTGCGGCTTTCCGTCGGCGTCGACGGGTCCTTCGTACCAGTTCGGCACGCGCCACGGCGACGCCGGCGGGTCCGACGCCGAGCCGGACGCCGACGACGTCGAGTCGCTCGCGGCGTCGTCGTCGGCATCGTCGTCGTCGTCGCGACCGCGCTTCGCGCGCGGCGGCGCGGACGCCATGCGCGCCGCGACGCGGAGTGATGAGAGATCGGAATCTAACATCCCGATTGACACGCGCCACTCGCGCTACGGTCGGTCAACCACCTCGGTCAACCGCGGCTCGCGGCGATTTTCAACGCCTTCGCCTCGCCGAGCTTCGACCTCGCCCCCCCCTCACTCGTGCAGCGCGCACGCGCGAACGCGAAGGGCACCGGCGAGGTCGAGCCGCGTCCCTGACCTCCCCCGCGGCGGTATCGCGCCGGGGTGCGCGCGCGCACCCCGCGCGAGCGCGTTTCGGCGAGGGATAAAACCGACGCCGCGGAAATCCCATCCGATCTTCGCCCATCCTAACGGTTCGATTGCTCGAGCGACGCGATGGGACGAGGCGGCGCGGGCGCGCGCAAGGTCCGGCCGGAGGGCCAGCCCATGAGGGCGGTCGTGCAGCTCTTGACGACCGGGCAGGGCAAAGGCGCGTCTCGAAGATCGTCCCGAACCCCCGACCCCCCCGCGGCGAGCGGTCAACCCCCCCGCGTCGTCGAACGCCCCGCGGTTCCGATGATTAATCTACATCTCATCGTCGTCTTCGACCTTCTCGCGCCTTCGCCAGCCGCCCCCGTCCACCGCCTCATCATCGATACGATACCTCGTCCCCGTCTCCGTCTTGTCGTCCGTCTCGTCGACCAGGCTCGCGACGCGACGTCAGCGTCGCGTCCCGCCACGTCTCGCTCATCCGCCCCGGCGCGTCCGAGGCTGCGAGCGACGACACGTACGAGGTGGACGATTGCTTCGGAAGCGAGCTCGGCACCGCGGAGACGTACAAGCGCGTGCTGCACCCGGTCGTGCGACAGGGCGTGGACGGGTTCAACGCCGCGCTCCTGACGATCGGATGCTCTGGGACCGGGAAGAGCACGCTGCTTCACGGCAGAACCGGCGGCGAGGGATGCGTGCGGCTGGCCATTAAAGGCGTGTTCGAGGTGCGTTCTATGCACTGGTCCCCATACGACCCCGTCCGCGTGGTGAACGCCGATCCTTAAGGACTTTGCCCGTCACATCTCTCCGCCCACCCCTCGCTTTCAATCCCCGCCCTCGACGCCTTTCAACTCCAACTGACGCCTTTGAACTCCACCCCGACTTCGCTTTGTATGGAACGGCCCCGAGGCGCTGCACAATAAAGCCGCGCAGGTGGGAGTGGCGTTGTCGCAACAGAAGCAGAGCGGCGGCGGCGGCGGCGCGATGGAGTTCGCCGTCGACGCGAGCTTCGTCGAGATCTACGAGGAGCGGTGCCGGGATCTGTTCACCGCGTCGAAGACGGGCGGCGTCCAGGATAAGGCGGCGTTCTTGGAGGTTGAAGAGTCGTCGGACGACGGATGGCACGTGGCCGGATTGTCGTTTCGATCCGCGCCCGACGCGTCGTCGCTGCAGACGGCGTACCAAAACGCGCTCGCGAACCGAAGCACGGGTCTCTCCGAGTTCGGGCACAGCAAAGCGGACCGAAGCGCGTGCATCCTGACGCTACGTATATCGCAGTACATCCCCGCGATTCGAGGCGGCGCCACGGCGGCGGATCGCGATAAGATGACTCCGGCGCAACACCTCGTGAGCACGATCACGATCGCGGATAACCCGGGCGCGGAGCCGCTCGCGATGGACCCCGCGGTGCTGCGGTTGAGAGAGGGCGCGCGTCTGAACCGCGCGGTGACGTCCCTCGCGGGCGTGATTCGCGCGCTCGCGACGAATCGACGCGATTTCGCCGGGCACGGCGACTCAGTGTTGACCAAGGTGCTCGCGGAGCCGCTCGGGGGGAACTGCGCGACGACGATCTTGGGGACGTTACGTCTCGGGGAGTGGGAGCGGTCCGCCGCGGTGATGGATCTGATCGATCACGCGCGCAGGGCGCCGTGCTTCCCCGTCGTCGCGGACGACGCCGCGCGAGGACTCCAGCAGAGGCTGCGGTCGCGGCTGTTGCAGATCAACGACGCGAGAGAGACGTACCGGGAGCAGATACAGAGCACGGGCGCGGACGGGATCGACCCGCATAACGTCGGTCTGCAGATGGCGAAACTGCACGAGCTCGAGGAGCGTCTGATCGACGAGCGCGGGGACAAAGCGGAGCTCTTAGCGGAGAAGGAAGCCCTCTTGGAGCGTCTTCAGAGGCTGAACGGGATGGACAAGCAGTTTTTGGCGGAGAAAGAAGAGCTTCAGGCGGCGTTGATACGCTCGGAGGAAGACCGGCTCGAGATCGCGCGCGCGCTCGTGGAGGTGCAGCTCGAAGGCAACGAAGCCGCGCTCGAGGCGGAGAAGGTGCGCCACGAGCTCATCGAGCGCGTGCACGAGCTCGAAGCCAGGGCGATCGCGTCGGAGGTTCGCGTCAAGGGCGCGGAGCAAGCGCGCGGGGAAATCATGCAAAAAGCCGGGTCGCTCAACGTGGACAACGAACGTCTGAAAGAGAGCCTGGAACAGATGCGCATGGAGCTCGAGGCGGAGCTGTCTACGCTGCGAAGCGAGCACGCGGACGTCATGGGCGAGGTTGGGGGCCTGAAGGCTCGAAACGAAGATCTCGAACGCGACGCCGCGGACCTTCGCAAGCGGCTCACCACGGAAGTTCGAAGAGCCGAGGAAGCGGAGGAAGAGCGCGACGTTCTGCGCGTCAACGCGGAGAAGGACAGCACGATGCTGCATCGCAAGGTTGAAGCCGCGGAGAGAGCCGCGGAGGAGGCGATCGCGACCGCGGAGGCGACGAAGAAGAGGCTCGTCGCCGCCGCCGAGGCGGAGCGCGACGAAGCCGTCGCCGCGGTGAAATTCGGAAAGGATAAAGCCATCGCGCAGGCGGAGGAGGAGAGAGACGCGGAGATCGCCAAGGCGAAGAAGTTTAGGGACGACGCCGTGGAGGAGATTCGTCTGGAGAAGGAGGCAATGATCTCCGCGATGAAGAAGGAGCAAGCGGAGGCTATCGCGGACGCGAGGAAAGAACGCGACGAGACGACGGCGTATCTCGAGTCGGATCGCGACACGAAAGTCTCGAAAGCGCTCGCGGAGAAGGAGCGCGAGGTGTCGAAAGCGCTTCGGGAGAAAGAAGCCGCGGTCGCGGCGGCGGAGCACCGCATGCAAGAGGCGATCGACGAGGCGAACGAGCGCGTGCAAAAGGCGATGGACTCCGAGAGAGACGCGCGGTCGAAAATCGGAGACGTGAAGAAGGCGCTCGAGGCGTCCGAGTCGAACGAACGCCGCGCGCGCGGCGAGGCGGACCGCGCGCTGTCCGAGATTTCCATCCTGAAAGAACGCCTCGAGACGTCGCGCGCGCAGTACACGGAGCGCCTCAAGGAGTACATCCTTCAAGTCGGCGACTTGGAACGAGGCGCGCAGGTGCTCGGCGCGGGGGGCGGGCAGACGAGCGACCACGTGTTACGCCCGAGCCACCTCTACGAAGCCGCGCAAGCGCTCGCGGTCGACTTGCACAAGGCGTCGTCCGAGCAAGTCGCGGACTACAGAAGGCACACGGAGGAGCTCCAGGCGAAGCTCACGAAAGCTCAGCGCGATTCGAGGGCGTTGCACGCGGGATACCGAGCGCTGCGGCATCGCTTCGAGGACCTCTCCCCCGTGGACGTCGGCGAGGGCGTCGTCGAGATGCAGCACGTCCCGCACGAGGACCAGTTGTGCATGGACGGCGTCCCGCCGACGCCCGCGGAGGCGCAGGACATCGACGCGCGCGGCCTCGCGGCGAAGCTCGCGGATTTGAGGGAGGAAAACGCGCGGCTGAACCAGGCTGTGCGCCTCGCCGCGCTCGACGGCCGCGGCCCGCTCGCGCCGAGCGTGAAGAAGGCGGCGCAGGACACGGACGCGGGGAACGACATCTTGTTCTTCGACGCGGACGCGACCAAGCCGGACAAGACGAGAGGAAGAGTAGATTCCTTCAACGACCGCGGCGGAGGGAACAGCGCGGACGGTCGGCATCACGTCCCGTTGGACAACGAAAACGCGCGCCTCCGCGCGGAGAATCACAAGCTCTCGCAGATGCTCGACGGATTGAAACAAAAGCGACCGGGCACGGGCGAGGAGGAGCTACGACGCGAGAACGCGAAGCTCAAGGTGCAGCTCACGACGATGGGCAACATGGACAAATCGCGCGCGCAGCTCGCGCAGGAGATTGGCGATCTGAAGGACCAGCTCGCGCAACTGGAGGCGGCGCAAGCGCGCGGGGGGAACAACCGAACGAACTGGCAAGAGCAGAGAAACGCCATCAAGGAGTTCACGGATAAAGTTCAGGCGGACCTCGAACGCGAGAACCGCCAGCTCGCGACGAGAGCGGCGATGGCGGAGGAGCAGATCAAAGAGATCAACGCGTACATGGCGCAGAGTACTCTGGCGTATCAAAAGGAAATCATGCGGCTGCGGAGCATCATCCAGGCGACGGCGCCGGAGCGGTTGAGGACGCCGCTGGGCGGGGCGTTGAAGCCGGGGCAACACGTCGGCGGCGGCGAAGGGTTCGGCGGCGGCGGCGGCGGCGGCGGCGGCGGCGGGTTGGGACCGAAGCCGCCGAGCCAGGCGCCGAGCCAGAGCACGAGCAGACGGTCGTCGCCGATGACGGATGCCAACGGAAGAGAGCGGTCCGCGTCGAGAAGGGACAAGTTCGGTCTTTGATATGTATAACTTATATAACTTAGTCCTATCATACCTTCTCAGCCGACTCGTGACTCTGCAGACTCTGCGCGGCGCCTTTCCGTTCGCCCTCGTCGCTCGACCGAGGCGGCGCGATCAAGGGTCCGGGTTGAACGAGAACTTTCTCCCCTTGTTCCCTCTCACGATCTCCGCCAAACCCGCGGGGATGTCCTTCTCCGTCAACGCCACGCTCCCGCCATGAATTTCAAAATTCGTCAGCCGCTTGCAGTTCACGAGCGAAGCCGGCAGCATCGTCAGCTTCGTGCCGCAGAAGATGAAGTCGTACAGCGACTCGCACTGACCGAGCGTCTCCGGTAACGTCGCGATCGGACAGTCGTACATACACAGATGCGACAGACGTTTAAGCTTACCGATCTCGTCCGGAAGCTCCTCGCACTCGCCGCGCTGGAGAGTAATCACGCTCAAGTTCTCGCACTCGCACAGGCACGCCGGGAACTTTTTGAGACGCGTGTGCGGCTGAAGGTACTTCTCGAGTTTCTTCAGATTCGCGAACGACTCCGGGATGGAGTCGACCACGCTGGGTACACCGATCTCTCTCAGCGAGCGCATCTCTCCCATCCCAGCCGGGAGCGACGTGAGATCGTCGTTCCCGCTCATGTAAATGCCCGTGAGCTCGACGCACCCTCCGAGCTCGTCGGGGAGTTCGGTGAGTTTGTTACTGTCCAACTTCAGAACGCGCAGCTCGGTCAGGTTCCCGATAGCCGCGGGGAGCGTTTTGAGTTTGTTGGTCTGCACTCTGAGATCGCGAAGCTCGGCGAGGTCGCCGAGCTCGGCCGGGAGCTCCGTGAGCTTGTTGTTGTTCAGCTCGAGGATCCGCAGCGTGTCGAGTTTGAACACGACGTCCGGTATCTTCGTCAATCCGTTGGAGTCGTACTTCAAGTGCTCGAGCGACGACAGTCCGACGAACTCGTCCGGCAGCGTTTTTATCTTGTTATCCTGGATCTCAAGCTTTTTCAGCGTGTCGATCTTACCGAGCTCCGCGGGTAAGCTCGTGAGCTTGTTGTTTCCGAGAAACAACTCTCGAAGGCAATCGAGTCGCGAGATATTCGGAGAGATCGACGTGAGCTTATTCGCGGCGAGACGCAGCCGGTCCAGGTTTTCGAGGCCGAAGATGCTCTCGGGGACGACGGTGAACTTGTTCACTTCGAGGTCCAGCGTGGTGAGCGTCGCGACGGAAGTCAGCGATTTCGGGAACGTCTCCTCGCTCACCTTGCAGTTTTTTATCGTGAACGTCTTCACCTGCGGGAGGTGCCCGAACTCCTCCGGGATCGCGGAGAGAGGCGGGTTATCGTAGACGTAGAAGTCGACGATTTTCTGGCACCGCGCGATCTCGGCCGGCAGTCTCTCGATCTTGTTCCCTTGCACGTAGAAGTCGACGATCTCGGTTAAAAAGCCAATCTCCGGAGGAAGCTCGAGGGCCAGCCCCATCGCGCCGAGGTCGAACTTCGTGACCCGATCGCCGTCCCACTTCAGTCCTTTCCAGTCGTTCTTCGGGTCGCCCCTCTCCGGCCACCTCGACTCGAGCTGCGGGTTCCTCGCTCGGACGAGCCGAACGACGGCTTCGTCCGAGATGAATTGCGGCATCGGCGGCAGCGGCGGCGGGGGGATGAACACCCACGTCGCCCCGGGCTGCATGACGGGGTAGAACGTCGGTTGCGGCTGCGGCGGCGGCGGCGGATGCGGTTGATGCTGCACGACGTACATCTGCGCGGAGAAGGGAATCAAATCAGTCGGTCGAACAAATGTTGTTACGATCGTCGTCGCCTCCGCGATCGTGGTGGGATCGGAACGATGGACGACGACGCGAGTCGGACGGGAAGACGCCGCGAGGCGGGCGTCGACGGTACCTGCTGCTGTTGCGGCGGCGGCTCCGGTTCGAAGCGACGCACCCTGCGCGACGAGATCCGGGGGGAGCGCGGTGAAGTCGTCAGTCGCGGGATCGCGGGAGCGTCCGACGCGAATTGGATCGTGGTTCGGACGGCGTGGCGTTGGGAATTACGACGCGCGGGACGACGCGAGCGGGCGGGCGTCGACGACGCGACGGTTGGAATCGATGAGGCGCGCGAGCGAACGCGCACCCATGACGAACGCGCGCTACTCTCTCGAGCTCTACGGCGACGATACGACGGCACGAGGCCGCGCGGTCTCGTGTGCGTCGGAATCGATCGTTTACTGTACACTAGTGTCACGAACACTCCGGATTTCGCGTTCGCAACCTGACAGACCTACCTGACAGAATCGCCGTGATCAGTTTTCTATGATACGTCTAGTTGTATATTTCGTTCGCGGGTGATGTCTACTCCACCCCCCTCGTCTCGTCTTCTACGAAACCTTCACCGCCTCGGCGACGTCCTTCGCGATCTGCGCTTGCGCCTTTCCGAGGTGCTCTAAGATCGCGATCTGCGTCTTCTGCTGGAAGTCGTTATCGCTCAGCGTCATCTTCGCGAGCGACGTGCCGACGTCTGCGATCTCCTTCGCGAGCGCCTTCACCCTCGACTCGATCGCGTCCGCGCGCGCGGCGTGCGTCCCCACCCCCGCGACGCCGGACGTCCCGAACGCCTCGCGCATCTCCTCTCGAAACGCTTCGACGCCCTTCGCGATCGACGCCGCCGCGTCCTCGGCCAACGAAGCCGCGGCGTGGACGCTCGCCGCCGCGGATGCGTGCCGGTCCCCTCCTCCTCCGCCAGCCGCTCCGCCCGGGTAAAATCCAGCGATCGCGGCGCCTCTGCCGCCTTTGCCGCCGGCGTACATCGGGAGGCACTCGCCGGGTTCTGGCTTCCGCGTGGAGAATTTTAACCCGGGGAAAATCACGCCCTCGCCGCTGAGGTTGCTCACGGGCTGGCCCGTGAGCTTCGCGTCGAATTTTTGGTGCATCTTCCAAAGCGAGCTCCCTTGCCGGTGATGTAACACGTCGATCGCGCGAGCGACGTAATTCTCCGGGTCGAACTTGCGCATTTTCTTGCTGAACACCCCGGTGACCCTGCTCTCGATCGCGGACGCCTGGACCTCGATGCGCTCGCGCCGAGCTCGAAACAGACGCTGAATGAACTTCGCCGCGATGACGACCTCTTGAAACCTCTTGTAGCTCTTCTTCTCCCACGGACGCAGCCCCGCGCCGTCGACGCCGTACAACGTGCGGAGCTTCACGAGGAAAAACGCCGGGCGCTCGTCCATCGAGTCGTGGAACTCCGCGTCCACGCCGCGGTCCCTGAGCGCCCGGTACGCCTTCGTGTACGCCATGATCTCGTCGTTGAAGATTCGTTTCAAGGACAGAACTCTGAAGTGTTTATTCTGATCTGGGAAGTAATTCAGCGCCGTGACGAGGACGTCGCGGTCGAACGAGTACAGATCCACGAACGTCACGCTGTGCGCGCTGTACGCCACCTTGCCCTCTTTGTACAGGCACTCGTCGCAAAACACGGACCCGGTGGTCATGATCTTCGACCGCGCGATCGCGACGCCCTTTCGGACCATGAACATCCGGTCGCAAAAGTCTCCGGGGACGATGATCTTTTCCTGCGGCGGATACGTCGTCTCTCTCACCTTGAGCGTCAGCGCGATGATGAGCCCCTCGGGGCATTTCTGGAAGAACGGCACTTTCGCGATCCACGTGTTCGTCTGCAGAGTGATCTCTGCGCGCAGTGCCGGGGACATAGCGTCCAACAGCTTCGACTGCTCCAGAACGCTGTCGCGCGAGAGCTTGTACTTGAAGTACTCGCGCATGCGAATCCGCAGCCCCGTCTTGATCTTCGCCTCCTCGAAGAACGAGTTCAGCGTGTTCATGAGCTCGTAGAACTTGCCCTTCTTTTCCCCTCTCAGACGAATCGCGTTTCCGACCGCGCCGATGATGTATCCGTATATAAACGCCCCCAGCAACATCGCGACGATGACGAAGACCCTCTCCGTCGTCGTGCTCGGGACGATGTCGCCGTACCCGATCGTCGTCATCGTCATCGCCGCCCAGTAAAACGCGGCGACGTACAGGTCTCCGTACGTCACGATGCCGCTCGGGTCTTCCCCCCGCGCCAACTTGCCGGAGACGAGGTACTTCCGGAACGTCGTGTAATGCAGCCACGACGTCTCGCTGTCTTCGATGTCCGCCACCATGCCGAACGCGCAGCCCATCCAGTGCGACGACATGCACGCGAGCAGCGCGAATTTGAACATGTCCAGCGCGGTGTAGTCGATGTTGAAGTGCACCTCCATGCGCGCGAACACTCGGCCGCTTCGCAACATTCTGAGCAATTTCATGAGCCTGAGCAGACGCAGGACGCGAAACACCTTCAGACTCCCCAGCGAGCTGTTGTCCGTCAGCAGCGATATCAAGTCGTACGGCATCACGGAGACGACGTCTACGGTGAACCAACCTCTGAGGTAGTGGCGCGCGATGGTCGGCTGGTGGAAGATCAGCTGCCCGTTGACCGGATCCGGGATGGCGACGTGAAAGTTTAAGACGATGTCGGCGAGGAAGTTCAAGTCCACGACGCGGTTGATGAAGAACAGCGCGTTGATTTTGGTCGTCATGAACGCCACCTCCACGGGCGTTACCAGCGCGGTGAAGACGAGCAGGAATATCATCACGAAGTCCCACTTTCGCATGAACCACCCGCGCGGGGAGATGACGCGTTTCGAGTGCGGCAGGAACAGCTTCGCCATCCTCGCCGCGACCGCCAACTCGCTCACCATCGCGAAGTCGACGCGGTTGTGCTCCGGCTTTCGACGCTCGTCGCGCCGCGCCTTGGCGTCTCTCCCCTGATCCACGCGTTCCGCGTCGTTGAGGTCGCGGACGACGTCTTCGTTCGCGTGGTATTTCGACGCGCGCTCGCGATCCGTCAGCCTCCGCGCGTCGCCGCGACCCGCGTCTTGGATCCAGTTGTCGCTGTCGTACCCGACGCTGCTCTCGGTATCGTCGTCGCGGTCGTTCGCGCGCTCGATCTCGCTGAACCCGCCTCTGCTTCGAAGAGGCGGCTGCCGATTCTCCCCGAACCTCGGCATCTCTGTTGTAGTTGGCGACGCGGGCGATTCAGATTATTCGCGGTCTTCTCCCTGCTCTAATGCGCGCGTCGACGTCGACGTTCACGGAATCAGCACATTCGCGCGCGTCGCGCGAGGCTCCGACGGCGTCGCGTGAGCGAGCGCACGCGCGTCGCGCGTGGAGAAGATGACGCCGTGCTCCTCCGCGCGCGTGTTTGTGCGCGCCGCCCTGTCTACATCTCCGGTGTCAAATGCACCGCGTCGCAAACGGCCAAAATCCAGAGATCCTCTCCAGCGCGAGCTCGGTCGAGTCAGCACTCGTCCTCCGCGCGCGTCCGTCGCCGTCATGACGACGCCGACACCCCCCGCGCGCGTCTGTCGCGCGCGCGTCGTCGTCAATACCACGACGACGCCGTCCACGGCGTCGCGCGCGTCGCGGCCGTCGCGAATGACGCCCGCGCGCGTCGCTCCCGCGCCGTTCGGAACCCTCCACGTCGGAGGCCGCGAGAGCGTCGTCGTCGTCCCGATCCCGCGACGTCTCCGCGACGAGAAGGGCGTCGCCGCGCGGTCCTCCCCGGTCGACCTCGACCGCGGCGACTCGAGCGACGGCGCGGGCGCGGGGAACGACAACCCGGACGCCCGGTGCCCCGTGTGCAAGGGCACGGGGTGGAAGCCGTGCGGGCAGTGCGACGGCACGGGCGTGAACCAGGAGGACCTGTACGGCGGCAAGCCGGGGATGCGAAAGGGCGAGCGCTGTTGGCTCTGCGAAGGCAAGAAGCGGACGATGTGCGGCAACTGCGTGGACCTCACGGACGCGTTCTAGCGTGCTTATCAGTCAGTAGTACTAATCGCTATCGCGGCATCGCAGCGGCGTCCTCTGACATACGGCGCGCGCGCGTCCCTAACCTTACGACGTCAGGTCGTCGGCTCGAGCGCGACGACGGTGTGCCACCACCCGCACGACACCTTCACCGGTCGCCACTTCGCGTCGTCCGAATCCCCCGCGCCTCCCCGCGTCGGCTTCTTCTTCGTCGTCGCCGCCCCCGCCGGCGTCGACGTCGACGTCGGCGGCACCCTGAGCAGCTCCTCCCGCGTCGTCGCCGACGCCGACGCCGACGCCGCCTCCGCGCCCTCGCCCGCGCCCGCGCGATGGAGGTTCACCTTCAGCTTCGCCTCCCTCGCCTCCCGCTCCGCCTTCTCCCGCGCGTCCTTCTTCGCTCGGTACGCCTCCCTCCTCGCGACCGCGGCGGCGCGGACCAACCGCGCGTCCGGCACCCCCGTCTGCGCGTTCTCCTCCATGACGAGCTGGAGCAGCTTGTCCGTCTCGTCCGCCGCGGGCTCGCTGAGGGTCGACGGTCCGCACGAGCGATGATATCGGGGTGGAGTTGAAAGGCGTCGGTCGGAGTTGAAAGGCGTCGAGGTGTGTCGGGATTGAAACCGAGGGACCCTGGGCGGAGAGAATCGCCGGCGAAAGTCCTTAAGGATCGGCGTTCACCACGCGAACGCGGTCGTACGGGGACCAGTGTGAACCAGGACGCGCCTGATCTTCACCGGGTACGGAACGTCCAGGTGATCCCTCGTGCCGCACTGCCCGTGCGCGTTCCATCCCCACGCGTAGACGGCGCGACGCGACGTGCGCTCGTCCTCGACGACGACCGCGGTGTGTCGCGACCCGCACGACAGCGATATCACCGCGGGGGACGTCGACGGAGGGCGCTTGCGCTTCTTATCCGCGCGGTACCGAGGCGTGAGGAGGAGCTCGTTCCGGGGAGTAAACTCGGGTCCGTAGTCGACGTCGTCGACGTCGTCGTCGTCGTCGGCCGCCGCCGGACGGATCTCGCCGACGTCCGGGTCGAGGTCGGCGTCGGGGTCGACACCCTCCTCGTCCGACTCTTCGTCATCGTCGTCGTCGTCGTCGTCGTCGTAAAACTCCACCAGCAGCGGCGCGCCGCACGTTCGCCCGACTTCGCACGTCGTCTGCACCTCGGCGTCTCGATCGTCTTTCTCCCCGTCCAAACCTCGCCACACCCCGAGCTGCCCGTCGCGGTTGGACCCGAACGCGTAGCACGCGCCGCCGTGCTCCGCGCTCGTCGCGACGACGCTGTGCTCCTTCCCCGCCGCCGCGAGCGCGCACGGGATCCCCATGAGCGACTCCACGTGCGTCGGGAGGTACCGGTTTTCCGCGTCGTCGTGCCCGAGCTGAGGGTCGAGGGTCGAGGGTCCGCGCGAAGCGACGAACGTCGGGGTGGGGGGAGTCGAAAGGCGTCAGAAGCGGAGTTGAAAGGCCTTCGTCGCGGTGTGTCGGGATTGAAACCGAGGGACCCTGGGCGGAGAGAGACGACACGACGGGAAAAGTCCTCGAGGATCTGATCGACGCGCGCCGCGCGAACGCGGTCGCGCGGGGACCGGCGTAGTGTACGGGACGCGCCTGCCCGTAGAGCCCCCAGCCGAACGTCCACACCACGCCGTCCGCGTCGAGCGCGATCGAGTGCCGCGCGCCCGCGGCGACGCGCGCGGCCGCGCGGCCGACGGTCCCGGGCGGCGGCGGCGGCGGCGGCGTCTCCCCCGGCGCGAGGCGCGGGCGGATGACGAGAGAAATCTCCGCGGGCGCGTCGGACGACTTCGGGTGCGCGCGAACGCCCTCCTTATCCTCGATCGCGTTCGTCCCCGTCGCGCCGAGACCGAGCTGCCCGTCCGCGTTATCGCCCCACCCGAACATCCTCCCCTCGGTCGTCACCGCGAGAGTGTGCCGCTCGCCGCACGCGAGCGACGTCACCTTGCGCGGCATCGGCCACGGCGGATCCGCTGGCGCTTGGCCTTTCCCGTTCCACCCGACGCATTTCGCGACAAACTCGGGCGCGACGGCGACGACGGCGTGCGCCCACCCTGCGGCGGCGACGCGCGGCACCGCCTGCGAGCGTATCACGGCGCTGGCGCCGCTCGCGGAGGATAACGCGGAAGCGGCGTCGGCGTCGAGGTCGTCGTTCGCGAGCAGGAGCTTCGGGACGCCGTCGTCGCGCCAGATGGCGTCGACGACGATCGGTTCATCGTTCATCGGATCCTCCGCCGCCTCCGCCTTCGGATCCTTCGCTTCGTCGCGCGGCTTCTCCCAGTACTCCTCGCGCTCGTCGAACCCGGGGAAGTAGTCCTGGTTGTCCCCCCACGCGTACAGATCCCCGCGCGCGTCCGTGGCCAACACGAAGCCGTACCCGCCGCCGTGGACGTCATCGATGGCGAGCGGGCCCGTCGTCGTGGCGCTCGCGACGTCGCAATCGCCTCGCAGCCGCTGCCACGCGCACTGCGTGAGCTCGTCGCTGCGCTCGTACCAGGACTCTTCTCCATCGCCGAGGAGGCCGCAGCGCGCGGGGATGTACCCGCACTGCAGCCATCGCAGTTCGCCGCCGCCGCGGGTTCTCTCCGCCGCCATCGCGCGAAGCGCGCGCGCGCGGCGCTGTCCGAGGAATCATGCTGTGAGTGACGAAACGCCGGTCGAGTCGGTCGGCGCGGCGCGGCGCGGCGGTCGTCGAGACAGGAAGTGTCCGACCGCCGATAATAAAAACCCGTCGCGTCGACCGTCGGTTCGATAATCACCGGTCGCGCACCGCACGCGCGCGATGGCGAGCATCCCGGAGACCGCGGCCGCGAGGAAGGCGCTCAAGGTGTCGGACATCCGCGCCATCTTGGACGCCGTCGGCGTCGATTCGTCCGGGACCAAGCCGGTGCTCCTGGGGAAACTCGAGGACGTGCGTCGAATAATTATAATTAATTCTTCCTCGCCGCGCGCGCGCGATCCGATCGAACCTCCCCGAAGAACGAATCCTCGCGGGCTCGCCGTCCGCTCTGTGCGACGCCTCGATCTGACCGTCCCGGTCCCGTTTCCCCTCTCACACGCAGCACGTCGCGAAGCAAACGTCCGAAGCCGCGCCCGCGGCGGACGCGGACGCGGCCGAGCCTCAGCCTCCCGCCGCGGACGCCGAGCCCCCCGCCGCGCCGTCCCCCGAACCCGCGCCAGCAGAGGCGATTTCGGAGGCGAATCCGCCGCCGCCCACGTCCGCGCGCGCGCGCGAGCCCGCGCCCGAGCCGGCGACGTGGGAGGTGGACCGAGGGAGCCCGGTCCCGCCGAGAATGGACGTCCCGCCGCCGGTGGACGTCCCGCCGCCGGTGGAGGTCCCGCCGCCGCCCGCGCCCGCGCCCCTGATGCCACCCGCGACGGGCGACGACGACGCGACGTGGGAAGAGATGGGCGAGTGCAAGATTATCGTCGCGAACCTCCCACCCGACGCCACGGACCTCTCCCTCGCGACGATGATCGCCCCCGCGGCGCCGGACGCGACCGCGGTGAAGGTCCTCCGAGCGGCGGACGGCACGTCTCGCCGCACGGCGACGGTCGTCTTCGCGTCAGAGCGCGCGGCGAGGCGCGCCGTGATCGCCGTCGACGCCGGCGCCGCGGGCGCCGGCGTCGCGGCGGAGCATCACCGAGAGGTGGCGTGGCCGAGCGACGAGGACGACTGCGACGTCGCGAAGACGACGATATACGTCGCGAACGTCCCGACGTCGATCCCCAACGAGGCCGTCGCGCAGGTTATGGGCACGTACGGCGGCGTCGCGAGGGTGTGGAGAAACGTCGAGCCCGCCGCCGTCGGCGCCGGGGGCGACAAGCCAATCGTCGGCGTGACGATGACGTCGAGAGACGCCGCGGAGACGTGCGCGGCGGCGCTGTCGGGGGTGTACAAGTTCGAGGAGTCGCAGCCGCACACGGTGCGCGTGACGTGGTGCGATCCCTCGGGCGAGCGCGCGCTCCCGGCCGCGGGCGGCGGCGGCGGCGTCGGGGAGAAGAGGAAGCGGGAAGTGGAGGACGGGGCCCAGGACGGAGGCGACGCCCTCTCGCGGCAGGCGCTGATGTGCGGGCTCCCGCCGACGGCGACGGAGTCTGACCTCGCGACGTACTTCGCGGCCGACGGCGACGACGCGCCGTGTAAGATCGTCTTCCTGGTGCCGCTTCGCGCGGCGTTTTTGACGTACGCGACCCCGGAGGCGGCAGCGAGGGCGGTCGCGACGCACAGCGGGACGCTGCGGCCGCCGGGGACGGCGGTGCCGGTGACGTTGCGACGAGCGTCGACGGACATCACGCGGCGGCCCAAGACGCGCGCGGGGGGCGGCGGCGACGGCGACGGCGGCGGGCTGGGCGGGCCTGGGCCGGGCGGGACGTGGCCGTCCGTCCCGAAGCCCGGGCCGCAGTACGGCGAGCCGTCGCCGAAGCTGTACATCGGGTCCATACCCGCGCAGTTCGAGGAGGCGCACGTGATGGCCATCTTCAGCACCGTGGGGGCGGTGAAGGAGTTGAAAATTTTACGGCAACACGACGGCCGGCACAAGGGCAGCGGGTTCGTGACGTACCACGACGTCGACGCCACGGAGCGCGCGATCCACTTCATCGACAGCAAGTACACGCTGCTCGCGCCCAACTACCCGGCGCAGAAGCCGCTGTACATGAAGTACGCGGCCGTGGGGGGACAGGGCGGCCCGCGCTCCGTGGGCGGCGCGGGCGCCCCGCGGCAGATGCCGCCGATGATGGGAATGGGAGCGATGCCGCAGCAGATGCATCCCGCGGCGTACGGGGCGTACCCTCCCCAGCCGCAGCACAACGTGGCGGCGTACGGGCAGCAGCCAGCCTACCAGGCCCAAGCGGCGGCGTACGGGCAGCAGCCCTACGCGCAGCAGCCGGCGCATAATGTGGCGGCGTACGGGCAGCAGCCCTACGCGCAGCCGGCGCATAACGTAGCTGCGTACGGGCAGCCCCCGACGCAGCAGCCGGGCGCGGCGGGCGCGGGCGCGGCGGCGGGGGGAGGGTACGCGCAGTACCCTGGGCCCCAGCAGTGACGACTGCGACGCGACGCGAGCGTTAGGGTGGTATGATATGTACACGTCGTAAACCTAACTCACGAGTAATCTATTCACGCGCGGCTGTCGCTCGTCTCCCCCCGCCCCCGCGTTGGGGGAACGACGTCGACGACGAAACTCAGTCAGTTTTCATTTTTTTTGGTTTTTCTCTCCGTCCCTCCGTCCCGTCGTCCATCGCGTCCTCCCTCGGTCGCTCAGTACGGCGCCGCGCCGCCGCGTCCGCCGCCGCCGCGTCCGCCGCCGCGTCCACCGCGCCCGCGCCCACGTCCTCTCCCGCGCCCCATGTACGGCATCGGCATCATCATCGGCATCATCATTCCGTACGGGTTCCAGCCGCGGCCGCCGCGGCCGCCGCGGCCGCCCCTGCCGGCTTTCATCCCGGGCACGTTCGTCCTCTTCGCGCTCACCTTGATCTTGCGCCCGTGCACTTCCGTGTCGTTGAGAAGCAGCGCGTTCGCGACGGCGTCCGCCTCGAGGAACTCGACGTACGCGAACCCTTTCGGGTTCTCGTACTTATCCGTCAGGATCGTCACTCTGTTCACCGTGCCGCAGGATTGAAAGTGCATCTGCAACTCTTCCGGCGTGCACGCGTAGTCGACGCCGCCGACGTGAATGGACCGCGAGTCCGCTTCTTCGCGGTTCGCGTTCGCTTCCGCGCCGCCGGGGATGGTGTTCATCTCCTCCTCGACCTTGGCCTGCATGTCGCGCAGTTTGTTCGCCTCGTCCTCCATCTCTTGGAGCCGGGCTTTCATCGCTTGGAGTTCCTGCGAAGAGAAGGAGAGAAGAGAAGGAGGAGGTTTCGTTTTTCTTTTCTTTTTTTCTTCGCTCGCTGGCTGTTTAAAACACGCGTCGGCTCTTGGCTCTCGGGTCCTTGGCTTTTCACTTTTTTATTTGTGGTTTTTTTGCCTTTCGGACCCTCGCCTTTCATTCGCCTTTTTCGCGCGTGTTTTTTCGCGAGTGGGCCGAGTTCGATTTGGTTTTTTTTCGGGCCTCTTTCTTTCGTTCGTTCGTTCTTTTCCTCTCGTGTGGGCGTTCGGTATTTTCCCGCCTCTTGTTAAGGGTCACGACGGTATTTCGTCGGCCTCTTCCGCGATAAGATGTGAGACGAGACGCGAAGGCGTCGATCGAAAAAAACCAGCCGTCGGCCGAAAAAACCAAACCTCGAGCGGAGCGGGGACGAGACGGGGCGGAGGACGGTAGGTCCCTCGCCTCCGACGCCGTCGTCGACGCGGTTTGTCGGTCGGTCGTGTCTCAGCTATCACATACCGCGTTGTCCTCGTCACCGGCGTCGTCGCCGTCGTCGTCGGGGAGCTGTGGGGTGACGGTCGCGGGGGCGGGGGAGGGAAACGGACGGACGATCAGACTCGGATCGATCGCGCCAGCCGCGCGGCGCGGGAGAGGAATCGAAATTAATTAATTCTCGCGCGACGGCCGGCGAACGACGACGTTCGCGCGGCCTGTTCCGCGCGCGATCGGGACCGTCGGCGCGCGCACCTCGCCGCCGTAGACCTGTGGGAAAGGACGGGAAGGATCGTCAGCGCGTCGGCGTCGTTTGGGGTGGATCGGGGACGACGCGGGGGAAAGGTTCGGCTGGAGAAAGATCTCGCCGCCCGCGCGGCTGGGGGATGGGATGGGATTCTCGTAATTACGTCGTCACGGCGGGCGCGACGGCGGGCGGGACGCGGCGCACCTCGTCCGCGGGCTCCATCTCGACTTCCTCGGCTGGTTTCTTCTTGCGAGGGGGCATGCTGTTTTTGGGTAGGTAACGAACGGGGCGGTTCGTTCGCGTGCGGAAGCGCGCGCGATCTGGCGGCGTCGACGACCGAGTTCCCGCGGCTCGTGGCGCGAGAAATTTCGGCCGGGCTCGAACAGAACCTCGCGAAAAAAACGACAGCGACTGGAGAGAGACAGACGTCCCGAGCGACGCTGGCGTCATTACGTCTCTCCGCGCGTGATTCACGTCGCGCTCCCAGGACCGCGCGGCCGTCCTCGTGACGCGAACACGCGTCACGATATCACCTCCGCGTCCACCCGTCCCGGGTTCGTCGCGCGTCCATCAGTGGATCGGCATCAAACACGCGGGCGTCGATTCGTCTCCCCAGCGGTATCCGACGTCGGCGCGCGCTCCGGAAGTCGCCGCGCGCGACCCCGGCGCGCCGTCCGCGAGAGCGCCGAGGATGACACGAGACGAAATGGAGGCGACGATCAGATGCTTTGTCGCAGACCACGCGGACCCCCGCCGATCCAGCGACTTCACCCCGCCCGCGGTCGTCGAAGCGGCGGAGATCCGCGTAAAACTCGAGAGCGATTACCACAGCGAACACGACTACGCCGGCGACGTCAGCGAGGTAGCCGGCACTGAAGCCGGCGGCGGGGAAGACTGGGACGTGGACTCGGATTCTAGTAGAGAATGGAATCGCGTCCCTGGAGCGAAGCGCAGAGCCGACGCCGACGCGGAGGACGCGGACCTCGCGCCGAGCGCGAAGAAACATGCGGTGGCGAACGGTGAAAGAGTCGAAGTGGAAAGCGACGAAAGCGATGAAAGCGACTACGGGCCACTTAATGAAGCAGGCGCGTTCGATGACGTCCCTTGCCTCGTTTGTGGACAGAAGGAAAGGGACGCGCGCCAGTTGCACGACGACTTCGTCTTGTGCGAGAACGTGGACAGTTGCAGGGGCGGCGGTCACTTAACGTGCTTGAAGCTGACGTATGTGCCCAAAGACGTTTGGTTTTGTTCTCAGTGCGAAGACGAGAGCGACGGCGAACGCGCCGAGGTAAAGCCGCGCGGTGGTCGGCGTTGGAACCCAAAGTCGAAGTACTTTGGCGTCAGTCAGTTGAAAGGCAGAAAGTGGAAAGCCACGCACAAAAATCAATTCTTGGGAACCTTCGACACCGAGGTGGAAGCCGCGCGGGCGTATCGAGACAGGGTCGGTGTGCAAGATTTCGTGCTCCGCGACCCTAAGAAGCCTTTTAGCGACCCTAAGAAGCCGATGCGGAAGTTGGTCCTCAACGTCAAGGTCGAACGCACGGACGTCGTCGCTGAAAGGCGCGGTGATCTCGATGACGACCAGCGCGCTACCCGCACGCGTTTGCCGCGTCATCGGACCCCGAAATCGAAGGCGGAACTCGACGCGGGGCTCGAAGACGCGCTCCCCGCTTCCGGAACGCCCGGCGATACTCTCGCGGCGGCGGGCGACAAGATGTCGATCGAGACCGGTCTCGAAACGCTCAAAGAGTGGCGCGAGCGCAAGCTCATCACCGAGAAGATGTACGACGACCGCGCGAACGAGTTGTTGTCCAAGTTCACGGCCAAATACTGAGTGAAGCGCGGAGGAGAGCGAACGCGGTAGCTTTCTTTTCTTTCGTTCGAGACGACGCCTCGCGCTCGCTACTTGTCCTCGACGTCGTCCACGTCCACGTCGATCGTCTCCACGTCCACGTCGATCACCGCGCTCGACGCGCTCGACGACCCTCCGTAAGACGACGCCCGGGACGACCCTCCCCCGTCCCCGCCGCCGCTGAGCACCTCGACGTCCCCCGCCGCGCCGCCGCCGAAATCGCCGCCGCCGCCGCCCGCCACCTTGATCAACCCGCCGTCGTCGAACCGCACGTCCACCTCCACCTCCATCCTCCCCCCGGCGCTCCCGTCGCTCACGCCCGTCGCGTTGCACGACGCGCTGCGCCCGTCGCCGCGCGCGCTCTGCGCGATGAACCCGATCTGCACGCTCTGCCTCGTGACGCCGTTGACGTTCATCGACGAGCTCATCTGCGACATCGGCGGCGTGAACGTCATGTCCCCGCCGAGGCGCTCGCGCGTCGCGGCGTCCATCCTGACCGCGCGCGTCGCGGCGTCGTACGCCTCCTGGCTCGCCTCCATGCTCTCCGCCATCTGGTTCTTCAGCGCGCCCGCGGCGTTGTTGATGACCCCGGCGGCGACCTTCCCGAGGAGCCCGTCCCCGAAGAGCTGCTTGCGGAGGTCGTCGTTGATGATGGAATTCTTGTCCGCCTCGCGCTTCGCGATCGCGCTCTTCTCCTTCGCCTTGGCGACCGCCTTGAACGGGTTGATCTTGCTCAGGAAGCCCTCGTCGTCGCCGCCGTCGGACGCCATCGCGCGGGGGCGCGCGACGGCGCGTCGCGGCGCGGACGTCGACGGTCGGCGGCGTCGGTATCCGAATCCCGACGTCTTATTCGACGACGACGACGACGAATCCGACGCGGACGTCGCGAACGCGGAGCGCTTCGACGCCATCGCGCGCGCGAGGGCGGCGCCGTGGAGCGCGGAAACCGACGACGCCATCGCGCGAGGATTTCCGACGTCGGACGCGCGCGCGGAAGCGAGAACCGCGCGGAGGGGGGGACGAGACGCGCGCGTCTCGGACTGCGACCCGCGCCCAGCGCGCGGCGATCGTCGTCAGCGCGCTCGTCGTCCGCCGTCTCTCGAGCTGCCGGTCAAAATGATCGCGTCATCAAATTCTTACGTGTTTGAACCGCCGCCAGCCCCGGGCGATCCGGCGCACAACTCCGCGCGCCATCGCGTAACGATCGACCGCGCGTCGCACGTCGACGACGCCGCGCGAACGCGCGAACGCTCCGATCGCGCGCGCCCTCGCGGATCGAGACCGCGCGACGCGAGCGAGCAGATCGCGAGCGCTGGTCGGCGCCAAAATTCATTCACTCACTCGCGCGTCATCCATCGACCGGACGGCCGCGGTCGCTGACGACTGAGGTGATCGACGAACGCCGCGCGAGGGACCACCGGGGGCGATGGCGAACGACGAGTGGGCCGCGGGCGCGGACGGGAGCGACGACGAAGACCTCCCGCCTCTCCCACCCGCCGCGGACTGGGCCGCGGAGGACGACGAGGACGACGACCTCCCGCCGATAACCGCGGACTGGGCTCGCGCGCCGACGCCGCCTCCGCTCGTCGCGTCCACGAACGCCGTCGCGTTCAAGCCTCGCGATCGATCGACGGCTGCGCCGGCGATGCACGCCGCGGCGTCGCCGTGGAGCCGCCGCGGCGACCGCGACGAAACCCGCGGCGCGGGACGGGACGGGGACTCGGGGGGCGCGCCCCGCGCGGCGCCGTCGCGCGCGCCGATCCATCGCGAGGATTCGAGACATTTTTTATCCACCGCCGTGGACTTCGACTCGCGCGACGGCGCCGGCTGGCGCGTCAAACCGGGCGCCGCGAAGAGAGAATCGCCGTCCCCCGGGACAGTCGCAGCGGCGCCGTCCGCAGCAGCGCCCGCGCCGGCCGCGGAGGTGCACTACCCCTCCCGGGACGAGCAACGCGCCGCGGCGGCGAAGAAGGAAGAGTTGGAAAGTTGGAAACTCGCGCGAGAGCCGCTGACGGCGTTCTTCAGCAAGGCGCCCAAGGGCGAGCCGTACCCGCCGACCGCGTGCCGCGAACTCCTGTCGTCGCTGTCGGAGACGCCTCTCGCGGAGGGGCGCTTGAACCCGCTCGCGAAGAGGGCGTTCGAGGTGGTGTCGCACGCGCCGAAGCCCGGGGCGACGCCGCGCGACGCCGCGGCGCTCGAGCAACTCGTGCGAGGCGTCGTGAACCCTCTGTACCACCTCACGACGTACGGCGTCCAGGCTGCCGACGGCGGCGTCGTCGCCGCGACGATCGCGGAGCAGATGCACAAGGCTGCGGTGAAGCTCGTGAACGCGGCGCTGGAGATTCTCGCCGCGGGGCAGGCGACGAGAGACGTCGTCGAGAGCGCCAAGGGCATCGTCGTCGTCCGCGAGCAAGTCGCGGCGCTGCTCGGCGGGAAAGGGCCGGGCGGGGGGAAGGGGGATAAAGACCTCGGCGCGCGCAAGGCCAAGGGGGCGGGATCGTCGTCCGGAGCCGGAGGGAGCTGGGGCGGGGATCGAGGCGATCGAGGCGGCGGCGGGTACCAACCCGCGGTGATGACCCGCGGCGGCGATCGCGGGGGAGGACCGACGCCGCCCCGCGACGCCGGCGCCGGAGCTGGCGCCGCCGCCGCCAAGTCGAATCCGTTCGGCGCCGCGCGGCCGGTGGAGGTGAAGTGGGACGAGAAAGAGAGCGAGTCGAGGCGCAGGAGCTTGGACGCGGCGCCCGGGAAGGTCACGCCGAACCCGAGGACGACGAAGGGTGGGGAGGGCGGAGGGACGTCGAGGCCGTCGCCGAGGACGACGTCGCCGCCGACGCGCGGCGACCGCCGGTCGTCCACCGGGTCGAGGCACGTCGGCGGCAACGAGGTCTACGACGCGGAGGACGGCGCTCACGGGAGCGGCGGACGGCGTGTCGTGCGCGTCAAGGTGGTCACCCCGAAAGTCGTGATTCATCGACCGTTCGAGAGCCCGGAGTCGACGGGCGGGAAGGGCGGGAGAGGCGCGAAAGGGTCGCCGCCCGCCGCGGAGCCTCGGTCTGGGGGTAAATCCTCCGTCGGCGCGAACGCGAACGCGAACGCGAACGCGAACGCGAACGCGAACGCGAGCGGGAAGAAGAGCGGCGGCGGCGGTGGCGGCTCCGCGTCGAAGCACGAGTTGCCTCACCCGAAGCTCGGAGACGCGTCGTCCGCGAAGAGCGCGATTCCGCATCCGAAGACGTCGACGGACGCGGCGCACCCGCCGCCGAAACCGAAAGGCGGCGGCAAGGAGAAACCGCCCGGGGGTAACAAAACCAAGGACGACCACCTGGACTTGTTGGAGAGGGAGATAGAGAAGGCGACGATAAGCAAGAAAGGGAAAGGGAAAGCGAGCGCGGCGGGCGGCGCGAGCGGCGCGAAGCCGCACGAGCTGCCGCACCCGAAACCCGCGCCGCCGCCGCCGCCGGGCCCGCCGCCGGTGCCGCCCGGTCCGCCGCCGCCTCACCCCAACAAGGAGCTGCCACACCCGAAACCGTCGACGACGTCGGCCCCACACGCGGGAATACCCGCGCCGAAAGTCGCGGGGCCGAAGCCGCCGCCGGGGAAGCCGCTGCCGCCGCCGCCCGCCGCGGCGTCGCCGTCGCCCGCGGCGCCGTCGCCGGCGCCGCCTCCGGCGCCGCGAAGCGGAGGCGTCAGCCGCCACAACAGCGGCGACGAGCTCGATCACATCTTGAACGAGGAGCTCGAGAAAGCTGAGGGCGGGGCGAAGCGTTCGGGGCGTCACCGAGGCAACCGCGCGAAGCCCGCGAAGTGAGCGAGGAAGGAAGGAAGACCGCGTCGATTCGATAACTCAAAATTAATTCAGTATACGTACACCGACGACCATTTCGGCGTACTGTATCTTCGACGTCACGCGCTCAACCCGACGAGCCGCTCGCTGTACGCCCACAGCGCCTTCCCCTTCTCGCCGTCCATCGCCTCCGCGCTCACGTCCCCGCGCTCGAACTTATGCCCCGTCTTCCCCTCGCCCGGGGCGATCCCGTTGTTGTAATAGACGTCGCCGACGCCTTCGAGCTCCGCGTCTGTCACCATTCGAACCAAGCAGTCGCCGCCGCCGTCCACCGTCTCCGCGACGTGGAAGATCTCGTTCGTCGCGAAGTCGAACACCTTCACGAACAGCGGGTTCTGCGCGCGGAACAGCCCCGTGCGCGTGATGAGCCCCGGCCCGAACGTGTTCACGGTGACGACGCTCCCGGCGTCTCTCAGTCGCCGTTGAAGCTCGCGCGCGAAGAGGACGTTGCACAGCTTCGAATCCTTGTACGCCTTGTCCGCGTCGTACGGCGACCCGTCGAGCATCTCGAACGCGGCGCCGTTCTCGGCCAACCCTCTGAGGTCGCCGAGGCCCGCGCCGAGGCCGACGTTCCCGCCCGGGGAGGCCGGGTCGTGGACCTCGCTCGCGGTGACGACGACGCGCGGCGTCGTGCCGTCGGATTGCGGCGACGCCGACGCCGCCGCCTCGAGATCCGGCAGCAGCAAGTTCGTCAGCAGGAAGTGCCCGAGGTGATTCACCCCCACGGTGATCTCGAACCCGTCCGCGGTGCGACGCACGGTGTTGTCGCCGCTGAACTCGACGCCGGCGTTCAGGACGAGCGCGTCGAGCGGCGCGGCGCGCCGCGACGCCGCGAACGCGCGGATCGAATCCAGCGACGCGAGGTCGCACTCCGCGGGCGTGAGCGACCCGGTCAGGACGACGCCGTTCGCCGCGGCGGTCGCCTCGATGGACGCCTTCGCGGCCTGCGCTTTCGCGAGCGTTCGGCACGCGAGCGTGACGTCGTACCCGCGCGCGGCGAGCTTCGCGGCGCCGTCGAGGCCGATGCCGCTGTTGCTTCCCGTGACGACGACGCTCTTGCGATCGCGCGTCGTCGTCGTCGTCGTCTCGGTCGTCGTCGGCGCCTCGTCCGCGATCGCGACCGGGGTCGTCGCGGCGAGCGCGGACGACGCGAGCGCGAGCGCGCCGCCGAGGACGACGTCGCGGCGCGACGACGCCGACGCCGGCGCGGACGCGGCGTCGTCCGTCTCGGCGCGCGCCGCGGAGACGGCGATCGCGGAACGACGGGCGGTGGCGATCGATCTGCCGGCGGGGGCGACGACGCGCGCGCGGAGGCCGCGCGCGGCGTTCGCGCGCGCGACGCGCGCGTGGAGGTGTTGCGACGTCATCGCGCTCGTCGTCATCGCGGCGGCGGTCGTCGTCGCGCGCGCGGAGCTGTGAGCCGCGCGCCTTAGGTGCGGATAACGAACAGAAAGAAGTCGCGCGCGCTCGCTCGCGTACAGGTTCTTTTCGCACTCTGCTGTGCTTGCGTGGTTAAAACTGAATTACGTTACCCCTACACCCCTCGCGGTCGTCTTGCTCGCCCCCATCCCTCCTCCCGTCTGTCGTTCTTCCCGCCTACTTACCCCCTCTCTCCCCCCTCGCTCGCCCCGGCCGATCCGATCGCGTCGGTCATCGCTTCTTCGTCGCCGCCGTCGTCGCGCGCGCTTCCCCCGCGTCGCCGGAAACGCCCGCGCCCGCGCTCGCCGCCGCCGCCCCGGTCCCGGTCCCGGTCCCGGCTCCGGCGGCGACGCCCGCGGAGACGCTCTTCCGCGTGGACTTCGGGACCGGCGGCGTCTAGAAGTACGCCCCTGGCCCGGGCGTGTCGAGCGGCTTCCGCGCGAAGAGCACGACGCCGTTCCGGTCCGCTTTCGCGACGCGCGCGTTCATCAAGTTGACGTCCTCTCCGGGCTTCAAGTTGCGCGACGGCGCCCACTTGTACGCCGGCGCCGTGTTGTATTTGCTCGTCCTCTGCGTCCCCAACGAGCTCGGCGCGGCGTCGTAGTTCGCCGCGGGCCCCGGGGAGTCTCTGTTGAGGTCCTCGCGCTCGAAACCGCCGCCGATGTACTTCCCTTTGTTCTGCTCGCGCGTCGTGCGAGACTTAAACGTCAACTCCGGCGCCGTGCCCTTCTCCGCGGACAGCTGACGTCCCAGCGAGCTGTAGTCTTTGTCGAAGCCGTCCATGCCGCTATCCCTATCGTTGAGTCGCCTTACCTGGTCGTACGCGGCGCCGGCTTGCGGCTCTCGAATGATTTTGTAGTGCTCGACGGGCCCGTACCGCCCCTCGCGCTTGCCAAAGTCCGTCTTGGTCCCGTGGTTCCCGAACTTCTCCCACGGCGCGTCGCGCTCGTACTGCCCCGGCCCCGGTCGGATCACCCTCTGACCGCCGCTGTTGACGCGTCGTCCGCCCTCGTAAAACTCCGCCTGCTCCACGGAGTCTTGGACGTGTCGATTCGGGTTGTCCGATCGCACGAAGAGCCGCGACGCCGCGACGCGATCGGTCCTCGAGAAGACCGTCGCGGGCTCGTTCTTCTTGTGCCCGAGCGTCTGCTTCCCGAACGACGACTGCGGGTTCGAGATCCGCGGACCGAGCGTCCCTTTCACGACGGTCTCGTCCAGCTGCGCGGTACCGAGCGGAGGCAAATCGTATCGTTTCCACGTCTCCTTGCCACCGCCTCTGGGGGTGAACACGCCGCCTCCTGTCTCCGCGCCGGAGCGACCGTACGCCCGCGCGGGGGAGTCCGCGAGCCTCGGGAACTGGTCCGTCGTGTCCGTGCTCCGCTTCCACCGCGGCTTCTCCTTCGTCGTCGCCGTCGGGCGCTGACGCGACGGGCTCGCCAAGTGCCGGTGCGTATCCGCCCAGTCCGAGAATGGGTTTTCTTCGATCGTGGGCTTGTAGCTGTAGCCCCAGTTCGCTTTGTTTCCCTTGCCCTTCGTCGTCGGTTGCGGGCGGGTTCGGTCCTTCGGCGACGGGGATACGCCCCAAGACGCCATCTTCGCAGATCGGAGTCGCGCGCGATCCGGCGCGGTCGTGTGCGGGCGCGCGATTCCACTGCGGGCGAACGTGTTTCCCCGATTGGAATCAGAGTTGCCGCCGCGGCCGGTTGGCGCGAAAAAAATCAGGTGATAAGCTTCGGCGAATTTTGGGCGAAAAATCTTTACACCAATTGCCCATACACATACACGTACGAGTGTATGAGATCTTGAGGTCGGTCGCGCCGTTTCAAAAAAAATAACGTCCCGATACCAGCAGAGCGAAAAATCTGAGAGCGGGTGTTCGGGCGTCAGGCGTCATCAGTCTCGCCTCGACAGACACACACGATGGAGCCCCGCGCGTCGCCGTTCTACGACGGCGACGTCGCCGGCGCGATCGCGCTCGCGAGAGCGCACAACGTCCCCCTCCTCGTCGCGCTTCACGGCGGCGACGACGCGAGCGCGAGGCTGGACGAGACGTGGACGTCGGAGACGTCCGAGGTTTCGCGCGAGATTCGCGGCGAGACGCGCGCGGCGGGCGAAGACGGCGACGGCGACGGCGACCGCGAGGGGGTCCCTCCGCGCGCGCGATGGGTCGCGCTCCGCCTCGACGCGAACACGACGGACTACGCCAACTTCGTGAAACTGTTCCCGACGTCGTCGCTGCCCGCGGTCGTCGTGATCGACCCGAGCGCGGGGTCGACGCTCGCGCGTCTCGAGGGCGAGGCCGCGACGAGCGACGCGCCGGACGATCTGCTCGCGGCGTTGACGGCGTGTCGCGAAGCGCACGAGCGGCGGCGCTCGACCGCGGCGCTCGCGACCGCGCTCGCCGCCACCGCGGCGGCGACTCCGGCTCCGCCTTCGCCTCCGGCGGTCGCGGAGGTCGCGGAGGTCGCGGAGGTCGCCGCGGCGCCGCCGCCGGCGCCTCCTCCTCCGCCTCCGCCGCCGCCGGTCGCGCCGCCGCCGCCGCCGCCGCCGCCGCCGCCCTCCGCGGCCGCGTCCGCGTCGGTGTCCGAATCCGGCGTCCGCCAGCGCCGCGGCGCGGCGATCGGGAAGACGAAAGCGGAGATGCGCGAGCGAAAACGACCGACGCCGTCGTCGCCGCCGCCCGTGGGCAAGTCCAAGCGCGAGTTGCGCGAGACGCCCCCGCCAAAACGCGCGCCGTCGCCGCCGCCGCTGCCGCGACGGCCGATCGACGTCAGGTGCCAAGTCAAACTCCCGAACGGCGCGACGATCACCACGCCGGACCTCCCTCCCTCGGACGTCACGACGATCCGCGACGTGCGAAGAGCGATCGAGCCCGACGCCGCGAGCGCGGGGGTGACCGCGTTTGAGCTTTGGACGACGTGGCCGCGCGCGCGCGTGGACGAACGCGGCGGCGCCGACGCGAGGACGCTGGACGCCGCGGGGTTAGGACCTCGGCCGTCGCTGATGGTCGTCGGCGTGGACGACGCGAGGAGGAGGCGGCAGCGCGGCGAGGCCGCGCTGAGGCCGAGGCCGGCGGTTTCGGCGGGGGGTGGGGGTGGGGTGGGGAGGAGGGCGAACGCGGCGGCGGCGGGCGGCCCGCTCGCGATCGCGCTCGAGATTTTACGGCGGATCTGGGCGACGGTGTCGATGTTCTTGGGGTTGAACGAGGCGCCGCCGCTCCGTGGCGGGGAGCGCGCGGAGAGAGGAGATGACGCGGCGCGCGGCGGCGGCGGCGGCGAGCGACGCTGGTCGAGGAGCGAAGCCGTCGCGGCGTCGAACGCGGCGCGCGCGTTCGCGTTCGGCGACGGCGGCGCGTCGTCGCCGCCGCCCTCGGCGTCCGCGCCGCGCCGCGCGCCCGGCGGGGGCGCGGCCGGGGGCAACGTCCACACCCTCGGGTCTAGCCGCGAGCGCGACGAGCGACGACGCGACGGCGACGACGGACGGAACGCGTTTTGGAACGGGAACTCCACCGTCTGGGGCGGCGACGAGAGCCGCGGAGGAGGGAGCGACGACGGCGACGACGCGAGAGGCTGAGCGAACGAAAACGAACGAACGAATGAATGAATATCACAGCGGACGACTCCCTCGTCCATCACTCCCTCGCGATGTCCTTCGCGCTCGCCTGCGACGTCGGGTACACGAGCATGTCGCACACCTGCACCCGCCCCGGCCGGGTGAGCGCGTACACGATGTTATCCGCGATGTCCTCCGCCAGCAGCGGCCCGCCGTACTTCATGCCCTTATACACGCCCTCCGCCTTCGCCGCGTCGCCCTTGAACCGCACGGCGGAGAACTCGGTGTTCACGAACCCGGGCGCCACGGTCGTGATCTTGCACGGCGTGTCGTGGAGGTCCTTGCGACACGCGTACGTGAACGCGTTCACCGCCGCTTTGGTCGCGCAGTACACGCTCCCGCCGCCGTACCACTGTGCGTTCCATACAAAGCGATGTCGGGGTGGAGTTGAAAGGCGTCAGTTGGAGTTGAAAGGCGTCGAGGGCGGGGATTGAAAGCGAGGGGTGGGCGGAGAGAGACGATGGCAAAAGTCCTTATGGATCGGCGTTCACCACGCCAACGCGGTCGTATGGGGACCAGTGTAAGGAGAACATACCTCGATCCCGGCGATGGAGGAGATGTTGATCACGTGGCCCTCGCCGCGCGCCACCATCCCCGGGGTGAACGCGCGCGTGCACGCGATGAGCCCCTTCACGTTCGCGTCGATCATCGTGGACATGTCGTTCATGTCGTTCTCCGTGCACTTGGCGGTGCCGAGCGCGCCGCCGGCGTTGTTCACGAGGATGGAGACGTCGGCGAAGTCGGCGGGGAGCGCCTCCGGGAGCGCCATGACGGCGTCGACGTCGCACACGTCGAGCTCGATGCAGTGCACGCTCGCGCCTGTGGACGGCGCGCGGGGTGGGGTGGTGTGGAGGGAGGAGGCGTCGGAGGTGAGCGGCGTTCGAGGGAGGGCGAGAGATCGAGCGAGCGATCGATCGGTCGATCGCGCGTCGTTTCGGACTCCGCTCGGACGACGCGATCGCCGCGGGGACGCACCGTGCTCGTCGCGCAGCTTCGCCGCGAGCGCGTCGAGGCGATCCTTCCTCCGCGCGGCGACGACGAGCCGGCATCCGAGCTCCGCGAGCCTCTCCGCGGTCGCGAATCCGATCCCGGACGACGCGCCGGTGACGAGCGCGCATCGACCCGCGACGGGCGCGGGCTGGTACAGCTTCGAGACCATCGGCGCGGGAGGGACGCGGGCGGCGGCGGCGTCGGCGGACATGACGCGCGCGATCGCGGCGACGAACGGCGGCGGCGGGCGAGCGCGCGCGGAGGAGAGCGCGGAGAGCGCCGAGGGGTCGCGGAGGAAGCGAGTCGCGAACGTTCTTGCGCGAACGAGCGCGGTCATGGAGTGCGCGCGGCGTCGCGCGCCGTGGCGGGAAAACCGCAGCGCGAGGTCGTCGCGCTCGCGGTCGGCGCCTCTCAGCCCCAGCCAGCTGTGACCGATCGTCCGCGACGATCGACCGTCCGCGCGCGCCATTCGCGGACGCGCGCCGACAGAAGACGCGCGCCTCCCTCGTCACCCCGACGACGCGAGAGGGCGCGATCGTCGCGCCCGGATCGATGGCGCCGCCGCCGCGCGCGTCCGGCGACGGGTTCGCGCCGTCCGAGGCGGCGCTCGCCGCGGCCCTGGACGCCGCGGAGGATATCTGGTTTCACGACGAGCGCGCGGCGACGACCGACGACCGGCTGGGGGGATGGCGACGCGCGGGCGCGGGCGCGGGCGCCGCGTCGCCGCCGCCGCGCGCGCGAATTCGCGCGACGAACGGCGGCGATTCGACCAACGCCGACACGCCGAAGAAGACGTCGCACCATCCCTCCTCCTCCTCGTGGACGCCGTGGCGCGCGCTCTGCGACGTCGCCGAGGCGCCGTACTTTCGATGGTACGCCGGCGCCAAGACGAACGCGTGCTTCAACGCGCTCGATCGCCATCTCGCGGACGGCCGCGGCGACGACGTCGCGCTCACCTGCGTCCCGGAGGACGGCGCCGGGGAGACGTACTCGGTCACGCGACGCGAGCTCCTCGGCGCGGTCGTGCGCGCGGCGAAGGCGCTGAAAGAGACGCACGGCCTGAAGGCGCGCGATCGCGTCTTGTTCCACGCGCCCACCGACGCGACGCACGTCGTGTACATGCTCGCGTGCGCGCGACTTGGCGTGACGTACTCCGCGACCGCGGTGGACTCGGTGACGGACGTGCTGAGCTCGAGGGCGGCGGACCTGACGCCGCGCGTCGCGATCGCGCCGGACGCGCGCGCGACGCACGGCGGCGTCGCGGTGGATTGCGCGGAAAAGTTGAGAGACGCGTTGGCGACGCATTCGGCGGACGCGGCGGGCGGCGGGAGATGCAAAGTCGTCACCGTCGCGCCGTGGCGTGCGAGCGCGCCGCACGTCGCGAGCTACCTCGCGATGTCCGACGCGGACGCGCTGCGAGCGGCGTTTACGGCGTGCCCGTGCGTCCCGGTTGAGACGGACCACCCTCTGTTCGTGTCGTACACGTCGGGCTCGACGGGGAAGCCGAAGGGGGTGGTGCACGGGCACGGCGGGTACGTGGCCGGGGTGAAGCAGTCGATGAAGGTCGTGTTCGAGACCACCGAGGGCGAGGGTTGCGACGGCGTCAGCGGTCGCGGCGGCGGGATCCTCACCGTCGGCAGCGCCGGGTGGATCACCGGGCAGTCGTACATGGTGTGGGCGCCGCTGTGCGCGGGGGTTCGAAGCGTGATGATGCTCGGATCGCCGGTGTATCCGACGCCGCTGAGAACGGCGCAGACGGTGGCGAGGGAGAAGTGCACGCTGCTGAAGACGGGCAGCGCGGTGATCCGACAGCTCATGACGGACCCTGGAAACGCCGCGAAGCTCGACGCGATCGACACGTCGTCGCTGCGGTACGCGACGTTCTGCGCGGAGCCCGTCAGCGTCGAGGTGCACGAGTACGCGCACCGGCACATCACGAAGAAATTTATAAACTCGTACTGGGCGACGGAGCACGGCGGGATGGTCTTCAGCCGGAACACAACCTCGGGCGGCGCTGATAAACCAATCGCGCCGGACGCGCGGACGTGGCCGCTGCCGTGGGTGAAAGTCGCTCTGGACGAGGAGACGTCCGACGTCGTGATCGCTGGGCCGTACCCGTCGCTCGCGCTGACCGTCTTCGGCGACCCCGAGTCGGTGAACGACCCGAAGTGGCGCGGGGATCTGGCGCGGTACCAAAAGACGTACTGGCCGAAAAACGGCGGCGGGTTCGTGCAGGGCGACATCGCGCGCGTCGCCGGGAAGGACGGCGGGTTCACGTTCCACGGGAGGTCCGACGAGGTGATCAACGTGAACGGGAACAGGGTCGGGACGGAACAGATCGAACGGTGTCTCTGGGACGTGGAGACGACGGAGACGGGCTCGGGGGAGAGCGGCCAGGGCGGCGGCGCGGGCGCGGGAGGCGACGCCGACGCGACGACGTACCGCGTGAAGGACTGCTGCGTCGTCGGCGCGCCGGATTTCGTGAAGGGCACGGCGCCGGTCGCGTTCGTCGTGTTCGAACGACGCGGCGGCGGCGGCAAAAAATCCAAACGCGGCGGCGGCGCGGCGTCGAAAGCCGCCTCGCGCGGCCCCGACCTCGCCGCGTTCAAGCTCGCGGCGGCGACCGCGGTGACCGACCGCGTCGGCGCGTACGCCGCGCCAGACCACGTCTTCGCCGTGGACGCGCTGCCGAAGACGATCACGAACAAGACGTCGAGGAAGACGCTGCAGCTGTTGCTCGCCGGCGATGACGCGCCCGACGGGTCGCTCGCGAAGAAAGAGACGCTCCCTCCGATCGCCGCGATGGTCGCCGACTGGCGGCTCACCGGCGCGAGCACGTCGCACGCGATAAACCTGCGGCGATACTGGAACGCGTTCACGTTCTCGGACCACAACGTCCTCGGGAAGCCGATCGTGCCCGGCGCCGGGTGGCTCTGCGTGCTCGCGAACGAGATGAAGACGGAGAAGCTCGCGGACGTGTCGTTCATGCGCGGCGTGCACGACGCGCGCGCGGACGTCCGCGTCGTGAAGCGGCGGCGGACGATGCAGGCGACGGTCGGGGACGACGTCGTGTTGAAGGCGAGCGTCGTCGCGGGGGAGGCGACGCCGCGGGCGATCGGACCGACGCTGTTCGCGCGGTCGGAGAACGCGCGGCCGGCGGCGGCGGCGGCGGCGGCGGACGAGGCCATGGACACCGGCAGCGACGGCAGCGACCGGAGCGACGGCGAGAAAGAGTCGAGCGACGACGCGTCCGACCCCGACCCTGACCGCGACCGCGACCGCGACCGCGACGACCCGGTGATCACGGAGGACGCGACGCACGCGCAGCACTACCGGCGATGCGGCGCGTTGAAGCTCAACTACGGCGGCGCGTACAGGGCGGTGTCGAAAGTGGAGTGGAGCGGGCACGTGTTTCGAGCGGACGTGGACGGGACGCACCTCGCCGCGGTCCTGGACGCGGGTTTACAGGTGGCGTGCGCGGCGGTCAGAGGGAACACGTTCATTCCCGTCGGCGTCGGGGAGTTTCACATCACCGAGGGCGTGGACGCGTGGAAGCCCGGGGGTAAGTGCGTCGCGCACGGCGAAATCACGGAGCAGCACAACGAGTTTCTCATCGCGGATCTGCGGTACGAACGTCTCGTCGTCGGCGCTTCCGCGGGCGGCGCGGGCGGCTCGAAGAAGCGCAAGAGCGCGTCCTCCGCCGCGTCGTCGTCGCCCGGGTACAAAACCTTCGCGGCGATGTCGCGCGTGCGCTTCGCGCGCGTCGAGGGCACCAAGCCGCGGCTGCAACCGGCGGCGGCGCGGCACGCGCCGCCGCCGACGGGCGCGGCGCAGATCCTCGACCCGAAGACCGCGCTCGATCGCCTGCGGCACCTCACCCCGGAGCAGCGCGAAGACGCGATCCGCGCGGTCGTTCGCGGCGTCGTCGTGGACCTCACCGACGTCGAGCCCGACTTCGACAAGACGGTGTTCGACAACGGCATGCACTCGTTGAACGCCGTGGAGCTTTTGACGCGCGTGAACGACGCGCTCGGCACGGGGGTCACGTCCAAGCTCGTCGTCGTGGACGCGCCGATGTCTCACTTCGTGACCGCGGTCGCGCAGCACGCGGCGGAGTACGAAGCCCCGAAAGAGGGCGAGGAGTCGCTGCCGTTCCCGAACGTGGATTACGACAACCTGAATGAGATCGTCCGACGGCGGCTTGCGGGGAAAACCGTCGGGAAGACCCCGTACGTGTTTCTCGCGAAGTTCATGGCGTACAACTGGTGGCGGAAGTCGTTCCAGTTCTTCCGCATCGGCGGGCTGAACTTGTTCTTGAACCCTCCGAAGAAGATCGACCTCGGGATCGAAGTCCGCATGGACCGCCGCGTCGAGTTCCGCGACCTCGACATGAATCAACACTACACCGTGGAGATGATCGTGGGACGCTCCGTGGACGGCGTCGAGCAGCTCATGCTGATGTCCGGGCTCACGCTCGTGGAGTTGTACTACAAGCGGAACTTATTCGCGGCGAAGATTCAGAGCACGTTCCACAAGGAGCTCGCGCACAACGACCGGTACACGATCCACACGAAGATCACCAGAGTCGCCGGGTCGCTCATGGACATTCGCGTCGCGTTTTTAGACGCCGACGAGACGCTCTGTTTCGAGATCTTGTGGACGATCCTCATCGTGCTGGACAGCAACGAGCGGATACTGTTGGACTGGGAGAACGTGGATCTCATGGAGGGACGGACGCTCACGGCGGGCCCGGGGAAGAACCGCGTGGAGGCGCCGGCGACGCCGAAGAGCCCCGGACCCGGCGGCGGGGGGTCTCTCCTGGGGTCGGCGCTTCCTCCCTTCCTGGGCGGGGAACGATCGAAAACGATCGCGGAGGCGGCGGGAACGACGAAGTCTTCGAAGAAGAAGACGAAGAAGAAGCGATGAACGATGCGTTAAGTTAAGGGTATATCATCATAACCTGGATTGGATTTTCAATAATTGAACTACGTTCCGCTACGTCCCCCCCCCTCCCCGCACGAAGCCTTCTTTTTTCTTCGCCTAGCTAGCACTCGATCCGCCCGGCGATCGCCTCCTTCTCCTTCGTCATCAGCGCGTGCCAGTACTCCGCGTTCAGCAACGCCGCCCCCCACGCGCCTCGAACGACGTTGTTCACGACGAGACAGAACGACACGTCGAACAGCTCGTCGTCCACGTCTATGTTCCCCACGCAGACGGACATCCCTCCGTCGTACTCGTGATCGTCCTTGGGCCGCGGCGTCCCGATGCGCGGCGGCGGCCTCTCCCCCTCCTCCCCGGTCGGCGCCTCGTCGATCGGCTTCACGTAGATCGCCCGCCTCGGTTTCGACGGCAGCGAGACGCGCGCCAGCGGGTCGAACGACGTGAACGCGCGCTCGACCGCGCGCGCGTCCGCCGGTTTCGTCCGCAGCCGCACGCGGACGTCCACGAGGTGCCCTTTTTGCACTGGGACTCTGTACGCCGCCACGGAGACGCGCTTCACCCCCGGCATGATCCTCCGCAGCTCCAACTTTTGATACTCCCCCGTCCGCTCCACCGTCCCCGCGAGCGGATACACGTTCCCCATCACCAGATCCCTCTGATACTTCGCGTCGCCGCGCCCCGAGAGCGACTGGAACGTCGTCACCGAGACGTCCTCCACGCCGAACGCGTCGTCAAGCGCCTTCAGCGCGACGACGCACCCGCACGTGACGCAGTTTGGCGACTTCACGAGCGACAGCGTCCCCGCGACCGGGTCCTCGATCGCGTCCTTGACCGCGGCGGCGAGCACCTCCGGGTTCGCCTCCGGCACAGACAGCGGGTTGGCGAGGTCGAACCTCGCGTGCGGAGAGATGCTGAGGGTCGCCATTCCATACAAGCGAACGTCGGGGTGGAGTTGAAAGGTGTCAGTTGGAGTTGAAAGGCGTCGAGGGCGGGGATTGAAAGCGAGGGGTGGGCGCAGAGATGCGACGGCAAAAGTCCTTAAGGAACGGCGTTCACCACGCCGACGGGGTCGTATGGGAACCAGTGTGTAGAACGCGCCTGAACACCTTGATCCCGGCGCGCGCGAGCGCGTCTTCGATCTCGCCGTGCTCGGGCGCGATGAACGACAGCGCCGTCTTGATAACCCCGTCCGCGATGACGTCCTCGACGGACTGCACCACGCAGTGCATCAATTCCGCGGGGAACTCCTGCGGTTTCCAGAGATCCGCGCCGTAGTGCTCGACGAGCGCGTCCTCTTTTTTTTCAAACACCGCACGGAACGGCTTCCCGACCGTCGCGACGCTGCCGACGACCGCGCCGATCTTGAACGTGGGATGCCCGAGCAGGTGCAGCGCGACGGACCTTCCGACGTACCCGGTGCCGCCGATGATCGCGAGCGGGGTGCGGTCGTCCGCCGCGCCGTTAAGGGGGGAGAGCGACGACGCGCGGATCGCGGATCGCGCGCTCGCGGAGAGGACCGTCTCGTCGAGCAGCGGGTGCGCGTACGGGTCGCCGCACGCGTGGCAGCGCGTGCCGGCGTCGAAGCGGCCTTGGCTCCTCGCCTCGAGGATCCATCGCCTGAGGGAGGGAGGGAGGGAGGGAGGGAGGGAGGGAGGGACGTTGTCAGCCAGACGGCGAGGCGCGCTGGCGGCGGACGGACGCGCGGAGGGCGCGAGACGGCCGGGCCGCGGGAGGCGTCGCGATTTCGTTTCGCGCGCGAGTTCTAAACGAGGAGGGACGCACTCCAAGCACGCCTGGTGGACGTTCGAGCGCTCGTCGCGGCACGCGCACGGCGTCGGGGACAAGAACTCCGGTCGACCGTCGTACTCGCAGACGGCCGACCAGCAGATGCGGCAGAGCGCCTCGCCGGGGGGCGCGTCGGACGCGGTCGCGCCGCCTCCCATCGTGCGCGCGCGGGAGAAGTGAGCGAATGGCCGCGCGGAGATACGTTTCCTCGTCCGCTCTCCGCCCTCCGTTTTTCGGTACCTTATTAGCGGCAGACTCTGCGGGGATGACATCGAAAGCAGCAACGACCGACGTCACGGGGTGAAATCGCTTCGCTCGGTCAATTTGACCCTTAGTGCCGGTCAAATCCGTGTAGCAACGACCGAGAGTAAAAAAGTGCAACGAAGCCGACGACATTGTCATCATTCTGGTTAACCCTACTGTTCGCTCGCGGCGACCGCCCGTCGCCCACTGCGACCGCGCGCGCGCACGCGTCTCGACCTCCCGCGTCGTCTCGCGCATCGCCCGTTCGCCGCGCGAACGCGATCGACCGCGCCGTCGAAAGCGCGCCTCAACGCGCGCGCGCTCGTCGCTCGACGTCTCGCGGAGTCGCGTGCACTTTTTTCGTCGAGCGCGAATCGAATCCGACGCGCGACTGAATCGAATCGTCGGAAGCGACGAGCGTCTCGGCGTCGATGATGTCAACCTCCGCGAGCGCGATGACGCCGACGGCGGCGACGGCGCCCGCCAGACTCGCGTCGCGCGCGCGCGTCGCGCCGACGACGCCCACGACGTCGTCGCGCTTTCTCGCGCGTCGCCGCCGCCGCGGCGGCGAACGATTCGTCGTCGCCGCCGCGGCGCCGCGCTCCAAGGGCGACATCGAGCGCCGCCCGGACGATCCCCCGGACACCCTCCCGGGGTTCCCGGCCACGCGAGAGGCGGCGCAGGCGGACATCGCGGAGTACGCCGCGTTCCGGAGCTGGAGCGAACTCCGCGACGCCGCGCTGGACGATCGCCACAACTTCCCGACGACGCCGACGTCCAAATCGTATCAGCAAACAGTCAGACGCGCGTTCACGATTCTCGGCATCGGCATGCACAGCGGCGAGGTGGAGGCCGTGAGGGTGTGCCCCGCGCACGCGAACGAGGGAAGGTACTTCGTGCGGGTGCCGAAGGGGCACATCCCGGAGGATTCGTGGAAGGAGACGACTGGCGGCGCGTTCGCGCGCGACGACATCTCCGACGAAGAAGCGGAAGATCTCGTCCTCGAGCAGCTGCGGAGCATGCTCAGGCACACGACGAAAGCGGAGCTCGAGGAAGAGAAGCGACGGGCGGAGGAGCTTCGAAGGAAGCGCGAGCTTCCGGCGCAGACGCCGAGCGATTTCCCCGCCGTCGCCGGCGAGAAACGCGTGCGCGCGTCGCTCGACAACGTCGAAGAAGGGCTCCGTCTGTCGATGAAACTCTCGCTCGAAGGCGACGACGACCACTCGGTGATCACCACGGAACATCTCCTGAGCGCTCTCGAAGCCATGGGCGTGGACGACGCGCGAATCGAGGTGGAAGGCAACGGCGAGATTCCGATCCTCGACGGCAGCGCGTACGATTACGTGTATCAAATCGGCCGCGTCGGCCTCGTCGCCGCGGCGGATCCCGCCGGCGGCGACGGCCAAACCCCGCGGAAGTCGTTCAAACCCTCCGAGGTTGTCATGTTAACGGGCGACAACGAGGCGTTTATCATGTTCACCCCCGGAGAGTGCACGAAGCTGACGTACGGGATCGACTTCACGTACAAGTCGAGGGCGATCGGGAAGCAGTGGGAGAGCTGGACGCCGACGGAGGACGGCGAGTACTCGGACTTTCTCGCACGGGCGCGGACGTTCGGGACGATGAAAGACGTCATGGCGTACTTCCGCGCCGGGGTCCTCCGCGGCGGCTTGGAGAACTCCGCGCTTCTCGCGAACGCGGATCAGTGGTGGAACCCTCCGATGATGCTCCCGAACGAGTGCGCGCGGCACAAGATGCTCGACCTGATCGGCGATCTGTCCCTGATGGCGGAGCCCGGGATGGCCGGGGTGCCGATCGGGCACATCGTCGCGTACAAGGCGAACCATAACATGCACGCGGAGTTCGCGAAGAAGCTGAAAGCGAGCGCCGCGGGGGCGACCGCGGAGTCGGAGCTGTGGAACGTGTTCCCGTCGCGAGAGGTGATGAATTTCTCCCCGCACGGGTTAGACGACGACGAGACGTACGACCTCCTCGGCGTCCGCAAGGGCGGGCCGAACTCGAACAGCATGAAGGAAGACCCGCCGCCGCTGGATTGGAACGCTACCTACTAGAGCGGAGCGGAGTGACGTGCGAGCGCGGCGCGCGAGTCTCTCGACGTGTGTGTGTACGACTGTATTTTTTCATCATCAGACGGAAATCTTGATTCTCGAGAACTCGACCCAGACCGAAAAATTTCCAAAACGAAAACGATTTTTTTCACCGCGAAATCCTCGACTCAACCGACCCGCGTTCCGCGGTCAGTCGAGCGAACCAAATAGACCCGTTGACCGGATCAGGCTGGAATCAGGCCTCGGTCAGCCGCGCGAGATCCTCTGGCGGGAAATCGCAACGAAGTCTCGATGAACGAGAGCCGCGAAACGCGCTTTCTGCACGTCCAGCGAGGTGTGACTCGGCGATCGACCGCGGGGAGATGTAGAGTCCGACGCGCGGACGCTCCACGGGAGGATGACCCCAGCGAACGCGCAAAGCACCGGGTGGGTGCGAGACGGGAGCGGACGGATGATGCGCGCGGAGGACGCGACCGCGGAGAACATGGAGCCGTCGCAGCTCCTGCGCTTGCCGTGTCACGTCCTGCGCGAGGTGTTCGGTTTCCTGGACGCGAAAGACGTCGCGCGCGCGGCGACGACGTGCAGCACCCTGCGGGAAGTAAACCGCTCGGAGTCGCTGTGGAGACGTATGCTCGCGAGCAAACTCGGGACGCAGGCGGAAATCGTCCTGCCGAGGGCGCTCCCGGACGAGCGGTACGTCGCGCGAACGCGTCACTCCCGCCGTCAATTCGCGCCTCGCGTTTTTCCGTGAAAGAAATTTGCACGGTTGCCAGATCCTCCGCTCCGCCGCTAACGCGCGTTCCTTCCTCGATCAGGTACAACGCCGGGGAAAGCAAGGATGAACCCGCGTGGAAAGACATGTTTAGGTTCTGGATGAACCCGAAACCGAACTCGTTGGAGTGGGCGGAGAAGGCGCGGGGCGAAGGTGCGTGGATTCGCGGCCCCGACGAACCCGGACCGTGTGTTTCGTCGTCGGTCGGCGTCCCCTCCCGCGCGCGCTCTTCCCGCCGCCTCGACGCGTCATCTAACTGCCATTGTCCCTCTACAGACCTCGAAAGCTCGCGCGGGAAGTTCGCAGCGCGGTACCTGCACCGCTGCACCGCCATCGGGGTACGTCGCCGCCCTCGCGCCGCGTTCATCTCGCACCCCTTGACCGTCCCGCGTTCGCGCGCGTCCGTTATTTCCTTCTACGCGCCGGGCGTTCGTCGCGCCGCGAGTCGCGTTTTTTCAATGCTCCGCCGCTGACGCGTCCGCGCCTCCGTCCCCCGTGAATCGATCTCAGGATGGAAACAAGATCCTCCTGTTCGGCGGTCAAGGCAGCGGCGCGGACTTCTTCAACGACCTCCACCTCCTCGACCTGAAGAAGACGCCGCTCAGCCTCGAGGAGGTGCACGCGTCCGGGGACCCGCCGTTTCCGCGATGCAGCGGCACGCTCACCGCCGTGGGCGTCGACGGCTTACCCGGCGTGGAAGTCGTCGCCCTTTTCGGCGGTTCACAAGGATTCTTCGAGGGCTTCTCGAACTCACTGTGTATCCTTCAAGGCGACGACGGCGTCTCGATTGAGAACGCCGCGGAGTCGCACCGGGGGTTAACGTGGAAGGAGCCGAAGGTCGTCGCGGAAAACGCGCTCGACGGCGTCCCGGACGCGCGGTGGGGGCACAGCGCGGTGTCTTGGAACGGGAATCTCGTCTTGTTCGGCGGCTCGAACACGCAGCACTGCTTCAACGACACGTGGATCTTAAACGTCAGCGCGGACGAGGAAGACCCGAAGCGGTTGCTCGCGACGTGGAGGCTGTTAAAGCTCGCGTCGGACGTTCGACCGCCGTCGCGAGCGGGGCAGACGGTGTCCATCGTGAACGACTCTCTGTACGTGTTCGGCGGGTGCCACATCTCGGACGTGTTCAACGATCTTTGGACCCTAGATCTGAACTCGCCGAATCCGACGTGGAGGGAGTTTCACGTCAAAGGCACGCCGCCGGCGCCGAGGGTGGGGCACGCCGCGGTCGTCCTCGGCGACCGCGTCGTGTTCAGCGGCGGGAGGGGGTCGCCGACGGCGGGCGCGTTTGGAACGTACGCCACCGCGGATCAAGGTCTCGCGACGATGCAAGGACTGACGTTCTTCGAGGGCGGGTTCGCGATGCTGGACATCTCGAGGGAGTGCTGGATGCCGATCCAGCATCCGATTCGCGACGGGAAACGCGGTGTCGCGTTCAGAGGAGGCGGGGGGGACGGTCCGACGCCGATGGACGTGGACGGCGAGGAAAACGATTTCCACATGCCGGGGCTCGGGATGGACGATCTCGAAGAAGGCGCGGACCAGGGGGTGTGGGAGCACCGGACCGGGCACGTGATGGTGCCCGCGAAGGACGGGTTGCTCGTCATCGGCGGGTTAGCGTACAGCGGGGATTTTCAGAACGACGTGCAGCACATCAAGGTGTTTTAGGCGCGCGGGGAAAAGAGCGCGACCGAGAGGGAGGGGAGGAGCGGACGACCGCTGGAGAAGGGAAACCGCGCGCGCGCGCGCGCGAGCGTCTCCGATGATTCATTTATCGTCCTCGCACACGGAGCACCGTAGACAGACGACGTAGCACACGATACATACACTTATATCAATAACGATATCATCAGTTATGAACGAGCCAGCCGACACTATGATACTCACTCGACGAACCCGACGGGCGCGCCCACGCCTTTGCTCACCATCGCGAGCGCTTTGTACCTGATCCCTAACCCCGGGTCCGCGCTCCCGCCCTCGCCCTCGCCCTCGTCCCCGGCCATCAACCGCGTGCACCCCTCGATGAGACGATCCGCCTCTTCCTCGCTGCCGCACTCCTTCACGAGCCTCTCGAGCCGCGCGCCGATCTGCAGCGACCCCAACAAGTCGCGCTGCGTCGTCGGTCCGTAACACCTCACGCCGTCTCTCGCAAACGACGGACCGTCCTCGATCACCTTCCGCATCGCGCCGAAGTCGACGTACGCGGATAAGTCCGCGGTCCCCGGGTCCGCGAGCAGGTCCACGAACTTGTGGTCCTTGATCGCCTGCAGCGTGTTCCCCGTCGGTCCCTCCGAGCCGTAGTCGACGGCGAGCGCCGCGCCGGGGTGAACGCGAAGGCGACCCGCGACGCGTTCCCAGATCGCGACCGACCGCGGGGAGATCTCCAGCTGCCTGATGGACTCCTTTCGCTCCGCGGGGAGGCCGTCGAGGCGCCGCGGGATCATCAGCGCGCCCGCGGGGGTGAGACCCGGGGACAGCACGAGCTCCAACGCGCCGTCGTCGGCGGCGGCGGCGGCTTCGGTCTCTTCGTCGCCCTCTTCGCCCTCTTTCTTCGCCCTCTTCGCCGGCGCGGCTTTCAACGCGACGAGCTTCTCGCACCATCCGCGCTCCGTGCGCGTGAACTGATGCACGGGCATCGCGTCGAAAAACTCGTGCGCGATCACGATGATGGGGCCTTCGGGGACCGCGTCGAACGTGTCGTGCCACCGCACCGGCCGGCCGTTGAGTTCGCTCGTCGCCGCCGCCGCGCCCGCTTCGCCCGCGGCCGGCGTCTCCTTCGATTCGTCCCCCGCGTCGTCGCCGCCGTCGCTCGCGTCCTTCTTCGCCGCCAGCGGGTTGCTCGCGACGCGAACGCCGTCGAGGAGGTCCTTCACTCGCGTCGCCGCGGGACCATCCCCGCCGCCGCCGCCGCCGCCGCCGCCGGAGCATCGCAACTTTTCGCGTTGCATCTCCCGCAGCTTCGGGCTCACCTCGACCATGTGCACGTCCATCGCGGCCGTGAACGCCTTAAACTTCGACGTCGCGCGCAGCAAGTCGCTCATCAGCGTCCCGCGTCCCGGCCCCAACTCCACGAGGGAAAACTTGGACGGCTTCCCGAGCGCCTCCCACGTCGAAGCGCACCAGACGCCGACGAGCTCGCCGAACACTTGGCTGAGGGCCATTCCATACGAGCGAATGTCGGGGTGGAGTTGAAAGGCGTCAGGTGGCGTTGAAAGGCGTCGAGGGCGGGGATTGAAAGCGTGGGGTGGGCGGAGAGATGCGCCCGGCAAAGTCCTTAAGGATCGGCGTTCACCACGCCGACGCGGTCGTATGGGGACCAGTGTATAGAACGCACCTGATCTCCGGGCTCGTGACGAAGTCGCCCCGCGCGCCGAACACGTCACGGTGCATGTAGTACCCGTACTCCGGGTGCGTCAGCGCCTCCTGCATGTACTCCGCGAGCGTTATCGGGCCGCCGCGGAAGCGGATCACGCTCGCGAGGTGTCGCTCCAGGCCGACGAGACGCGCGAGACGCGCGTCGTCGGCGTCGTCGTCGTCGTCGTCGGACGTCGACGCGTCGCCGCCGCCGACGCGCCGCGCCGCGGTCATCGTCTTGAACAGCCCGGTGCGATCGATCGCGATCTCGACCGCGCGTCGCGCGCTGCCGTCCGGGTCCGGGTCCTCCGCGTCCGCGTCGTGCCACCCCGCGCCGCCGCTGGCGCGACGTCGCCATCGGTCGTCGTGATGATGACATTTTTGTCGCCGACGACGCCACGACGCGTCGTCCGTCGCGCGCGCGCCCGCGCCCGCGCCCGCGCGCGCGCACTGACGACGCGCGGACGCCTCGACGCCGCCGGTCGCGCGCGCGCCCGCGGCGGCGATCGCCGCGCGCGCGAGCGCGCGGAACGGGCCTCCGAGGCCGAGCATCGGCGCGGTCGCGATTGGCGCTCGCGTCCACGTCTCGCGACGAGAGGGGAGCGTCACTGCGAGAGCGTTGATCGACTTTCGCGATGAAGAAAACCTATCAACTTGTTTGATCGGAACTCCCAGATCGATTTGATCGGTCGGAAGGCGAGGTCGGTCGGGGGCCATCCTGACCTAAAAATGGCTCGAGAGTCGAGCGGTTCGACGGTTCAACAGACCGTCGATCGAAAGAGAATCCGCGTCCCGTCGGTTGCCACAGGAATTCGTGACTCGATATTTTCGTCGGCCATGTCGCACTGGTTCCCATACGCCCGCCCCCCGAAAGAATCGCCTCCGGCGGCGCGGAGTCACACCACGCGTCGCGGCCCGCCTCGGGTTCGCCGCGGTCGCTCACGCCTCAAACCTCGGGTTAACCCTCGCGGGAAGACACTCCGCGCGGTCCGCGGGGTGATCGAGTCTCGAGTCGTCGCGTGGACGCCGCCGCGTCGCGGATAAATCGGCGCCTCGGAAGCCTCTCGGAAGGAGCCCCTCTCGGGTGAGCTTTTTTATCCGTAGCGGGCGAGGGGCGCGCGCTTCCGGAGGGCGAACGCGCGCGTCGTCGCGCGCGATCGAATCGCGTCGCGCGCGCGCGCGTCGAGGAAATCATCATGTCGCACGCCGCGGCGTGGCAGGCGCCGGGGGCGACGATCGCGCGCGCGCAGACGCGCGTGAACGGCGGCGCGTCCTCGTCCGCTCGAGGGAAAGACCATCTTGGGAGCGACGGTCGCGTCGCGCGCGCGGCGTCGCGTCAACGCGCGCCGCACCGACGCGTGCTCTTGAACCGCATCGCCGCGCTCGGGGGAAAATACGACTCGAACGACGCGAACGGCGCGGAGACGCCGCCGGGGCCGACGCCCGCGCCGGCGCCGCGCGCGGCGATTCCCCCGCGCTCGCGCTCGCCCCTCCGACGGCCGCCGTCCGCGGGCGCGGAGGTGTACACCACAGAGATCGAGACCGCGCGCGCGGCCGATCTGGACGACAGCACGATCGCGGAGGCGCGCGAGACGCTGCGAATGGTCTCGCACGCGAACGCGGAGCGCGCGGCGTCCAGCGCGGGCGCGATGACGAAGAGCGCGCCGCCGGGGAAGCGCGACCACCACCGCGCGATGATCGTCGAGGGCGTGCGTCAAGGATGGCCGCTCGCGAAACTTCTCGAGTCCACGCCGCCGCTGCCGCATTCGACGGACATCAACCTGAGCAACTGCAAGGCGCACCTCGCGCTGTACGACGTCCTCCTCGACGCGGGTCGCCTGCACAACGCGCTCGAGCTCCTGCGCGCGATGAAAGCCGCGGGACTGAACACCGTCGGCGGGAGGATCTCGCATAAAGCCTTCATGCGCGAGGCGGCGAAAAAACGCGCCGTCGCCGTCGCGTTCGATTTCGTCGCGTTCGTCGATTACCCGGACGTGCGCCTGTACAACATGCTCCTGTCCGTCTGCGCCGCCGCCGGGGACGCGAGGTCCGGGTTCGCGGCGTTCGTGCTGATGTACGACGCGGGCGTGCGGCCGGATTGCAAGGCGTACACGACGTTAATCAGCGCGTGCGCCAAGGCTGGGGACGTCGAGAAGGCGTTCGAGACGTTCCGCCGGATGAAGGAGGACGGCGTCGCGCCCACGGTCGTGACGTACGGCGCGCTCATGGACGCGCTGTCGCGCAGGGTGAAGGAGCTCACGCACGGGCAGAGCTCCTCGAGCGGCGCGAACGCGGGCGCGGCGGCGACGACGACGGCCAAGGCGAAGCACTGCGACGTCGACAACACCAACGGGTGCGCCGACGACGTCGAGTCCCTGCTCGACCGGTGCTTCGAGCTGAAGGCGGACATGCTGGACGACGGCATCGTCCCGGACGCGTGCGTGTTGAACTCGCTTCTGAGCGCGTGCGGCAGGGCTGCGGTCGTGAAGCCGCTCGCGTCCGAGGCGCTGCGACGCGCGTTTGAAGTCTACGACGAGTTCGAAGCCTCCGCCGGCGTCTTACGCTGCGACGCGTACACGTACGCGTCGCTCATCCAAGCGTGCGCGAACGCGGGCGAACCCGAGCGCGGGCTCGCGCTGTACGAGCGCATGGCGGGCGAGAAGGTGCGCCGAACGAAGGAGGTGTACGCCGCGGCGATTCACGCGTGCGCGGGATCCCGACGCGCGGCTTCCGGCGGCCGCGCCGCGGATCTGCGCCGAGCGCTGCGGGTCTGGGACGACATGCGACGAAGCGCGGACCGGACCACCCCGGACGCTATGCTGTACGCGACGCTCATGGACGTCGCCGCGCGCGCGGGGGAGCGCGGCGTCGCCGCGGAGGTCATGGACGAGATGGAACGGGACGGCGTCGCGCCCACGACGGAGGTGTTCGCCACCATGGCGGGCATCGCCGCGCGGGAGGGTGACGTCGCCGGCGTCGAGAAGGTGCTCGACGAGATGACCGAGCGCGGGTCGCCGCCGCCGATCAGCGCGTTCAACGCGCTCATTGCCGCCGCCGCGCGCAGGGGCGACGTCGCCGCGGCAACGGACGCGTGCGAGCGGCTCGCCGCCGCGGGGCTGTCGAAGGATGTCAACACGCACGAAAATTTGATTCGCACGGCGGCGCACGCGCGCGACGCGTCGGCGGCGTGGGCCTTCTACGACGACGCGCTCGCCGCGGAGATGGAACCCACGAGGCCGATGTTCAACGCGCTCGTGTACGCCTCCGGTCGAGGCGGCGACTTGAAGCGGACGTTCGAGGCGGTCGACGCGATGAAGGCGCGAGGCCACGTCCCGGATGAGACGACGTGGCGGGAGCTCTTGTCGTCGTGCGCGCGCCACGGCGACGCCGCGTTGGCGTGGGATACGTACAAGGCGTCCAGGAAAGCCGGCACGGAACCGAGCGAGGTGGCGCTCAACATCATCATCGGCGTGACGCTCATGAAGATCCGCGAGCTCACGGACCCGACGAGGGGCGGCGGCGCGAAGGAGGGAGATCGCGAGTGGAAAGAGTGGGCGGATCGCGCCGTCGCGGTGTACCACGAAGCCACCGTCGCGGGCGTCCGACCGCGCCTCGCGACGTTCAGCGCGATGCTCGCGTGCCTGCGCCCGCCGACCATCCCAGCGCTTCAGGCGGTCGACCGCGACGCGGGCAGCGGCAGCGCGGCCGCCGCGCTCGCGCACGCCGTCTCTCACGAGGACACGTCGCACGAAGACGCGAGGAAATATTACCCGCTGCGCGCGTTGATTCTGTACGAAGAAGCGCAGGCGCTCGGCGTCGTCCCGAAGTTTCACATGGACCGCGACGAGACGTACGACATACGCGAGTTCCCCCCCGCGGCCGCGGAGGTGGCGGTGCTCACGCTGCTGCGCGTGTTTCGACGCAACAGCGACGCCGCCGCGGGGGACGTGGACCTCCCAAACGTGACGCTTCGAGGTGCGTCCTCTCATCACACTGGTCCCCATACGACCCCGTCGGCGTGGTGAACGCCGTTCCTTAAGGACTTTTCCCGGTGCATCTCTCCGCCCAGGGTCCCTCGCTTTCAATCCCCACCCTCGATGCCTTTCAACTCCATCTGACGCCTTTCAACTCCACCCCGACACACAGTGTTATCCGACGAGGAGCACGAGGAGATGAGCGCGTCGGGCGACCAGCACGACCAGCGGCTCGCGCGCACGGGCGACCGCGTCGTCGTGCTGCTGCGTCGGCTGCGGTTCAACTACGGCGGGTCGCTATCGCGCGGGCGCGTCGAGCTGTCCGGGAACGTCATCAAGCGTTGGCTCAAGGCGAAGCCGTCTCCGTCTCCGTCGTCGCACAGAGGGGAGGGGGCGCTGCCTGGGACGGAGCCGCGGCTGGCGTCGTCGCTGCAGGACCAGGCTCGGAACATCCGCGCGATGTCGTACGACGAGCGCGACGACCCCCGCGACGGCGGCGACGACCCGTACGGCGGCGGCGCGGCGTGGAACACGAACACCCTTGGTGGCGCGCCGGGCGGCGCTAATAGACCGCGACTCGGCGGCGTCGCCGGCACCGGGCGAGGGTTGCGCCGCGGGTTGGGGCAGGGGAGCGACATTGACTTTTTCGGCGCCGCGGATGGGCGGTACGGCGGCGACGGCGACGGCGCGGCGCCGCGGTATAAGTACAAGGGGCGGCGGTCGGGGGGAAGCGGGAGCGGGAACGCGTGGGGGTCCGCGGACGTGGACGACTGCATGATGAACGAGCTGAGCAGGATCATCCGCGAGGGCCCGGGGTCGGGGGAGTCGGAGTCGGACAGTTGGGATGATTTCGTCGGCGAGTCGGACTCGGACGACGCGGAGGACTACCCGGACGCGCATTGACGACGCGACCAGACGCGCGTCTAGTTGTTTGTTTTATTTTTGTGTTTGACGCCGAACGCGCTCGCCGGGAAGGCGGAGCGCGAGTAGAGAGAAGAGAAGAGGCTAATGCGACGAAAAGAACCTTCCCTAAACGTCTCGTCAGGTTATCAGGTTCTTCCGAATCCGCTTCCGCCACGTCCAGTCGCGTCGCCTGACAACATGATGACACACTTTTTTTTTTGACTCCACCCCGCTTCCGCCACGTCGCCTCACTCCACCCCGCGCGCTCGACGCATGCCCCTCGCGGCGTCTTCCCTCGCGTCTTCACTCCACCACTCGTTCACGCTTCGCTCGTTCGCGCTTCGCAAGGTCGTCGCGCGCGCCCACGCGCCGCGTCTCGCCGTCGCCCGAGCCATGGCGTTCTCCGCGGACGACAGCACGCCGATCGTCGTCGCGGACGACTTTCCGTCCGACGCGCGTCTCACGTACTTCGGTCTTCCCGCGCTCGCGGAGCCGGTCCGCGCGCTCTTCGTCCTCTCCGGGAAGCCGTGGACGGACCACAGGATCAAGTTCCCGGAGTGGAAGGAGACGGTCAAGCCGAAGACGAAGTGGGGCCAGATCCCGGTGATGACGATCCCGGGCGACGAAAACGAGATGACGCAATCGAAAGCGATGCACCGCCTCCTCGCGTGCAAGCTGTCCGTCGGCGGCGCCGGCGCGACGCCGCTGTACCCCGCGGGGACGATGCAAGCGTACAGAATCGACGAGATGATCGACACGTTCGAGGACGCGCGGATGAAAATCGTCCCGACGTTTGCCATCGCGGGTCAGGCGGAGAAGGAAGCGGCCAGAGCGGCGCTCTTCGTCGAAGGCGGCGCCGTCCACGAGTTGCTCCTCAAGGTTGAAAAACACTGCGGCGAGTTCGGACGGATCGTGCCCACGACGGACGGCTCGTTCACCGCCGCGGACGCGTGGGCGCACTTCTTCGTGTGCATGCATCGCAGCGGGAGCTTCGACGGCATCCCCGCCGACGTCGTCGACGCGAAGACGTTTCCGAAACTCAACGCCGTCGTCGACGCGTGGGGGGCGATTCCGGCGCTGAAAAAGTACTACGAGGGGATGGTCGAGACAGGAGACGCGAGGTACAAAGCGTTCGCGGGGCAGTGAGTGACGCGCTGAGCGAACGGCGGCCGCGAGCGGCGAGACGATCGATCGACAGAGTGATGAAACGCTTTATTTTTTTCCATCGCGTCCTCACACGTCGCGGTCGCCGATGCGCGCCTCCCATCTCCCCTCCCCCGCGTGGTGCACGCCGCGGTACCGCGAGCACTGCCGCTCGCTGCCGTACGAGTGCCTCACGAGCGACTTGACGAACTCCTCGAACGTGCACTCCTTCATCTCGTCCAGCGCGTCGGCGTAGTCGTCCGCGGGGTAGTTGAGCTCGCCGCACGACGGCGGCGGGCCGTACAACTTCAGGGCCATTCCATACGAGCGAACGTCGGGGTGGAGTTCAAAGGCGTCAGAAGCGGAGTTGAAAGGCGTCGAGGGCGGGGATTGAAAGCGAGGGACCCTGGGCGGAGAGATGCGCCGGGAAAAGTCCTTAAGGATCGGCGTTCACCACGCCGACGCGGTCGTATGGGGACCAGTGTATACAGTAGAACGCGCCTTCATCGCCGCCGCGTCGTACGCCCTCGCGGCGCTCTCCTTCTCGGAGAAGTTCCCCAAGAACACCGTCTCCGCGCTCGCCGGGTCGACGAGGTTCGCCTCCCACCGCGTCGTCCACAGCGGGCGCGTGACGCCGAGGTAGCCGAACGGTCGCGGGTCGCTCGCCTGCGCGGCGGCGGCGGCGGCGGCGGCGGCGGCGGCCTCTTCGCTCGCCGGGAACGTGACCTCGAACCCGCCGCGCGCGTCGGCGCCGGCGCCGGCGCCGGCGCCGTCGCGCGCGATCGCGACGGACGTCGGGCTGCAGAACGCGCGGCCGTCGGAGACGCGCGCGGGCTGGGACTGCGTCCTGCGGAGGTGCGGCGGGAGGCGCGCGCCGCGGCCGACGGGCGCGGCGTCGCGCGAGCGGTCGCGCTCGTCGCGCGGCGCGCCGTCGGCGCCTCTGAGCCGCGGCGGCGGGTCGCGCTCCGCGGACGCCCTCAGGCGATCCACGAGGCTCCCGCGCGGCGGCGATCGACCGACGCGCGCGACGCGAAGACGGCCGTTCGCGCCGTGGCGCGCCCCCTCGCGCTGCATCTCGACCGCGGCGGACGCGGCGGCGGCGGCGGCGGCGGCGGCGGAGAGGTCCGGCGGCGTGCGGTCGAAACCGAAACCGAGACCGACGCTCGGACCGTACCCGCTCACGGTGTGACTCCGTCGCAGCTGCGAGACGACGCCTCGCGCGACGCCCTCGCGCTGCGCGCCGCCGCCGCCGGCGTATTCGCCGCCGAAATGCGCGTACGGGTGATGATGCGCGACGTGTGGATGCGTCTGATGCGTCTGATGCGACGGCGCGTAGCGCGCCGCGCGCGCGACCGCGACGCGCGCGCCGCACCCCGCGCCGTCGTCGAACAGGTCGTCCGCCTCGAGCAGCGCGCGCCACGACCGCGTCTGCTCGAGCTCGCGCTCGCGCTCCCACGCCTGCATCGTCGTCGTCGGGCTCGTCGTCGTCGTCGTCGTCGTCGTCGCGGACGACGGCGGCGGCGGCGGCGCGAGGACGCCGCAGGTCCGGTCGACGCCGCCGCCCGCGGACTCGCTGCAGTCGCTTCCGTCGCGCGTCGCGACGTCCGCCTCCGTCGCCGCGGCGGTCGCGCGGCGTCCGCGGCCGCGGAGGTGACCGAGACGCGCGCGCGGGGGGGAGGCGTCGTCGTCCATCGCGTCGTCCGTCCGTCCGTCCGTCCGTCCGTCCGTTCGCGCGCGCGCGAGAGTGCGGACGCGCGAGCGGCGCGCGCGTTCGACGGAAGCCGGCCGCGCGCGTCCGAAACCGGGTGAGGGACCGTCGAACCCGCGCTAACAATAAACAACGCGCCTGGGGGCATCGGATCGACGGTCGGGGAGTCGTTCAACCGCGGACCGTCGAACGCGCTCGAGCGGAAGCGGAAGCGGAACGGTCGCGCGCCGGTCCGAACGGAACGGCGAGCGTCGCGTCGTCGGTTCGAGTTTTGGTTTTTTTTTGGTTTTCGAGGGGATTCGCCGACGCGTCGCCGCTTCTTCTAAGTTGTTACGGTATCGATACTACAACACAACGGTCACGCTTCGCTACTGCACCACGTCGTCGCCGCGCTCGCCGTCACGCCTGGTCGTTCGGGTTGTACTTGAACGCGTGGTGCTTCGCCCCGCGTCGCCCGCCCTTGTCCTTCGTGTGGTTCCGAGTCCCCGCGGGCTTGTTATGCGCGGCGCCCGGGCGAGCGTTTTTCCGCGCCGCCTGACGCTTCAGCTTATCCCTCACGATGTCCGGGTCGTTCCCGAGGTCCGCGCGCGAGCGGCACGAGAACTGCGAGCCGCTCGCGTCCGTGGGCGCGCGGCGGCGGAGCCGCGCGGACGCGACGGACGGCGCGGGCGCGGGCGCGCGGCGGGGCGGAGACGCCTCGGCGTCGAACGCGTCGTCGTCGTCGGCGGCGTCGTCGTCGGCGGCGGCGTCGTCGGCGGCGGCGGTGTCGTCGTCGTCGTCGATGACAGCCGGTGGTTTTCCTCCCGCGTACAACCGCGCGATCGCCGCCGCGGCCGCGGCGTCCGCCTCGGGGTCGTACCCCGCGTCGGCGCCCTCGACCTCCTCCTCGCCGCGCTCGACGAATCCGAACCTGTCCTCTTCATCGTCGTCGTCGTCGTCGTCGCTCTCCACCCCACCCTCCTCCTCCTCCTCCTCCTCCTCCTCCTCCTTGTCCTTCCTGGTCGCCTCGACGTGCGCGTCCAACTCCTTCACCGCGTCCTGACTGAACCCACTCGCGCGCAAGGACACGTCCAAACTCCGCTTGACGTCCGCGCCCTCGCCTCGGCCGACGCCGCCGACGGCGACGTCGCGAAACGCCGGATCTTCCCGCCCCTCGTCGTCCTCCTCCGCGCGGTAGTCGTACCTTCGAAGGAAAAACTTGTGCAGACACTTCAGGTCCCTGACGAACAGCTCCTCCGCGTTCGGATGCCGCGTGCTCACCATCTGCGGGAAGTCGATGATCGTGATGTCCTCGTCCTCGTTGACCATGATGTTGAACTCGTTGAAGTCGCAGTGCACCAACCCGCGCGCCGCGAGGTTCGACAGCTGGTCGATACACTGTCGATACACCCGTCCGGGCTCTCTCAGCCTGTACCTCTGCGTCAGCGGGACGCCGTCGATCATGGTCATCAGCACCGCGTGTCGGTTCACGTCCACCGCGACGGGCACCGGGAACCCGTGTTCCCCGAGCGCCTTCAGGGTCGTTCAATACAAAGCGATGGCAGGGTGGGGTTCATAGGCGTCAGGTGGAGTTGAAAGGCGTCGAGGGCGGGTATTGAAAGCGAGGGACCCTGGGCGGAGAGACGCGCCGGGAAAAGTCCTTAAGGATCGGCGTTCACCACGCCGACGCGGTCGTATGGGAACCAGTGTGAGATAGAACGCGCCTTCATGAACGCGTGCTCCTTCAGCGCCGCCAGCCGGCTCAGGTACAGCCAGTTCATGTGCGTCGTCGTCGCCTTGACGTAATCGCGCTTCTGCTTCACCGCCCTGAACGACGTGCGTCCCAGCCGATGCAGCTTCATCGCGAGCGTCTCGCCGTCTTCGGTGATGACTTCGAACACGTCGGACTCTTTCCCGACGCCGATGCGTCGCCCGACGCCTACGATGGCGCCTCGGTTGACGAACGCCTTGATCGCGAGAAAGTCGTACCCGAGCGGCGTCAGGCGGTACCCGTCGTACTTTTGGTTCTCGTGATGCACGAGCTTGTGCTTCAGGAGCTCTCTGACGCACTTGTGCGCGCCGCCGTGCTTCAGTCCGGATATCGCGTTCACGAGCTCCACGGGCACGAGCTCGTGATTCTTCATGCCCATCTCCACCGAGACCAGGACGCGCCACGCGTCCTTCTCGATGTATCGCAGGATGTTCACGTCGAACTTCATCGCGAGGGTCTTATTCGCCTCTTATTCGCCTCCTTTACTTAGCCCCCGTTCGCCACTGGCGCTGGCGCTGGCGCTGGTCGCGTCGCTCTCGCGCGCGGCGGCTCGCGGCGGCGGCGCGGCGCGAGATCCGGTTCGCTGCGTGTCGCGACTACAAAAAACAGCGCGATTCGGCGGCTGGCTCGCGCTCGGGCTCGCGGCGTCGCGTCCGCCGTCGCTCTCGTCGAGTCCCTCCGCGGCGTCGGCGGCGCGCGAGGTGACGCGAGGACGCGTTCGCCTCGCTCGTGGACGCGCGGGGAAGACGCGCGCGCCGTGAAGAGTGCCGGCCGCGCCCGCGGCTCTCGGAGGACGAATGGCGGCGAGAGCGGTGGCGGGCGAAAGTTCGGGCGAAGCGCAAAACGCCGAATAACGAGGCGAGGTGCCGTCCTCGGCGCGTCGCGCGCGTCACTCCCCGCCCCGCGCACGTCGAGCGCGCGCGGCCTCGCGCGATGGGCGGCGCGGGATCTAAAGCCCGCGCGGCGGCGACGTCCGCGTCCCGGCGCCTCCCGAAACCCGGGGACGCGCCGCCGCCGTCCGCGTCCGCGTCGAGCGGCGCGTCGTCGTCGTCGTCGTCGAATCACTCGTCGTCGTCGTCGTCGTCGCCGCCGCCGCGGTCCCCGCACGCGTTCTTCAAGCGCGCGGAGAAGAACGACGGCTCGCTCGCGCCGAGGGCGAACGACGCGAGCGTGGACGCGCGGACGCTGCAGCGCGAGAAGGACGTCGAGCTCGTGAGCCGGATGCACCAGCTCAGCGGCGCGATGCGGATGACGCGCGTGGGCATCTCCGGGCACGAGCGCGCGGCCGAACTCGCGGCGGAGCGGAGGAGAGAGGCCGAGGGGCGGCCGACGATGAAGATCGCGGACGCGGCGGAGATGTTCCGCGTCGTGGAGATGGAGGGGAGGGGGGGGAAGAGCCGCGAGGGGAAGGGCGGAGGCGGCGGCGGGGGAGGAGGAGGAGGAGGAGGAGGAGGAGGAGGAGGCGACGACGCGTCGTCGTCGTCGTCGTCGTCGTCGTCGTCCGCGTCGACCGCGAGCGCGCTCGCGTCGAGGTACGGCGCGGACGAGGCCACGGTCGCGACGCTGACGCGATACTTGCAGCATCAAGAGCCAGTGGACGTCGTCGACCCCTCGTTCCCGGGCGGGCTCAAGCCCGTGAAGCGATGGCGCGACGACGCGGACGCGTCCGTCGAGCGGTCGTAGCTCGTAGGGTTGCAGTTTGTTAACCATCATTCATCCGATCGCGTCGCAACATTCGTCAGCGCGCGCGTCGCCGTCGTCGCCGGCGCGATGGCGCCCCCCCCCGAACCCGAACCCAAGAACGGGCGATGGCACCAGCTCCTAAACTTCGTCGCGCTCTACGACAGCCCAAAGTGCGACACGCTCGCGACGGAGGCGACGAGCGGGCGATGGTTCCGACTGTTCGAGAAGGACGACGTCGCGCGCGAGCTCGCGGAGAAGGTGCGTTCTATCTCACACTGGTCCCCATACGACCGCGTTCGCGTGGTGAACGCCGATCCTTAAGGACTTTGCCCGGCGTCTCTCTCCGCCCAGGGTCCCTCGCTTTCAATCCCCGCCCTCGACGCCTTTCGACTCCATCTGACGCCTTTGAACTCCACCCCGACGTTCGCTCGTACGGAATTGCCCTGAGAAGCATCACGACGGCGCGGTCGAGATCCTCCTCCGCGAGGACTACTACCGCGGCTGGGTCGAGGCGTCGTCGCTGTTTATCCACGACGACGCGCACGTCTCCATTCAGAAGGAGCACGACGACCTGTTCGCGATCGTCGACGACGCCACCGGCGGCGTCGTCGACGCGAAGGAAGCGGTGGGATGGGTCCTGCGCGAGGTCTCCAGGGCGCGAGACGACGGCACCGCGTACGTGTGGGGAGGGACGATGGGGCCGTGCTTCGACTGCAGCGGGCTGACGCAGGGCGCGTTCAGGGACGCGGGGACGTGGATCCCGCGGGACGCGTACCAGCAGCGCGCGTTCGCGACGCCGGTGACGGACGTCCGAGACGCGATGCCAGGCGACCTTCTCTTCTTCGGCGATTCCGACGCCGTCGAAGACGTCGGTGCGTTCTATACACTGGTCCCCATACGACCGCGTTCGCGTGGTGAACGCCGATCCTTAAGGACTCTTCCCGGCGTGTCTCTCCGCCCATCCCTCGCTTTTTCGCTTTCGATCCCGACACGCCGTTCTCCGCGCGCCTTTGAACTCCAACGGACGCATCCCACCCGAACTCCACGCCCCGACGCAGATCACGTCGCGATGCTCGTGGACGACGTTGAGCTCGACGCCGTGACGCCCGCGGACGCGACGAGGGCGACGCTGCGTTACGCGCACTCCTCGTGCGCGTCCACGGGGAGGGACGGCGTCTCGAGGGACGCGCTCGTGGTGACGCTGCTGCCGCCGGGACAGGGACAGGGACCGGGCGGCGGGGACGGACGGGGATGGACGGAGCCGCGCGCGCACGAGTCGGGGGACGCGGTCCAGGCGCGTTACGCCGGGAGGTTCGCGAGCGTGGGGCGCATCACGCGCAGGGTCAGAGACCCGAGCGACGTCGTCTATAGGGACGGACGAAAAGTGGAGTGACGACGACGTGATGCGTGTTTTAATAATAATAATATCTTATTAATAGCCCTATGCGCACTGATGCTCACGCGGTCGCGCGAGTCAGGAGGCGTCGTCTTTCTCGCTCGCCCGCCATCGCAACCAGGCGTTCTGGAACTCGTCGAGTTTCCCGTTCATGACGCCTTCCACGTCGCTCGTCTCCATCCCCGTCCGCACGTCCTTCACCATCTTGTACGGATGAAACACGTAGTTCCTGATCTGTTGCCCCCACTCCGCCTTCACGACGTCGCCTCGCACCGCGGCGACGTCCGCGAGCCGCCGCTCCTCCGCGACGGCGGCGAGCTTCGCCTTCAACCGCGCAATCGCCTTGGCGCGGTTCATCGCCTGGCTACGTTCCTCCTCGCACCGCACGACGATCCCGGTCGGGAGGTGCTTCATCCGCACCGCGGTCTCCACCTTGTTCACGTTCTGCCCGCCCGCGCCGCCGCTGCGCATCGTCGTCACCTCGATCTCCGCGGGGTTCAAAACGATCGCGTCCGCGTCCTTAGGGTCGTTCCATACAAGCGAACGTCGGGGTGGAGTTCAAAGGCGTCAGATGGAGTTGAAAGGCGTCGAGGGCGGGGATTGAAAGCGAGGGGTGGGCGGAGAGATGCGCGGGACAAAGTCCTTAAGGATCGGCGTTCACCACGCGGACGGGGTCGTATGGGGACCAGTGTATAGAACGCACCTTATCCTCCAACGTCGGCATCACGTCCACCGCGGCGAAGCTCGTCTGCCGCGTCGCGTCTTCGGGTCGAGGGTCCATCGTTCGAAGCGACGAACGTCGGGGTGGAGTCGAGGGGTGCGGCGTCAGTTGGAGTTGGAGTTGAAACGAACGCGTCGGGGTGTGTCGGGGATCCAAACCAACCGTGGGGCGGGCGGAGAGAGACGCCGGCGGGCGAAAGTCCTCGACGCGGTCGCGCGGGGACCAACGTATAAAGGAGAACGCGCCTTTGTTGAACGGGCTCGTCCGCACGAGACGGTGCGTCCCCTTCTCGCTCGCGAGGTACCCGTACGCGTACCGCCCCTCGATCTCCAACGTCACGGACTTCAAGCCGGCCTCGTCCCCGGGCGTCCGCGCCTCGACGCGGACGGCGAACCCTCGTCGATCCGCCCACTGGAGGTAACACCGCTCCAACATCTCCGACCAGTCCTGCGCATCCGTCCCCCCCGCGCCGGCGTATATGAACACCGTCGCGCCGAGCGCGTCGTACGTCCCGCCGAGGAGCCGCCGCGCTTCCCACGCCTCGAGCGCGCCCTCGAGCGCGTTGACCGCGTCGGAGACCTCCGACGCGAGCTCCGGGACGTCGGCGGAGGACGGGTCGTCCGCGATCATCTCCAGCGCCGTCTGCGCGTCGCCGAGCCCGTCCTCGAGCGCGGCCGCGACGTCGAGCCGCTCTCGGACGTCCGCGAGCTGCTCCATGACCGCCTTCGCGTTCTTCGGGTCGTCCCACAGCGTCGCCTCCGACGCGCGCGCGTCCAGGTCCGCGAGCGTCGCGCGCAGGCGCGGGGCGTCGAGGACGTCGAGCGCGTTCGCGACGGGCGACGCGAGCGCGTCGACGCGGCGACGCAGCGCGCCGAGGGTGTCGTCGCCGGAGGAGGAGGAGGAGGAGGAGGAGGAGGACGCGTCGGACGCGGCGCCGACGCGGAAGCGTCGCGCGGACGCCGACGCGGCGGAGGACGGCGACGGGAGCGCGCGCCACGCGCGCGAGGACCCCGCTCGTCGCGCCGACTCGGGGCGGACGAGGTGTGCGCATCGCGACGACGACGACGACGCGACGGTCGAGACGCGCGCGGCGCGCGAGGACGCGACCGCGACCGCGACGGGGCACGGCGGCGCGCCGCGCGAGGACGACGCGATCGACGCGGAGACGCGCCGCGCCGCCGCGGTCGCGAACGCGGTCGCGCGCGTCGCGAGCATCTGCGCGCGTCGTTGTGACGACGAGACCCGGCCGACGCGACGCGAACGTTGAGAGTACTCCGCGGTCGGCGCGCGCGGAAGGAGAGATGACGCGCGCGCCCGTCGCGCCCGCGCGGAAGGCGCGGCCGCCGCGGCCGCCCGCGCCCGCGCCCGATGAGCCGCCTCCGGACGCCGCCGACGCCGACGTCGTCCTCGTGACGGACGAGATGCTGGCGGAGGCGACGCGCGCGGAGCCCGGCGTGGTCGACCTCCACGATCGAAGGATCTCGTCGTTGACCGCGGGCGCGCTCTCGAACGCCGTCGCCGCCGGCGTCGTCGCGGACGCGCACACCCTGGACGTCAGCTTCAACGCGCTGCGGACGCTCGCGGGCGTCGACGCGATGCGCGGGCTCGAGACGTTGCGCGCGTACGACAACGCGCTCGCGACGTGCGACGGCCTCCGCGCGCTCGCGACGACGCTCCGGACGCTGACGCTTCAGAACAACGCGCTGCGATCGCTCGACGGCGTCGAGACACTGCGAAACCTGCGGTCGCTGCGCGTGGACGGGAACCCGCTCGGGAACGTTGGAGTGAGGGCGGCGACGCGCCTCGCGTCGCTGACCGCGCTGGACGTCTCGCGGTGCGGGCTCACGCGCCTCGACGGGTTCACATCGCTCGTCAACCTCACGGAGCTCAACGTCTCGGGGAACGACGCGCTCGCGTCGATCGAACAGCTGTGTCTGTGCGTCAAGCTCACGGACTTGGACGTCGGCGAGTGCGCGCTGACGGACGCGTCGCTGGCGCACCTGCGGCCGCTGCGGAGGTTGGACGCGCTGTCGCTGGAGGGGAACGCCGCGTTGACGTCGCTGGCGAAGATGCCGAGGTTGGAAAATCTCACCGAGTTGAACGCGGCGAGACTGCCCGCTTTGACGTCGTGGAGCGGCGTGGACTTCGCGAGGATCGCGCCGTCGCTGGAGACGCTGGATTTGGAGGCGTGCGGGTTCAGGGCGCTGCGAGATCTCCTCGGGAGCGGCGCGAGCGCTCTATCCGCGCTGCCCGCGCTGACGGAGTTGCGGTGCCGGGGGATTCCGTGCGCGCGACCCGCGGACGACGCCGGCGCCGACGGCGCGGACGTCGCCCTGAGCCTCCGCCGCGAGATCGTGAGCGCGCTGCCGTCTGTGCTGTACGTCGACGACGTCGCCGTCGGCGCCGCGGAGCGCGGGCCGGAGATGACCGCGGAAGAGACCGAGGCGCTGCGACGACGCGCGGCGTTGGCGTCGAAATACGGCGGCGGCGACGCGGAGGCGGAGGCGGAGGGGCGGCCGGTCACGCCCGCGGACTTTGGGTTCTACGGCGTCGGCGGCGGCGTGAGCGTGACGCTCGGGGAGGAGGACGACGACGATTTGGAGTTGGAGTTGGATCTGGTTCGACGAAAGAAGTGCGCGTCCTCCGCGAGCGCGGTGTTCAGGCCCCGGAGCGCGAGGATACTCGGCGAGAGGAAACTCATGGACGCCGGCGCGTACGAAGACGTCGCCGCGGACTTTACGCGTCAGATGCGCGCGTTCGGGGAGGAGATGAAAGGGATCATAGGACGCATCAGGAACGGACTCAAGGAGACGCGACAGGACGCCGCGGCGGCGATGCGCGCGGACGGCGTCTTCGAGGACGCGCTGGACGATCCGTCGGTCGCGCCGTCGACGAGACTCCCGCCGGCGCCGCGGATGAAGGCGGTGTCGTCGGCGACGCGTCCCGCGGGCGAGCGTCGCGTCCGCCTGGAGAACGACGCGGCCGTGCGCGCGAAGAAACGCGCCGCCGCCGCGGGGTCTGGGGCATCGGCGTCGGAATCGATCGCGATCGCGGGGGACGGCGGCGACGCGTCGTCGTCGTCGTCGTCGCGGCCGCCGAAAACGCCGCCGACGCGCGGTGCGACCCCGTCGTTGGAACGGGTTTTGTCCGACGCGAGGACGAGGACGAGGGCGGCGCTGGAGCGGTACGAGCGCGCGTTTCCGTCGTCGCGGCCGGGTAGCGCGGCGGTTCAGATTACGGTGGACGCGGACGGCGATCGGAGCCCCGAGGTGAAGGACCGCGTCGCCGCGGCGATGGCGGCGGCGGAGGCGGCGGCGGCGGATTCGGACGACGACTGCGGCGGCGGCGGCGGCGGCGGGATCATAGCCTTCTTCGACGGAGGCGACCGACTCTCCGTCGCGGACGTCGACGCCCCGGCGCCGCCGCCGGTGTGCGAGCCCGAGCCAGAGCACGAGCCCGAGCGCGCGTTCGAGGACGACGACCGCGCGGTCGCGCTGTCGTCGTCCTCGCGCGCGCCCTCCTCCGCGTCCGCGGCGGCGGCGCGTCGGACGGCGACGGCGACGGCGACGGCGGCGCGGGGTCGCGTCCCCGCGGGCGGCCTCGTCCGCGGCCGCGGCGGCGGCGCGCGGCCGCTGCTCCAGTCCGCGGGCGTCGTGCCGCGCGCGAAGACGTTCCGGACGCCGTCGCGGCCGGGCGCGCTCGTCGCGGCGGGGACGAAGGACGTCAGAGACGAAGCGGACGGAGCAGACCGAAGGTCGCCGTCGGCGAGAAAATACTAGTCTTAGCGTAGCTCTAGCTCGAGGAGACGCGAGTAGCGAGTGATCACACTTCGATATCATATTTCATACGCTCGCGTGATCGTCGCTTCACCGCACACCCCATCCCATACCGCTCGCCGCCGTCCGTAGCTAAACGCCCAGGCTAAGAGTCCTAAAGAGCGAACCGACAAAACCGGGAGAGAGACGCCTGCGCCTCGCCTTTCCTCTCGTCTCGTCCTCTCCCCCGCGTGCCCTCCTCCGAGTCGTCGTCGTCGTCGTCGTCGTCCCTCCGTCCGTCCGCCCTCCCTCCTCGTCCTTTACTTACGCCTCGCCCGCGGTCTCCTCGTCCTCGATCTTCGGCGCGAGGTAGTAGCGCACGTACCCCATGTCCGCGATGAGGTACTGCACGACGACGGGAAGCTCCTTGGACATCTGCAGCTGCACCGTCGGCGCGAGCGGCGTCGCCTTGGTGAACGAGTTGAGGTACCTCAACGCGAACGTGAGCGTCACCGGCTCCTGGAGCTCGATCACGGTCTGCTCCTCCTTGTCCACGGACGTGTTCTGGCGGCACGTGATGTTCGCCTGGCCGATGTCGCCGGTCGTGGAGAACTTCACGCCGTCCTTGGACACGGAGATGGTCACGGTGTCGCCGATGGAGGAGAGGTCGCGGCAGATGCGTTGAAACTCCGCCGACGGCATCTTCACCGTCGCCGCGTACTCCGTGTCCGGGATGCCGAGGTGCTCGCTGTCGATGTCCATGAGCTTGAGCTCGAAGTCGGAGATCTTATCTTGCTCTGCGCGGCGCACGCAGGGAAGAAATGGGGGGTTTAGTTTAGGGGGGAAGAGGACGTCGGCGGCGGTCGTCGACGGGGCGCGAAAAACAGAATGTTGGCACGGACGGGACCAGACGCATCCCGAGTTGGCACCTCCCGCCGCGGGGAAAAGATTCAAAAAAGCGCCTCGTGCGCGCGCGACGAAACGCGACGCGAACGACGCGACGCGACGCGTGCGACCGCGCGACGCGCTTCGATCGCGGTTCTTCGCGCGCGTCGCGAGATGTCGGGAGCGACGCGGAGGACGGAGGGAAGCGTCGCACCCGGGGACTCGAACATGAACGTCACGACGTCGCCGGCGTCGTCCGCCTTCATCGTGATGATGTCGTCGTTGCCCGCGCACTTCAACATCTTGGACTGCGCGAGCGAAGAGCGGAAAAGGGATCGGGGGGCGTCGTCAGCGGCGTAATCTCGATGCGGGCGCACCGGACGAGGACGCGAGGGCGCGCGGGGGGGACGCGCGTCGCGTCGCGTCGCGTCGCGCGTCCCCCGTCGCGCTATTTCGATATTTGGTTTTTTTTTTTTCCCCGCGAGAAAGCGCGAGCCCGCCCCGCCCCCGGAGATCGCGACGTCCGCGACGTCGCGCGCCGGGGGAAAATCGCCCGCCGAGAGAGACATCGCGAGGTTCATCGCGCGCGCACCATGTTCGTGAGGTTCATCCCCATCGTCATCGGGCGGTCGCATCGGTAGTGCTCGAACCCGTCGTTCCTGAGGAGCAGCGCGACGAGCGAGACGTGCGAGGAGTCCATCGCCTGGAGCGCGAACCCGTTCTGCGAGCAGTCGAAGTTGGCGTCCGTGACGAGGTCCTTGATGGACTCGAGGACCTTCTTCAGGAGGGAGCCCTGCACGAGGCGGGCTTCGAACATGATGAGCGAGGTGTTTTGATACTATATACGTCGACGGCGTGTCGGTGCTGTGTTGAAGTGCGACGCGTGCTCGGCGCGATCGATCGCTTCTCCATTTTGTTTTTTTTTTTTTGAACACAGAGAACCGCCCCGGAAAACCGACCGCACCCGGACGCGCGCGGACGGCGCCAACGCCGCGGGACGCGTCACTCCCCCGGCGCGACGCCGAGGACGCGACGCGCGATGAGCGAGGGCGGGATGATGTCCGACGACGTCACCATGGACACGATGGACACGGGCGCGCCGTCGAAGGACGGGCGCGCGACGAAGGTCCGTCGATCGCCCGCGCCGCGTTCGCTCGTCGCGCGTCGACGAGCGAGCGAACGAGATGAAACGAATGTTTCGCTCGCCCATCCCCTCGTTCGCTCGACGCGTCGCTTCTCCGTCCGCGAAGAGAGAGATTCGCGTCGTCCCCGCGCGCGGGTTCGACCGCCGCTACCCTCCCCACCGCCCCCCCGCGCGCCCTCCCCGCGCGACGATCGCCCGCGCTGACGCGATTCGTCCCCCGATCGATCGTCCCCCGCTCGATCTGATCGATCGATCCGATCCAAAAATCCGCAGGGCCGAGGGCACGCGGCGGCGAGCGATCGCGAGCACGCCTCCGGGGCGTACGACTCCTTAGAGCCCGCGAGTTTGGGCCCGGGCCCCGCGAAGAGCATCGAGGGGTGGATCATCCTCATCACGAACGTGCACGAGGAGGCGCAGGAGGACGACATCCACGAGCACTTCGCGGACTTCGGGGAGATCAAGAATCTGCACCTCAACCTCGACCGAAGGACGGGGTTCGTGAAGGGGTACGCGCTCGTGGAGTACGAGACGAAGAAGGAGGCGCAGGCTGCGATCGACGCGATGAACGGCGCGGAGATGCTGGGTCAAAACCTCGGCGTCGCGTTCGCGTTCTCGAAAGGGCCGATCAGGAAGATGTGACGCGGTCGGTTGACCGGAGAGCGGAGGGTGGAGAGACGGCGAGGGACGTCGCCGCACCGCGTCGGTCCATCGCGGCGCGGCGCGAAACTTGTCTATCTGTTTTCGTTACAACACACGTCGTTTCGTGTCGTTTCGTTCGGTCGCGCACACGGTACGCTCACAGCTCACAGCTACTCCGCTTCTCGAGGGGACGACGACGCGGCGGCAGCCGTCTCGCTCGCGTTCGTCGGCGGCGAGATCACGTTGGGATCTACGACTGATTGCCCATACGAGATCGCCCCCGCGCCCGCCTCGATGTCCGTCGCCGCCGCCGCCGCCGCGTCGTCGTCGTCGTCGTCGTTCTCCTCCGCGTCAGGGTCCTCCTCGACGTCCCGCCCGTCCGCGGACGAGGAGGCGAGAAGATCGCCCCCCTCGCCTTCGAACCCGAACCTGCGAACGAGCCACCGGTACAGCGCGTTCCCCGGGGCGTACGCGTTGTGCGCCCGGGTTCCTCCCGACGAGGGCCGTCGCGGCAGCAGAGGCGCGCGCAACAACGCGTCTCCGGCGCCGCCGCCGCCGCGCTCCCTCCTCTCCTCCTCCTCCTCCTCCTCCTCGCCGCTCGTCGCTTCCTCTCCCATCGCCGCAATTCGCGCGGCGGCAAGGCGCTCCTCCTCGCGCCTTCGCCTTCGCCGCTCCCTGCGCTCGCGTCGCGCGCGCGCGCGGAGACCCTCCGGCGGCGACACGTCGTGCTTACACACCGGGCAGCACGCGCGTTTCGTCGTGAGCCACGGATCGACGCAGTCGACGTGGAACTGGTGCCCGCACTCGGGTAACGTCCTCAGCGCGTCGCCGTCGTCGTAGTCGTCGAGGCAGAACGTGCACGTCTTCGCCGTGCCGTTCTCGTCCGCGTGGTCGCACGCGGCGACGAACGGAGACGACGGCAGCGCGTTGGCCTCTCGCGGCGTGAGGAGGCGATTGCGACTTTGCGGCGTCTGACCCCCGCCGTCGCCGCCGCCATTTCCGCCGCCGGGCCCCTGGGGGTCGATTCGTCGCGAGAGGAGCCACAGCGTGGACATGACGACGCTCATCGCCGCGAAGGACACGAACGCGCTCGCGAACAGCGACCGCCAGTCCTCTTCGCGGTCGCCGTCGTTTTCGGGCGTCAGGGTCACCAACAGCGACGTTCCCTCCGCGCGCGACGACCCTTCTCCTCCGTCGGTATCTTCCAGTAGCCCTCGCAGCACGCTCCCGCTCGCGAGCGAGACGAACGCGGCGGGGATCCCGACGTCGTCCTCGCCGGGCTTTTTCCCCATGGGCAGCAGAAAGCGCTCGTCGACGTCGTCGTGAATCACCGCCGCGGCCGCGCCGGCGTCTCGCGCGTTGCGCGCCTTGGTGACGAAATCGCACGCGCGCGCGTCCGAGGGCGCGCTCCGTCGCATCAGCGCTATTATGACGGGCGCGCCTCCGAGCGACGGCGGCCGCGCGAGCGTCGTCCACGCGATCGGCGCGCACCCGTCGACCGGGTCCGCGAGCGCGAGCGTCCCGGTGAGGCCGCTCGCGGGGAGCCTCGGCCCGAACGTCGCGTCCGCGGTCGGGAAGCTCATCCCGTCCACGCCCTCGTGGGTCGTGTTGCGGACGACGACCGCGGCGTCGCATCGCGCGACGCGGTCGTCGGTCGCGAGGAGGAGGAGGATCAGCGCGAGCCCAAGGGGGGGGGAGGGCGCCGCGCGGGGGAGGCGCGGCGAGGACGTCATCCCGCGCGCGCGGACGGGACGCCGCGGCGCGCGAGCGCGTGTGCGCCGACGCCGACTCGGACGCGACGAGGTCGTTGCTTTCTGTCGGTTCCGAACGGCCAAGTGGATGTTGCGATGAGTGGATATTTTTATTAAAAAGTGCGTCGTCGCGTCTCGACGGCGCGCGCCTCGCTCGACCGTTCATCAGGGTTCGTCCGCTTCCGCCATCGGTCGTGGGCGGAGGTCGCGAACGCCCGTCATCACGAGGTCGAGCGTCGCCGCGCGCGTCTGTCCGGCGACGAAGCCCACCGGACGCTCGCGCGCAGGGCAGGCGGCTCCCGTTCTTTCTTTGCATTCTTTCGGTTACTTCCCGAAGGTGCGCTTCACTCGGTCGACGCCGCCGGCGTTGTGCACGTCCGTGTACCCCATCTCTTCCAGATACGCCTTCGCCTTGCCGGCGCGGCCGCCTTTCTGTCAGAAAACAATCACGGGCGCGGTCTTGTCCGCGGGTAACTTCGACGCGTCGAAGAACTCCCCGCCCGCGGTGTTCCACGCGACGTTTACCGCGCCCGCCGGCGACGGGTTCTCCGCGATCTCTCCCTTGCCTTCGACGCCGCGCACGTCCATCAGCGTCGGGTTCTTCAGCGCGAGGAGCACGGCGTCCTCGGCGAAGCCTAACGGGGGTTTCGACGCGATGGGATCGAGCGACGTGAGTGAGGGAGTGGGCGGAGATGGCGTGAGCGCGAGGGCGACGGGGACGATGATGCGATGCACCGCGAGACGTGACGACGCATTTTTGTTGCGAGGGATATTAAAAACGACGATCGACGGACGGAAGCGCGACGCACCGTCGCCGCCGTCGGTGGCCATGGCGCGGACGCCGACGCGCGCGAACCCTCCGCGGGGTTTCGACGCGAACGAGACCCGGCGCGCGGACGCGGCGAGAAGTCCGAGGCTGCGGAGCGCGAGCGCCATCGCGCGACGCGTTCTGCGCGACGCGTTCTGTAGTTGTTATTTCGCGCACGTGGTTGTCGTGACACACGCGCGATGGATTTTTTTTTCGACCGACCCTGCCCGTCGACCTCGACCTCGAGGGCGAGCCGTTCGAGAGGCGCGCGCATTGCGGCGTCGCGCGCCTCGCCACGCGCTCGCGTCGGTCCGGAACGCGCGCTCTTCCGCGAACCTCACGAGCGATGACGCACTCCGCCGCGCGTTTCCTCCTCTTCGTCCTCCTCGCGCTCTTCGTCCTCGTCGCGCTTCTCCCGTCGCGCGCGGAGGCTAAGATCACGTACGTGAAGCCGCTGTGGCAGCCTGTGAGCGAGTGGAGCCCGCCGGAGGATCGCGAGTCGCACGCGGAGCTGCACAGCGCGGCGATGAAGTTGTACTCGGAGTACGTCGAGAACAGCGGGATTCAGCCGTGCACGTACTGCTGACGCGCGGGACGGACGCGCGATCGATACAGCGGGGGAGGGACCTAACATTCGACCGACGACGCGCGCGCGACGAGGGGGGCGCGGGCGGGTTTTTTCCCCGCGGCTCGCGAACCGAGGACGGTCGCGGACGCGCCGCGGGCGAGATCGCGGCGCATCGACGGCGGGGTTCGGACGCGAAGATGTACAACGCATAGTTTGGGAGCCGCGCGCGGGGGCGCGCGCGCGTTCAGAGGTCGCCGGGACGGCGCGCGGGACGTCGGAGGGCGGAGCTTCAAATTCCCACGAGCGACGACGCTCGGGCGGAGGTAAATAAATGACCTTTGTAAGTTTACTTATTAACGCGGACCCGCGGTTCAAACGCTCTAGGGCATCCTCGCTCCTTCCTCATCACGCGAGCAGCGCGTCTATCCACTGGTCCAACACCCTCGGCGAGCCGTACCACGGCCTGTCCTTCTCGTCGCTCCCCAGCGGCGTGTGAAACACCCCGTCGAGCGTGACGCACGTCGCGCCCGCGAGGTGCGCGGTCTGACGATGGATGGGTGATTCCAAAGTTGATCGGTCAGTTGAAAGGGGACGCGATCTAACGTTGAAACCCAGGCGCGGGGTGAAAAACGAAAAAAGCGATCGCACTCGGACTCTCACCTCCACCGGTGTGATCCCGTCCCCCCACACCCCCTCCGCGGCGCCGCACACTTGCTTGTACCCTTGCCCGACCGCGAACTCGATCGTCGCCCCCGGCGTGTCGCTCCCCATCTTCCACTTCCCAGCGAGGCACGTCACGGGGATCCCGAGTTTCTCCGGCGCGTCGCACTCGCGCTCCACCCACGTCAAGATGCCTAAGGGTGGAGTTGAAAGGCGTCAGGTGGAGTTGAAAGGCGTCGAGGTGTGTCGGGATCGAAAGCGAGGGACCCTGGGCGGAGAGATGCGCCGGGAAAAGTCCTCAAGGAACGGCGTTCACCACGCCATCGCGGTCGTATGGGAACCAGTGTGAGATAGAACGCGCCTCTCGTCTGGTCGACGACGCCGGGGACGTCCTTCGGGCACGCGTTCAGCGGCGACCCGAGCGACACGAGCGCGCGCACGTCGTCGACGCCAAAGTCGTGGAGGTAGACGCGCGCGAGCCACCCGCCCGCGCTGTGCGCGACGAGCGTCACCTTGGACGCGCCGTCGGCTTTCGCCGCGGCGATCGCGTCCTCTATCCGCGTCAGGTACCAGTCCACGGTGGGACGCGGCGTCAGCGTGCCCTGCCAGTACGTCGGCGACGCGAGGCCCGCGGCGTTTCGCAGCCAGTCCGGGCGCGCGACCTTCGCGACGGTCGCGCGCACGCCCCTGGACTCGAGCTCGGCGACGAAGTCGTCGTAGTCCGACGACGCGTTCCCGAGCCCGGGGAGGAGGACGACGTGCCGATCGGACCGATCGGACGACGACGACGACGACGCGGCGGCGGCGCGCGAGGCGGCGCGGCGACGCGCGGGCGCGCGGCGGCGCGCGGGCGCGCGAAGCGTCGCGGGGGCGGCGGACGCGGCGCGCATGTGCGTCGGAGCGTGCGCGGCGCCTCGGGGACTGGCGTCGAGAACGGATGGACGAGCTGGACACGTGGCGCGTGGTCGAGAACAGTCGGGCATTTGGGTCAAAACAACCTCAAAACCTAAACCCTAAGGGTTTAGGTTTTCGAACGGAAGTCCTCGGGCGGTTGTCGTTAAAAGCGAGCTTCTCGCGTCCGTCCGTCGTCACCGCTTCCCGCCGCCGATGGCGTTGTTCACCATCATCCGCACGCTCTCGCTCGCGCGGTCGTCGCCGACGACGACGAGCGTCGACATCCCGGGCCCGCCCTTCCCTTCCGAGATGCTCACCTTCGCCTTGCTCCGCTCCTCGATGCCGCGAATCGTGGAGCCCTGCTTTCCGATGATGCGTCCCACGATCATCGCGGGGATCACGACCTGGATCGTCGGCGGCTCCCCGGGCTTCTTCCCGGGCTTGAAAGGTATCCCGCCGGGCTTCCTGAGGATGCTGCCCTTCTCGAAGACCCATGTGATGACCTCGCCGGCGGCGGCTTCTTTCAGACGCATCGCCGCGAATTTTTCCTCAGCCTCCTTCTCCTCGAGCGCGCGCCTCGCCGCCGCCTCCTCCGCGTCCTTCTTCGCCTGCGCCTCCGCCATCCTCGCCGCTTCCGCCTTCTCCGCCGCCGCGCGCTGCTCGGGGGTCAGCGTGTACGCGCCGCCGCCCTGCGCCGCCGCGCGAAGGCGCTGCTTCCGCGCCAGGAGCGCTTCCTCGTCGTCGCTGTCGATCTCCGAGTCGTCGGCGTCGGCGTCGAGCGCGTTGGCGTCGACGGCGGCGGCGCGTTGCGCCGCCGCCGCGGCGTCGGCCGCCTCGCGCTTCTTCGCCGCCATCTTCGCGGCTTTCTCCGCCTTCTTCTCCGCGATCTTGCGCTCCATCTTCGCGCGCTCCTTCTTCGGCATCCGCGACATGCGCTCTCGCAGTTCCTCCTCGTCCTCGGACGCCGAGTCGTCGTCGTCGCCGCCGCCGCCGCCGGCCGCCGCCGCGGGAGGCTTCTCCGGCGGCGGCTTCGCCGGCTCCGGCTCCGGCGCCGGGCACTTCGCCTCGTCCTCGTCCTCGTCCTCGTCCTCGTCCGAGCTGTCCTCTCGCTTCGCCTGGTTCTTCCCCTTCTTCCCCTTCTTCCCGCCGCCGCCCCTCCCGCCGCCGCCGCCGCCGTCGCCGTCCTCGACGCCGTTCTTCCGCACGTACGTCAGCAGCTCCTTCACCAGGTTCGCCGACTTCCCCATCATCTTCTTGATCTTCGGGTCCCTCAGCGGGTTCCCCTCGAACTCGAGCGCGCGGACTTTCTTCTCCTTCAGCTCCCCCAACGACTTCGGCAGATTCTCGATCGCGTTATCGCCGAGGCACAGCTCCGCGAGCAGCGCGCACTTCCCGAGGTTCCCCGGCACGCGTTCTATAGCGTTCTTCTTCGCGCTCAGCGTTACCAAACGCGACTTGGACGCGACGTCGAGGTCGTCGAGCGTCGTCAGCTCGTTGTCATCGAGCACCAGCGTCACGAGCTCGTTGCACGCCGCGAGCGCTTTGACGCTCGTCAACTTGTTGTGCCCGAGCCTCAAGATCTCCAGGCACGCGCAGTCGCTCAGCGAAGAAGGAACGCTCGTCAACGCGTTGCGCTCGGCTTCCAAAACTTTCAGCCGCTTGAGCTCGCCGATCGACTCCGGGAGCGACGTCAGCGCGTTGTCGCTCAGGATGAGCGTCATCAGACCGCTCAGGCGCGAGATCTCGCTCGCCAACGTCGTCAGCGCGGCGCCCAGCGAGATCTTCAGCGTGTTCACGCTCGTCGCGTGCCACAGCGCGGGGTCGACGGCGACGCCCGCGGGGAGGATATTACCGGGACCGCCCGTCGCGGACCGCACGTCCAACGCGAGCTCTTTCAGGTTCCCCGCGATCGCCTTCTCGACGTCCGGCCACGTCGGTTTCGGGCGCGACGCGACCGCGGCCTCCGCCGCTTCAGCCGCCTCATTCGCGTCCGCGTCCTTCTTAGTCGCGGCGTCCGTCTTCGCGGCTTCGAGTTCCTTGCCGCCCGCGCCTCTTCGCTCTTTCGCCTCGAGCTCTCGCTTCTTTCGCTTCGACCGCTGCGTCGACGTCTCCCCCTCCGGGGCGTCCGGGTCATGCTCATTCGCCTCGTCCTCGTCCGTGTCCTCCTCCTCGCTCTCGCCGCCGCGGTCGATCCTCGCCGCGAGCTCGGCGTGACCTTTGGCGCGCGCGTAGTCCGCGGCGGTCTTCCCGCGCTCGCACTTGAGCTTGAAGTTACATCCCGCGTCGAGGAGCTCCTGGCACGCCTCGCGATGGCCGTTGTGCGCGGCCATCATCAGCGCGGTTCGCCCGTCGCCCTCGCCGTCTCTCAGATCCATCTGCTCGCGCTCGCGAGAGCGGCGGCAGTGGTCGAGAAGCATCCGAAGCGCCTTGTGGAGGTTCCCCGCGGCGCAGATCATGATCGCGGTGTTCCCGTCCTCGTCGCGCACGCTCGGGGATTGCCCGCCCGCGCCCAGGGACCATCGCACGGTGTCCGTCTTCTGCTTGCGGATCGCCTCGAAGAACTTCTCGCGCTTCGACATGACGGACGGACGGACGGACGGACGGACGGACGCGAGAGTCGCGCGCGCGTCGTCGAGTGCTTTTCGCGAGCGGAAAGACGGCGGCGGCTGTCCTTCGACACGCGTCGGATTTTTGATCGCGATCGCGACCGACGGTTCGATTTTCCCTCGATCGAATCGATCGAACCTGTCGATCAACGGATCGCGGCTCCGAAGGCTGATCGCGCGTCAGGTCCGAGGCGTCATCGTCACGCGCTTCCGTGCCACGTCGATCGAAACGCCAGCGCCATCAATCACTTCGCGAAGCACGAGGACGAGACGCCGCATCGCACGTCGACATCATCGAAATGGCTCTCTGCGTCACCTCCGCGCTCTCCGTCCGCGCCGCCGCGCCGCGCGTCTCGTCCGAGGACAAGGTGCGACTCGCCCCCCCCCCCGCCCTCCCACGCGATCGATCGAACCGAACCGCGGACTTCGGATAGGCCTCCGCGCGCGTCGTCGTCGCGAAGCCTCTTCCCTCTCTTCTCCCCCGCCTGACCCCCGCGTCGCCTCCCTCGATCGGATCGTCCCGCAGACCGCGCCGGCGCCGCTCCACCGCCGCGTCGCGTCCGCGCTCGGCGCGTCCGCGCTCGCGCTGTCGCTCACCCTCGCGACGCCGACGTCTTCGCGGGCGGAGATCCGCCTGCCCCCAGTCGACCCGGACCCCGACCGATGCGAGCGCGCGTTCGTCGGGAACACGATCGGACAGGCCAACGCGGTGTCCGACCGCATCTTAGACCTCCGCAAGTGCGAGTACGACGGCAAAGACCTCAGCACGAAGACGTTGTCCGGCGCGCTCATGGTGGACGCGTCGTTCAAGGGGACGAACTTGACCGAGGTCGTCATGTCCAAGGCGTACGCGTTAAACGCGGACTTCACTGGGGCCAACTTTACGAACGCCGTCGTCGACCGCGTGACGTTCGACGGCGCGAACCTCGCGAACGCGGACTTCCACAACGCGGTGATCACCGGCACGACGTACGAGGGGACGGATTTGACGGGGGCGACGTTCGAGGAGGCGCTCATCGGGAAGGAGGACGTGAAGAGGCTCTGCGATAACCCGACGGTGAAGGGCCCGACGAGGTTCGAAGTCGGGTGCCGGGACTGATCGAGAGAGGAGCGAGGGAGGATTGATTCGGCGGGTCCGGAGTCCGCGGGGTCGGACGCGCGCGGTGCTGTAGTCAAAATAATACAACTAGATTGTTCGCGACGCTCTCGTTCGCCGGCTAATCAGCGACGCCGCGCCACGCCGCGTCACTCCAACGTGTCCTCGTCGTTCGTCCTCTTCTTGCGAAGCTTCAACTGAGGGAAAGAAAGGCGCGTCAGAGCAGAGCGCGTCGAAGGAAAAAAAAGCAAACCGAGCGGACGCGACGTCGGGCGTCAGAGCGAGAAAACCAGGGAAAAAGCGCCGCCCGCCCAGCGCCCGGCCGCGATGTACCCCCCGCGCGCCGCGTGCGTATCGGATTAGTGACGCATGAATAATGGCGAATCGACGCTAGGACAGGATCTACATTCGGACGCGTTTCCGCGCCGTCGGCTTCCCACTGTCGTGTGTGTCTTCACTCGATACGCGGGTATCTCTCCCGAATGTACCGTCAGGCGATTCTGATTGTCTTGAAATAATCAAAGCGTTTCATTCTTTTCTTTGCTTTCGTCTTGTACGCGCGGCGCGGCGGCGGCGGCGGCGGCGGACGCGCGAGCGAGCGAGCGACGACGAAAAGAGCCAGACGGGTCGGGACGGATCAAAAAAAAATTCAACGCGACGGGGGGGACTTCCGAGGCGCTCGCGTATACGGGCCGAACCGCGCGCACCTTCGGGTTCCCCTTGTGCATCTCCGGCTTCACGCCGAACATCTTCTCGATCTTCGTCCCCGCGGAGGTCACGGACATGCTCACCTTGGACGGCGGCGGATCCTCCGGTATCCCCATCGCCCTCTTCGCGAACGGCACGCGCAACAACACCGTCTGCGCGAACGAAAACACGTTGCTCGTGATCCAGTACACGAACACCCCGGACGGGAAGCTCGCGGTGAGCGGCACCATCGCCACCCCGAGCGCTCGCAGCCCCCACTTCGTCATCTCCCGCTGCGACGACTTCACGGCCGGGTTCTGCGGCGCGAACTCGACGGCGGCGAGAAACGTGAGCGAGGAGATGATCGGCAACGCGAACGTGGGGTCCGCGATCGAGAGGTCTTGAAACCACGCGAATCCGCCGTCGCGCATGCTCGGCAAACCCTCCGCCATTCGACTGATCGCGAAGTAGAAGGAGATGAACACCGGGGCTTGGAAGAGCAAAGGCGCGAGCATCTTCGCCGGGTGCACGTCGTGTTTACTCCAGATGGCGAACACCTCGTTGCTGAGGGTCGAGGGTCCATACGAGCGAACGTCGGGGTGGAGTTGAAAGGCGTCAGAAGCGGAGTTGAAAAGCGTCGAGGGCAGGGATTGAAACCGTGGGGTGGGCGGAGAGATACGCCGGGCAAAGTCCTTAAGAAACGGCGTTCACCACGCCGACGCGGTCGTACGGGGACCAGTGTATAGAACGCGCCCCAGTCTCGCCGCGCGCTCGTGCTCGCCCGCTCTCCTCGCCTCGTTGATGCTCTCCTGCAGCGCGGTCATCTCCGGCTTGGCGAGGTGCATCTTCCCCGCGCTCTTCTGCTGCATTATCGTGAGCGGGAACGCGCAGACGCGCATGACGCACGTCGCCGCGGCGATGGCGGCGTACCACTCCATCCCGTGCGCGAGGTGGAAGTACTCGATGACGTACATGAGCCCCGCGGTCGTGATCCACGAGTCCGCCGCGATCGCGATGACCTCGCCCTTGAGGTCCGCGACCGCGGCGACCGGGCGCATCGCGTCCGCGAGCGCGTCGGCGTCGAGCGCGTCGAGCGACGCGGAGGAGGAGGAGGAGGAGGACGCGATCGCCGCGTCCGCGCCGCCGCCGAGGTCGGCGTCCAACTCGCGCGCGCCGGCGCCGGCGGCGCCGCTCGAGGCCGATCCGCCTCCCCCGCCGCCGCCGAACCATCCCCCGCCGCGTCCGCTCGACGCCCATCGCACGCGCGCGCCGAGCGCGCCGGCGGCGGCGGCCGCCGCCGCCGTCGGTCCGTCGCGCGACGCGCTTGTCGCGAACGTCCCGCCGCCGTACAAGCTCGCGAGCGCGGCGCCGCCGCGCGACGTCGAGCTCGCGCTCGCGCCGCGCGCCGCGGACGCGGACGCGCCGCGGAGCGCGCGCTCCAGCGCTCGCCTCGCGCTCATCTCGCGACGACGCGCGGTGCGAGTGCGAGGAGGTGTGCGGCGATCGGAGCGCGGAGGACGCGGATCGGAGACGACTTATTTCGACTCGACGGCGACAGGAATGATGAACTCTCAAGTGCTCGCGCGTGTCATAAATTAAACGGCGGACTCTCTCACCCTCACGCGAGCTTGACGTCCGCGACGTTCCTGATCCCCATCATGAACAACCTTTTCCTCAGCGCCGGGAAATCCTCCGGGTGCGGCGCGACCCCAAACTTCCCGTTCGCGTCGTTGTCGACGTGCACCCTCTGGCTCCCGCCCTGCTTGAACGTCACGATCACGTCGTACCCCGTCACCGGCGGCACGTACGCGTCGAAGAGATGCCAGCTGTTCCGGATCACCATCTCGAAGTGCTCGTCGTCGGGCAACCCCGCGGAGATGTCGCGGTAGTACTCCATGAACTCGCCGTGCGAGACCATCTCGTCGGAGTTCCGGTCCCAGTGGTCCGGGACCTCGTTTACCACCTGTTGAAACGTCTTCTTCCCGCTGAAGACGTCCGGATTCATCGTCGGGTCGATCTTCTGTTGGACGACGGAGACGGGGACTTCGCGCTCGCCGTTCGTCGCGATGCGCGTGCTCCACGCCTGGTTCACGAGGTCCATCCTCTTCGCGGTCATCTTCCCGCGAATCCCGCGCATGAGCGCGCGAACGTCGACGAAACCGCTCTGCTCGAGGTCGAAATACTTCGCGACGAGGTTCTTCTCATCCGGCGTCATCCGCGACCCCGCGTCCTCGAGCGCGTACAAAACCTCCTTCACCGGCAGCGCGCCCGTGTTGCGCTCGTCGAGAATCCGCAGGTTCAAGCCCAGGTTCCGGATCCCGTGCACGCCGTTCGCTTTCGCGACGTGCGCGCGCAGCCGCTCGAGCATCCGTCGCGATTCGCGATCGGCGCTCGCGTTGGGCGTCAATCCAAACACCGCGTTGACGAGTTCCTCGAAGGACAACGAGTCGCTCGTGTCGTGATCGTACCGGTCGAACAGCGCCCTTCGCCCCACGGTGAACCCCTCGTCGATCTTGTTGTGGTCCGGTCGCCCGGGCTCGAGGAGGTCCACGAGCGCGGCGTCGAACTCGCGAAATTCGAGGAACCCGCTCCCGTTGGCGTCGTACTTTTTAAAGTACGCCTTGAGCGTCTCCGTCTGTCGGTACACCGACGCGTAGTTGGTGATCACCTCCAGACGCTTGTGAATGAGCTCCTGCATGTGGTCCGCCTTCTCCTCCGGGCCGCTCCTTGGACCGGGCTCGAGCCACCACGTGTCAACCTCCTGCCCTTTGTTCGCGGAGCTCTTCCACTTGCTCTTCGACTCTCGCGGGATGTGCCACGCCGCGCGAATCATCTCTTCGAAGACGTCGTCCACCTCCACCTCCGCGCTGATCTTGGCGTAGTACTCCACGAACTCGTGCTTCTCGACCGAGCCGCTGCCGTCCGCGTCCCACTGCGACGCGAAGTACTCCTTCGCGGCCGCGGGGGAGAGCCTGCGGCCGTCCACCTCCGCGTTGACGTGCCCGGCGTCGTACGCCTGCACGAGCTCGTGCATGTCCACGGATCCGTCGCCGTTGACGTCGAGCGTGCGCCACGCCTTCTCGACGAGGAGGAGGCGGCGCATCCAGTTGCCTTTCTCCGTGTCGTCCGCCGCGTTGAGGTTTAACTCGCCGAGGGGATCTAAGCGTTTCATCCACGTGTCGTGCGACGACATGATGACCTACCGCGGGGATGGGGACTTCGGGGATCGGAGAGCTTCGCGCGGATCGATCCTAGAAGAGGGCGATTCGATTCGATCGGACCCGGATTCGATTTCGTCCGTTCCTTCCTTCTCCGTCGCGGGCGGCGGGGGGGCGCGCGCGCGCGGGTCGTGCGATCCGATCGAACGCGACGACGCTACAGAGACGCTCGCGACGAGGAGGCGATCGACGTGCGTCGACGCGTCCGTGGCCGTGCGTTGCGGTGTGACGCGCGCGTGGGGAGCGGTACACGATTTCGAAGAAGAAAAAAACGAGCTTCCAAAAGCGGACGAGCGGCGGATGTGGACACGACACTCGGCGCGAGCGGTGATCTCTCATCAGGTCTGGTTCTCTCTATTTTTATCTCCATCTCCGGCGCCGCCGCCGACTCACCTCGGCGGCGCCGCCTCTACGACCGTCTGATCCTCCTCGATCCCCCCCTTCTCCTTCTCCTTCTCCTCCCCCTTCTCCTTCCCCGCGCCGCGTCGCGCGCCCACCTCCAAGTGCACGAGCAGACTCGCCACGTCCGCGGGGGTCACGCCCCCGATGCGACTCGCCTGCCCGATTGTCGTCGGACGCATCTTCGCGAGCTTCTCCCGCGCCTCCATCCGCAACGTCGTCACGTCCGCGTAGCACACGTCCTTCGGGATCGCCTTGTTCATCTTCCCCGCGACTTTCGCGACCTGGACTTCCTGCCGCTTGATGAACCCCTCGTACTTCACCTCCGTCTCCACCGCCTCCGCGGCCCACCGAGAGAGCGAATTTTCGTCGCCGCCGTGACCGTACTCCGCGAACGTCGCGTGAGACACCCGCGGGCGGCGTAAGAGTTCCCTGAGCGTGAACGACTGCCGGCTCGGCTTCGCCGCGTTCGCGCCGGAGATGTCGATGACGCGCTGCGCGAGCGGCGTGTCGCTCTTTACTCTCGTCGTCGTCAGGCGCGTCGTCTCGCGCTCCATCGCGTCTCGCTTCTCCGTGAAAAAACGCCACCGGTCGTCGTCGACTAAACCGCACTCGCGGCCGAGCGGCGTGAGCCGCGCGTCCGCGTTGTCCGACCGCAACACCAACCTGTACTCCGACCGCGACGTCAGCATCCGGTACGGCTCTCTCAGGTCCTTCGTGCACAGGTCGTCGATCAGCGTCCCGAGGTAGGAGCTCTCCCTGGGGAGGATCAGCGCCGACGTCGCGAGCGCGACGGCGGCGGCGTTGGCGCCCGCGAGTAGCCCTTGCCCCGCGGCCTCCTCGTACCCGGTCGTGCCGTTGATCTGCCCGCTGAAGAAGAGTCCGGAGATCTTCTTCGTCTCGAGCGTCGGGCCGCACTGGTACGCGGGGAGGAAGTCGTATTCCACCGCGTACGCGGGGCGAAGCATCTGGAATGGGCCGTTCCATACAAAAGGGTATGTTCATCGGTCAGTTGAAAGGGACCCACGCGATCAAGTGTTGAAACCGATCTATGGGTGAAAAACGTTTGTGTAGACACGACGCACCTTACACGCCTCCAGCCCCGGGAGCGTTCGAAGCAGCGCCAGCTGCAGACGCTCGGGGAGACCGGTGCTGAACCCTTGCACGTACACCTCCGGGACGTCCCTCCCCTCGGGCTCCAAGAATATCTGGTGCGAGTCCTTCTCCGCGAATCGCACGATCTTATCCTCTATGGACGGGCAGTACCGCGGCCCTTTCGCGCCGACCCAGCCGCCGTACGTCGGCGTCTCGTGAAGGTTCTCCCTGATCAACGCGTGCGTCTCCGCCGTCGTGCGCGTGAGGTGGCAGTCCATCTGCGGCCGCGCCACGTGCGCATTCTCGTCGAACGTGAACCACCGCACGTCCTCGTCCCCGGGCTGCCTCTCGAGCCCGCGGTACTGAATGCTCCTGGAGTCCACGCGCGCGGGCGTGCCCGTCTTCAGCCGGTCCGTCTCGAACCCGAGGTCGACGAGGCACTCCGTAAGACCGACGCTGGGGGCCTCGCCCGCGCGTCCCGCCGCGAGCGTCTTCCTCCCGACCCATATCTGGCCGGACATGAACGTCCCGGTAGTCAGCACCACCGCGCGCGATGTGAACGTCATCCCGAAGAACGTCTTCACGCCCTTCACGTCGTCGTTGTCGCCGAGGACGAGCTCGGTGGCCATGCCTTCGCGAATCGCGATTAAAGGCTCGCGCTCCAGACGCGCGCGCATCTCGCGCGAGTACTCCCACTTGTCCGTCTGCGCGCGCAGCGCCCACACCGCGGGCCCGCGCGACGCGTTCAGAACTCTCTTCTGCAGGTACGTCTTGTCCGCGATGCGCCCGATCTCGCCGCCGAGGGCGTCCACCTCGTGCACGAGTTGGGATTTCGCGGGCCCGCCGACCGCGGGATTGCACGGCTGCCACGCGACGCGGTCGAGCGACAGCGTCAGGAGGAGCGTCCGCGCGCCTTTCCTCGCGCTCGCGAGCGCGGCCTCGCACCCGGCGTGGCCCGCGCCGACGACGATGACGTCGTAATCGTCGCACAGGTCGTCCATCTGATGCGAGGGGCGGCGGCTCGGAAGACCACGGCTCTCGGAAGACGTCGTCGCGGAGGACGAAGAAGCGCTCTCCTCGCTCGGCGCGGCGCGGAGGGGGCGCCGGTCGGCGGCTCGCGCGCGCGCGCGAATCGCCCGCCATGGGGGGCGAGGAGACGCGCTCGCGGACGTAGTCGCCGCCGCGCGCGCGGCCATCGCCGCGGCCATCGTCGCTCTCTGCGCCCGAAGCGTGTGGCGGCGGCTCCGCGAACGACGATGAACGAGATCTGAAGGATAGCGCGACTGGTTATCCGACGCGGATGATGAATCGCTGTCTTCGCGCACACCTCCCGGCACCTCCCCGCGGCGATGGCGGACGCTCCCGCGCCTCCGCCGCCCGCGGACGCGTCGTCGCCCGCCGCGATAACTTCGCTCCCCACGGACATTCGAAGCCTCGCGTTCTACGCGTGGTGCGCGTCGTTCGCGCATCTTCTCGTCGTGTTCTCGATGGCGGACTCGATCTCGCTCGCGACGACGACGCTCGTGGTCACCGCCCTGGGGGCGACGCTGCCGGGGATATGGAGCTCCAGCGTCTTGTTGTTCGCGCCCGGGGACGTCTCCGCGGCGTACGCGTCGCTGTTCAGGGTTTAGGGTTTAGGCCTCGCCGCCGCCGCCGCCGCGTCCGCGTCCGCGTCCGCATCCGCACTCGGACGACAGCGACGTGGACGACGACGCGAGCGCGCGGAGTTGGCAGGACGCCATCACGGGGATACAGGGCATGGCGCAGGCGCTCGCCGACGCCAACGCGTCCGCGTCCCTCGTCGCGCTAAACGCCGACCTCACCGTCGCGCTCGCGGCGCTCATGCGAAACACCATCAAACTCCTTCACCCGACGGGCTCGGGGGCCAACTCCGCGGCGTCGTCGGAGGACGCGCGCGTGATGCGCATCGTGGACCCGCACGTGATCGTGAACGACACGTCCGCGCTCGCGGAGCCGCTGTTCGACGACGGCTGCCCTCTGGTGTTGTACAATCGGCTGGAGCCCGGAGATTCGTGTTTCGCGCCCAGGGACACGTTCGAGTGCGCGCTGTACGCGCTCGTGTACCGCGCGGGGACGCGCGTGTGCCGCGGCGAGTGCCTGATGCTCGCGGAGAAGGTGAAGGCGAAGAAGAAGAGGAGGGAGAGGGAGGAGGAGACCGACGCGGCGGCCGAACCTGAGGCGCGTTCTATCTCACACAGGTCCCCGTACGACCGCGTTGGCGTGGTGAACGCCGATCCTTAAGGACTTTTGCCGGCGCATCTCTCCGCCCACGCCTCGGTTTCAATCCCCGCCATCGACGCCTTTCAACTCCGCTTCTGACGCCTTTCAACTCCACCCCGACGTTCGCTCGTACAGAACGACCCTGATGACGGTCGCGACGCGTCCGTCGCGGAGGAGGAGGGAGACGAGGAGACGCTGCGGGTGAAGGTGCGGTTCGAGACGGCGACGACGGTGGGCCACCTCGGGGACGTCAACGCGACGGAGCTTCGGTTCTGGAGGCGGCGGCTGCGACGCGTCGGCGGGTCGCTGACGTTCCACGCGGAGCCGGTGATTCGAGCGGAGGAGCCGTCCTCGACGACGCATCTTGAGACGATCACGATCGAGGTCCCGACGGCGGGGTCGGACACGTTTTTACGCGCCAAGAGCGGGAAGAGCGCGTCGCGAGGGGACCGCAACTTGGAGCACCTGAGGAAGTTGGCGGCGGCGGCGGGCGGCGGGAGCGGACGCGGCGGGACGGCGGCGGATGCCGAGGGCGACGAGCGTTCGCGCGGCGGCGGCGGCGGCGGCGCGGCGGCGGCGGCGCCCGCGCCCGCGCCCGCGCCCGCGTCCGCGCCGGCGTCGACGTCGACCGCGTCGTCCACGCCGACGCCGCAGCCGCTGACGTTCAAGGTGCTGTACATCGAGGACGAGCGCGTGCAGGCGTATTTCTTCATCAACAAGTGCCGCCGCGTCTTCGGCGAGAGGTGCGTCGTCGTCCACGAGACGGACGGCGTCCCCGCGCTCGAGCGGCTGCAGACGGGGGAGCAGTTCGTCGCCGTCGTGAGCGACATCTTCATGGCGGGGATGGACGGCGTGTCGTTCTTCCACGCGCTGTTCTCTAACCGTCTGAACGTGGGGTCGTTAGTGCGCGGCGGCGGTGGCGGCGGCGGCGGCGGGAGGGAGTTGCGCCTGAATTTGATCCTCACCGGCGCGGAGATCGAGCCCGACCGGGAAGAGGACGAGGAACTCAACGGCGAGCTCGCGGCGCTGAGCGAGCGGTTCGGCGTGCTCGTGTATAACAAGACCTCGGGCGTGGACGTCGTGAACGACGTCATCGCGCCGCACGTCAAGTTCGTCGAGACGCGGCTGGCGATGGACGCGGCGGCCGGCGGCGGCGGCGGCGGCGGCGGCGGCGGAAGCGGGGGAAGCGGCGGCGCGCGTCGGCGTCGCTCCGGCGGGCGCGACGGCGACGGCGACGACGACGACGACGAGTACGACGCGAGCGACGAAGCGAGGCGCGACGACGCCGGGTACGGCGGCGGCGACACCCCGTCCGTGTCGTTCGGGTCGCGTCAGACCACGCGCGAGAGAGCCGCCGCCGCCGCGGGGGCCAGGGGCGGCGGCGGCGGAGACGGACGCGCGGACTCGTGGGAGGGTAAGGCGACGTCGTACGCCCTCGTCGCGCGATCGGAGAGCAGCATGGGCGGGCGCGGACGGCCGTTCCCGGACACGTCGAGCTTGCGCGCGGGGGGGGGAGCGTGGACGACGACGACGACGACGCGGCGGAATGATGAGTCGATGCGTTAGGTATTTCAGCCGCGCGATGAAACGAAACGACGACGACGGGAAGAACGACGCGTCATCACATAGAGACGGTCGACGGCGACGCTTTCACCACGGCTTCCGCGACGCGATGGTCTCTCACCATCGCTTCCGCGAGCCGCGAGTCTTCGTCCATGTATTCTTCGCCCACGGGATCCGACAGCATCGCGGACGTCACCTTCTTCTCCTTCCCCAGCGCCGCCTCCTCGCGCGCGTCCACGCGTCTCAACTGCGCCTCGCACTCGCCGGCGAGCGTGGGATCCAACGCGTACACGCGAAGAAGATCTCGCCGCGCCGCGTCGTGCTCGTGCGTCGCGAGGAGCGACACGCTCCGACGCCACAGCGCCTTCACGTCGTCGCCGTCCGCGAGCAGGAGCGCCCCGAGCCGCCGCAGCGCCTCCGCGTGCTCGCCCTGGCGCTGCAGCGCGAGGGCGAGGTTTAAGAGCACCGCGCGTTTCAACGCCGCGACCGCGGCGTGTTCGTCGTCAGAGTCCATCCCGCGCAACCCGGAGAGTTGGTGGTGCGCGACTTCGTACTTGCGACGCGCGAGCGCGAGGTCGCCGCGCGCGAGGAGCGCGTTGCCCTCCTTCTTTCCCGCCTCCGTCTCGCGAAGCATATCGGCGAATTCAGCCTTGTGCCAGTTCACGGGCGCGTCGAAGTCGATCAACGTCACGATCCACTCCACGGTGACGCCGGTCGCGGTCTCTTCTTCTATTTTTTTAATCGCGTCGGCGACGGCGCCGGGAAACGCCCTCTCGCCGCCGTACCCGTGTCGGCCGTGTCGCGCGTCCGACAGCGTCACCACGGACGTCTCCCCCGGAACCATCAGCCGCACGGACGTCTCGAGCGCGTCTGGGACCGCGCCGGAGCCGAGCATGAATTGAAACGGTTTCGAATCGAGCGTTTCATCCGTTCGGGTGTCGTACGCCGGGTCCCCGCTCCCGCCGCCGCCGCCGCCGCCCGTCGCGAACGCGCGCGCGGCGTAATGCACGCGAACGACGCAGTCGTGCACGGGGCAGTCCGCGGGGAAATCCCCGCGCCCTGGCTTCTCGCGTCGCTTCACGACGACCCCGTCGCCGTAGACGTCGCGGACGTGCGTCAGCGCGACGAGCTTCGCCTCGTACGTCGCGCCCCGCGTCGCCGCCGACGCCGGCGGCGCGCCGCCGCCGCCGCGTCCGACGAGCCCCTCGCGAGGCTCGCACCATATCGTCGCCTCCTCGCCGACGCGCATCGTGTCGATCGCGGCCGCGAGCTCGGGGGCGATCGCGCCGTCGCCGCTGACGTACGACACGACCGTCTTCGGGAGGAAGACGACGTCGTCTTCGCCGTCTTCGCCGCCGCCGGGGACGCGGCCGGAGATTTCCGCGACCACCTCGAACGGCGGCCGCGGCGTCTCCCACCCTTCCCCTTCCCTCGTGATCCGTTTCGTGACCCTCCCCGGGGCGCCGCCGCCCACGTCACGGCCGACCTTCGCGGAAGGACGCGTGGTCGCGCTCGAGCCTGCTTTAATCGCGGCGGTCGACGTTCCGTCTTCCTCCGGCTCGCGGCGACGGCCCGGGCCCTGGCCCTGGCTCGGGCTCGCCGTCGCCGCCGCCGCCGAAGCCGCCGCCGCCGCCGACGTCGCCTTCATCGACACCTCGCGCGCCGGGTACGTCGCCAGGATCTGCACGTCGAAGTACAGCACGTCCTCCGGATCACGCGTCGGGAGCGGGCGCCTCCTCCGCGCGAACGACGGATGCATGACGCCGTACTCGGGCGTCACGCGCACGACGACGCGCTCGTTCACGCGCAGCGTTCGCAGCGCGAGCTCGAGGCCGCGGATCGACGAGACGAGATCGCACGCGTTCGCCGGTCTCCGCACCTCCGCGCGATGCGACGCGAGCGCGCTCCAGGACGCGAAGCCGTGCGACGCGACGTCCTTCGCCGCCTCGAGGTCCTCCCTCGCGTCGCGCGCCGGGTCGTACGCCATCGCGCGCGCGGGGACGCCGTCGTCTCTCGTGCTCGCGAGGAGGCGCGCGTCGGTCGGGATGGACGCCGTCCCCGCCGCCCTCGCCCTCGCGTCCGCCGCGGCGTCGCACGCGCGCGCGACGACGTGCGCGACGATCTCGTGCCCGTCCTTCGCGATGCTCGCGTCGTCCGTCCTCGGCGGCGTCGTGTTCGAGGCGAGGATCTGGACCTTATCCCCCGCGACGCGCAGCTCTCGCGCGACGACGGACGCGGTCGGAGGCGGTCGCGTCTGATTCCACGGCACGACCGACGGCGGCGGCTCGCGGAGCGCGCGCGCGCGGACGGAGGATCGCCATCGCAGGAGGTCTCTGACGTCGGATTGCGACGCGGACGGCGGCGCCGCCGGCGCGTCGCCGTCCGCCGCCATCGCGCGCTGCGGCGGCGGCGCGCGGCGAGGCACTGATGAGACGAGAGAGCTGATGACATCGCGTCATTCGGACGCGACTTGGAACTCCAAAAGGCGCGCGCGACCGCGACCGCCTTCGAATTGATCCGATAGGGCTTCCCCCGCGCACTCCTCCTGTCGCAGCGCACGAGGGAGAATGGCGATGCGCGTTCTCAGCCCCGCGGCGTGCTCGCGCGTCGCGATGCCGCGCGCCGTCGCGACGCGGCGCGCGTCGGCGCCGAGCGCGCCGATCCGCGCGCGCGGCGGACGCGAGGGCTCGCTCGGGGCAGGGCCCACCACCGTCCGGTGCGTTGGAACGATCGCGCGCGTGGTTCGAGCGCCCTCGACGTCCGCGTTCGACGACGCCGCGCGCGCGCAGACGGACGACGTCGCGTTCGCGCGCGTGGCCGCCGCGGTGCGGCTCGCCGCCGCGGTCGCGCCCGCGGTCGTCCTCGCGGGGAATCGCGCGCGCGAGCCCGCCGCGCGCGTCGCGCGCGCGGCCGCGGGAGGAGGAGGATCGAGCAGAGCAACCCTCGGCGACGAGGACTCTGAATTCCCCGCGACGGGCGGCGTCCCGGGGATCGGAAGAAAGGCGTGGTGGGGCGAGGGGACGTACACGCAGTCGCTGCGCAGAGGCGGGACCTTGGGTCCTCGCGCGATCGGCGGCGCCGCGGGCGGCGCGAAGGGCGACGACGACGCGTCGTCGGATCCGAGCAAGAAGAAACTGAGCGACCTGTCGAAATTCACTTCGGGCCCTCAGGCGGCGTCCGCGAGCGCGGCGGCGAGCGACGCGCCAACTGACGCCGACGCCGACGACGCCGACACAATGGACGGGTCAGACCAAGACGAGTCGTCGTCTGGCTCGCGTACGCCGCGCGCGAACCCCTTCGAGCTTCTGTACGTCGCGCTCGTGAAGCCTCTGCGCGATTTCGGATTCGGGCGAACGTCCGTCTGGGAGGGCGGCGTCGGCTTGTTCATCCTCGGCGGCATGGCGCTCACCGCGCTCGTCGTGAACTGGGTGTTGGGCGTGAACTTCAACAAGATGCGGTCGTACCAGGCGTTCGTGGAGTTCCCGTTCGCGTGCGGCATTCAAGTGGGGACGCAAGTTAGGGTGCGAGGCGTCAAGGTTGGCAACGTTTTGAGCGTTCGGCCGAACCTGGAACGCGTCGAGGTGCTCGTGGAGATGGACGATGACGGCATCGTGATCCCGCGTAATTCGCTCGTGGAGGCGAACCAGAGCGGTCTGATCGCGGAGACGATCATCGACATCACGCCGGAGATTCCGATACCGAAAGCGCAGTGGGGGCCGCTCGACAGCGGGTGCGAGGGCGAGGGTTTGGTCGTGTGCGACCGCGGGAAGATCCAGGGTACGCCCGGGGTGAGCATGGACGAGCTCGTCGGCATCTGCACGAAGCTCGCGCGGGAGATGGACAGCAACGACGGCATCGCGAAGATGTTCGCGACCGCGGAGACGGCGCAGGACTTGATGAAGAACCTCGAGCCGCTTCTCTTGGAGGCGGCGGAGATCGCGAAGGAGCTGCGACCGATGCTGCAAAACGTCCAAGAGCAAGGGACGCTGGACACGATCGAGCTCCTCGCCGGCCACGCGACCAAGGCGGTGACGGACATCCGCGAGCTGAAGCGGACGATCTTAACGGACGACAACCAGGAGATGTTGCGGCAGTCGATCACGATCATGACCAAGACGCTGCAGCACATGGAGAAGGTGTCGGGGGATATATCCAGCGTCTCGGGGGACCCGGCGACGCGGCAAAACTTGCGACATCTCATCCAGTGCTTGTCTCGATTGGTGGACAAGTGACGCGGCCGAATCGCGGGGGCTGGGGGGCGGGGGGAGGAGAGAGAGAGAGAGAGAGGCGCGCGCGGCGTGTCTGGATGTAAGCTATACCACGCGTTACCCGTCGAAGGAAGCGTCGCTACGACGCCGCAGCGCCGCCGCCGCCGCCGCCGCCGCCGTCGTCGCCGAGGCGATAGTCGTCCGTCGAGAGCGCGAACCCCGCGCTCGAGAGCTCCTCCCTCGCCGCGCGCGCTCTGCTCGCGAACGCGCCCTCCTTCTTCTTCCCGGGTTCCGCCTCCGCGCGCACCGCGGCTTCGAAGTCCGCGCGCGCGGCGGCGACGGCTTTCGCCGGCGGCACCTCTCTCACGAACGCGTCGCTCTCTCTCGCGTCGTCGCGCCACCCCGACGACCCGGGGACCTGACCCGCGAACACCGCGATCGAGCGCACCGCGCCTCGCGCGCGACCGTACGCCAGCCCCGCGACCGCACCCTCTCGAAACCCGCGGTCGAACCCTTCCTGCACCGTGGCGCTCTTCCCCTCCTCGATCCCGTCGCGGAATCCTTCCGCGAAGAAGAGCTCGCGCCGTCTCCGCGCCTCGCGCTCTAACGCGTCGCCGTCGCCGCGCGCGTCGTCGTCGTCGCCGCCGCCGCCCGCGGACGCGCTCGCGGGGTCCGCCGCGGCGTTCTCGTCCGCCCACGGGTCCACGCCCATCGCGCGGACGCGCGCGCGCGAGAGTGCTCGAGCGGGAGCCGCGCGACGGCTGCGCGAGTTGATGATACTCTCGTGCGCGGGCGCGGGCGGTCGGTCAACACCAGACAGCAACGACCCCGCCTCCCGCGGCTCCCGCGCACACCACGCACACCAGCCCGCGCCGCGTCGAGAAGAGACGCCCGCGAAATGTCCGTGAGGTGCGTCGCGTCGCGTATCGCGTCCCGCGTCGCCCGCGAGGGAGGCGTCTCTCTCGGTCGCGCCGCTCGCGCGCGCGTCGCGTCGACGACGCGGCCGCGTCGTCCGCGGTTGGATTTCGTCGTCGGCGCGAATTTGAAATCGCGCGCGCGCGCGTCGTCAAATCTCGCGCGCGTGCCCACCCGCGCCCCCGTCGTCGTCCTGACCCTCCGTCTCCGCGTCCATCCCTCCCCGCGCCCGCGCGTCGCTCAGGTCATCCCTCCCGGAGCTCCCCCCGGGCGTCGCCGCCGCCCTCGCCGGCCCCGGGTCGGTGAAGAAGAACAAGATCCCGAGAGGAAGCGGGGTCTCCGCGTCGCTCGCCGCGGGGTCGATCGCGGACCTCATCCATCATCGCGCGAGCGGCTCGAACGCGGACGACAACGACGCGATGCGCGTCTCCGTGACGTGGGAATCCGTCGGCGGGCCGCGGGGGAAGCACGTCGCGGAGTGCGCTCCCGCGGACGGCGAGGAGAACGTCGGAGACGCGCCGTCGCGCTCGAGGAGCGGCGGCGCGCCTCTGCGAGAGATCTCTCAGCGCAACGTCGACCCCGCGTCCGACGCGCCGCCGGCTTCGGCTTCGGCTTCTTCGAACGCGCCGCCGCCGCATAGGCCGCCGCCGCCGTCGTCCGCGCACGACCTCGACGAGGTCCCCGTCCGCGGCGCGCCGAACGTCTCCTTCAGCGCGCTCTTGGAGGAGAAGCTCCGAGCGGATCCATCCTCCGCCGCGCCGCCACACGAGCGCGTCCCCACCGGGCTCTCCCCGACGGCGCGGTCGAGCTCGGCGAGGAAGTTCCTCAAGAAGGGCGCGCGGTCGCAGCGCACGACGCCGCCGCCGCGAAGGCACGGGAGCCACGGGGCCAGCCCGGGGGGCGGCGCGAACGAGCGGAAGGAGCGGAAGGAGACCGCGCCGAGGGTGGACTCGAACCTGCGGCCGGGAGGCGCCGGCGGCGGCGTCAAATCGCCGTCGCCGGGCGCGGCGGCTGATGGGAACGGAAAGAATAAGAAGGTCGCGGCGGCGCGCGGAGGACCGGGACCGGGACCGGTCGCGGCGTCGTACCTCGACGTCAGCGGCGACAAATTGGGGTTCGGGTTCGACGACGACGCGGAGGTCGCGGAGACGGTCAAGGTTGTCGTCGAGAAGAAGAAGAAGAAGGCGGGAGCCGGCGCCGAGTCGCCCGACTCGAAGCTCCGCGAGGCGCGCGAAGAAGCCGCGGCGGCGGAGCTCGCGGAGTTTGAAGCCCTCGAGCGCGAGCTCCTCGCCCCGGGGGGGATCCCGACGCCCGCGAGGAGGGACGCGGCGCGCGGGGATCCCGTGAGCGACGACGACGACTCGGACGACTCGGACGACGACTTCGAGGTTGAGAACCATTTCGCGACGAGCGCCGACGCGGCGGCGGCGGGCGGCCGCGCCGCGTTCGACGACGCGGACGAGTGGGCGTCCGAGTCCGAGTCCGAGCGCGGGGAGCGCGAGGAAGTCGACGCGCGCGTTGACGTCGACGCCGCCGCGGAGGACGAGGAGGAGGAGGAGGAGGAAGAGGGGGGACCCGGGGAGGGGTCGCCGGCGTTGATCCAGTCGCTGTTTTACGCGAAGCAAGCCCGGGCGGCGACGGCGGCGGCGGCGAGCGGTCCGGGCGCGCCGTCCCAGCGCAAGTCGCTCCGCGCCGCGACCGTAGACGACAGGTCCGCGGCCGCCGCGGAGGCGGAAGCGCACGCGCGCGCGCACGCGGCGATCGCGGAGAAGGAGCTTCGACGCGAACGCGAAAAGCTCGAACGCGACCGCGCCGCGCTCAGCGCTTCGCGACGACAACTCGCGAGGGACAAGCAGTCCTGGGAGCTGAAGCAGCTCGAGCACCAGCGCGTCATAGACGCGCAGCTCGCGGAGGTGAAGAAAGAGGCGGATAAGCTGAAGCGCGACCGGACGCGCATGGAGCGCGAGTCGAAGAAGGCTGCCGCGGCGGCGTTGCCGACGAAGAAGGAACGCGCCGACGTCGAGAACGCTCGCGAGGAGCTCAAGCGCGTCGTCGAGGACGCGAAGGCGAGGGACACGAAGCACAGACACACCGCGGATCGGCTGCGGACGAAGGTGGCGACGCTGAGCACGGAGG